CGGAATAATACTTATAGTCTGTAGATTCACGAACTGGATACGGTGCTGAGCGCAGGACCTACAACTCTTCGACTGGTGCATACGGCGGTGCTGCCTCAGGAGGTCAGTCGCATTATGTCATTTCATCATTGCTGCTCATGAAAACTAATTGTTTGCGCAGGCTACTCCGTCCGTGAGGAGCTTCCCCTCCCTAGCAAGCCACCGTATACTGTTCATTTGGGCAATCTATCATTTGATGCCACCGTCGGCGATGTCACTGATTTCTTCACCGGCTGCGAGTGCATCAATGTACGAATTATTGAGGACAAGATGGAAATGAAGCCAAAAGGATTTGGTTATGCAGAATTCCAAACCCTTGAAGGATTGAAGTCGGCTTTGACGCTCAACCAAACCCAATTCCAAGGGCGTAATATTAGAATCAGTGTTGCTGATCCACGTATGTTACCACCTTCACCTGCCTTTCTCAAGTCTAACCCATTTTTAGCCAAGGACCGTGATGGACCAACCAGAGAATTTAATGACTGGAGCAGAAAGGGTCCATTGCCAGACCTGCCATCCCGAGGAGGTGACCGACGAACATCCGATCGCGGCGGATTTGGAGGAGATTTTGGTGGTGAGCGAAGGGAGCGTGGAGCACCAGAGGGCGATGGGAAAATCCGAGACTTTGGAAATTGGGAACGAAAGGGCCCACTTTCGCCAGTCGCTCAGCCAGACCGCTCGGGTCCAAGAGAAGGAGGTCGCCCACGAACGAACGACGGCCCACGACAAGAAGGATTCCGAGACCGAAGAGCATCTCCAGCTCAGTGGGGTGAAGGTCGTCCACAAGGCTCACAAGATGGGTCAAGACCTCCACGACGCGAATTCCAGGAGCGAGCTGTTCCCGATCGTGCTCCAACTGCTGCTGAGCAAGATAGCCAGTGGCGTACAAAGATGCGTCCTGATGCACCAGCAAAGTCTCCAGTGCCATCGCGCGATGGAAGTGAGGCACCATCATCGCCCGCGGTTGCTCCAGCTACCCTCCCAGGTGGACGACCAAAACTAAATCTCGCAAAGCGAACAGTCTCGGAAGCCCCAGATCTTCCATCCCCATCATCCGTTTCTGGTGATGCGAAAGCCAGCCCCTTTGGTGCCGCCCGTCCAATCGATACAGCAGCAAAGGAGAAGGAGCTCGAAGAAAAGAGAGTCGCCGCGCTTGCTGCGAAGAAGGAAGCCGAAGAGAAGGCCAAGGCAGAGGCGAAGGAAGCTGCGGAAAAGGCAAAGGCTGAGGAGGCAGAGAAGGCAGAGAAAGCAGAGGCTGACCAGAAGGTTGAGATTCTCCAGAGAGAGGAGACTATTGAGACCGAGAACGCCAACGGAGAGATTGTTGACGACAAGGCTGTCAAGCCAAAAGAGATTGTCCGTGATGCAAAGCCTAAGCCAGTCGAGACTGGTGCTTGGAGAAGAGCATCAAATGGTCCACCAACACCGAGAGATGATACCCCTCGCGGTCCAAGAGGAGATGGAGGTCGTGGCCGAGGTGGAAGAGGTCGTGGAGAGGGACGTGGTGGAAGACACTACGAGGAGCGCGGCCCACGACGAGATATGAACGGAGGCAAGTCACCAGCATCTCCAGCTCAACCACCCGCTGGAGCATCCGAGACTCAATCCATGGAGGAAGACGGATGGAGCACCGTCTCAAAACCAAAGAAGAACAACCGTGGAGGCAATGCTGCCTCTCGCGCCATCGCATCATAATTGTGTATAAACTGTATGAAGTATTGCTACGCAGATAACAGTTGGCAATGTACTTGGACGAGATCATGATGCATTTACGCATGATCTAATTCGGGTAGAATATGGCGAGCTCAAAATATAGCGTTCGCATCAACCTTCATCGGCACGACTTTCCTTTTTGGCGTTGGATCTTCTACGATCGATAATGTCTCTAGATCTCTTCTGCCAGTCTAGGGTTTATATCTCGACCTTTATCGACTGTCACAAAAATCTCCGCTGTCATCATCCTCGAAATCAGGGCCTACGTTTTTTGCACTTTAGATTGCATTTGGGCGGCCATTGCACAGAAATATCAATTACCTTTTCATCTTAAGGTCTTTTCTTGTGTCTGTCTGTCTGTACACGGAGTAGGTCCCGTGGAATATCTTGTTAGGCGTGTTGTCTGCTCTGCTTTTTATGATATGCGTACTGGGTAGGGCTTTCTATCAAAAGTTTATATGCAAGACTTTCGTAGGGATTTTCTCTCGTGCAATGATTTGATGTGCTCTTATGACGTATGCTTGGTCTCTCTCGTCTCTTTTTTTTTGGTTCCCTTTTTTTGCTAGGACGTTGGGTGGTTGGCTTGGAGGGGCTTTTATCGCGTTCATTGAGTAGATTCGGGTTACATGTACTTCTATACACACGCAATTCAGATCGCATCTACAAAACCCTCGCCAATCCTCTTCCCTTCCTTTCTTTCCCACTTCTTTTCTCGCTCATCACCTCCCCTCCCCAGCCACATCCCTCACAAACCCACACAACGGCCAAAAACTGCCCCCAAACTCCATATCATGCCAGTAATTTACCGCCACACTCATCCCCTCCTCCCCACAGCTCTGACTGACCTTGTGATACCACAGCGCGGGCAGGTATAACATGTCCCCTGGATTAAGCGTTACACGCATGGGACGCGCTAGATCTTCATACCGCTCTCGTCCTGTGCCGGGGACGTCCGGGTCGTATAACGCGACTGGCACCTCCTGGTCCTCTTTCTGAAGCTCGAGGGCGCCGCTTGGGTTGCGAGTGTAGCTGGCTGCTTGTAAGAGGGTTTCGGCGACGCAGGGTTGAAAGAGGGGAGGGAGGAGAGTGAAGTGTTTGTGCCTGAGGATCTGGACGTAGATGTTTTGGTAGGGGTCTTTGTGGAGTGAGGTTACGGAGTAGGAGTTTCCGATCCAGAGGTTTGTTGCGTCGGGGAAGGAGGAGAGGGCTATGCGGATGAAGGGGAGGGAGGGGGGGATATCCTTGGAGAGGGGAGGGTATTCGGAAGGGAGGTTGTTGTTTTCTGGGGGTTGTTAGAGGGGGTTGGGAATGAGGAGGGTATGAGGTTATGAATGGGGGGAGATGAGGGGAGGTATAGGGGAATGGGGAGGAAGAGGGAGAGACGAACGAGTCTGCGCGTATCGGATTTCTTGACCTGGGAGGCGGCCGGTGTTTTCTTGGGTTATGATGTAGTCCAAAAACTCATCAAAAGGTTGGTCTTCTTCGTGGGGTTTGGTGAAGAGGATTTCATTGTTCTCGGTGCGGGTTGGGGCGTCTGCGTTGCTATTGAGTATTAGAAAAGCTGGTTTGGGTGGAATATTTTGTGATAGGTTTGATAACATGGATTGAAATGTGTGATATGAGGATGATATGAGATTAGAGGATAGATCTTCTAGGTGTGAAAAACTTAAACCGGTTTTGATCAAAGCTTTCTCTTCTTCTACCTGGAGGAATAGGTGGCTATTTGTCGTTTTCTGAGGCCCTAACATCGAACTTTGAGGAGCTGCAAAGTGATCCAATTATGTGTAGAGTGTATAGAGATAAAAAGCACTCACATACCCTTCAGGTGTCACAGCGACATTGACGCTCATTCCCGCCATGGCTTCTTTGAGGGTTGAAGCGTTCCATGTTTGGGTTGCTTTCCACTGGATGTGTTAGCCAATATACTTTGGATCTATTCAGAGATTAAGAAACAGGCTTCGAGCAGCAAAAAAGTATCTTAAGTGTTGAGAAGGATCATATAGAAAATCAATATTTCGAGAATAAAGGGAATTCAAATATAAAATCCACATCTCAAATAAAAAGGATCCAAAATCTTTATATCGTAGTACCACCACTCTATCTCACGACGCACAACATGCACATGAAATGAAAGCTGGAAACCTCAGCCACATGCACTTCTACCCCGAGATCGTACATGTACAAATATATATTGACAACCCACAACCTTACCCATACATTATCAACCCCCAAAATATAACACACACAATGAAATCCCATGACGCCTCACACACAAAACAACATAAAAGGGGAACCAAAATATGACTTGACTCACATCACCAGCCCCCCCACGCACAACAAACGGTCGATTCGCACTTACAAACCTCATAAACTCCAACGGCGAAGGCACCTCCTGAAGTTCCGTGATCTGACTACTGTTTAACTCGTTGTACGTCTCGAGCATCCGCCTGATTGGGTCTGCGGATGGTGCGGGGTCCATCGTAGCTTGTGTGCGTGAATCTTGGAAATGGTTGTTGATGAAGAGCGATTGATTCGTTGGATTAAATCCGAGGTCGTCGTGGTGGGTGCGATACGAGAGGGCTAGTTTAGGGTTATGCGTGCTGTCAGGTTTTACGAGATGATGATGAGGGTTTTGGTGGGTTTAAGGGAGACCCACTGAACTTTGAAAATGGGAGTTCTGACTTCACCCGAAATTCGATATTTTTTTGACTAAATTCATAACCTTTTCTAGAACGGTTAAGTTACAATAATACATCGATTTGGGGGCTATCCAACGTCGTACGCGGTACTTACAACCCGCTCCGACATAGACGTATTCGTGTCTTGCAGGTTACATCGCCATAACCTAAGCGAGGAATAAATATCAACAACGCTTTCTTTGTTTTGCCCTGCACACCCGTTTATTGGCTTGGTATATCACATCTCATGTATGATTTACGACAGGGCATTTGCGAGAATGCTCCGATATGTATGACCAGGGTGGTGCTCTCCCTGCGCCAAGTCGGTGTACACCTGTATTGTTACGGAGCTTGGTATGTACGACATTCTGTTTTCGTCGAGTGGGCTGGATATATCCAAGATTGTGGTAGCTGTGGTGCTACGCTGGTGTGCTGATGAGGGAGGGATGCAACGAGAAGGCCATGATGTGCCATGCGTGAAGACTCGAGGATCAGCCTTGTGACTTGATGGTTTCGTTAGGAAGATGTCTAGGAGATACCAAGTCCTTTAAACAGATTCATGTTGTAAACACTACGCATGCAAATAACGAGACAGATGGATTCTCGGCGCCACATCCGAGATCTTATCTGAAGAGAACCCGAGATAGCGTGGAGAATGATGCTCATATGACCAGCTGTGGATATCGGTCAGGAGTTTCCTCTCGGAAATGTTGCATAGGTAAACCTCTAGTACGCCGTATTCTTATAAATTTCCAGAAAGCTTTAGTCTGATGTTAAAATAGCATGAACTTGACAGATGACAAGCGAGTAAAGATCCACTTCAGTGGGGATCTTGCTAACGACAATCTCGAACATTTAGACCCGACAAGAATTCATCTCAAGTTCTTTTCCTTTGAAGTGGTACTACAAAGACAAGAAATACCCAGCTCACCACACTCACATGAAGATAATGCAATACATCTCACAGCTGCACAGTCAAGACTTTGGCTGACCTTTCCTGGGTCGACATCCACTCAATACGGCAGTGGATCTCGCTAAAGGCATCCACCCTTAAGTCCCCCCCTTGTTTCTTACCGCCACAGGTTTCCGTCTTCCAGATACGAGGATTTCCAACCCTGCACCTGCTCCTCTTTCTTGCTTCCCTGCTGTTTCTCCAAGAACATCTGCCATGAGGCTGAACCCTTGAACGATACAGAAAAATCGATAATAAGTACATGATGGCTCCCTCTCCCTTTTTTGGTTCTTTTTGCTATGCTTCCCAACTGCCAGTGCAGCTCGTCATTCGTTATTCATCTTCTCGGTATTTCTTAGATCCTTTTTAATTATGAAGATCCGGTCGATTTCTTCAGTAGCAGTTGCTGCGTTTTCAACGTTTAGTTATGCGGTGCCGACATGGCCGAATGCTATTGATGAGTTGGAGGATGTCATGTTCTTGAATACGGGCTACAAAAGTCGAGGATTCTCATCACATATAACGCCTTGTTCATTTTCAGAATTCGGACCGGGCCGTCAGACTGCGGCGGAATGGCTTCGAGTGGGATTCCACGATATGGCTACCACCAACGTCTTTTTCGAACCACACGGAGGTATAGACGGGTCACTTGCATTTGAGCTACAGAACGGAGAAAATGTTGGAACCGGGTTTGCGTCCTCGTTGACGATCTATTCGGGCCATTATAATAGTCGCTTATCAGTAGCTGACATGATTGCACTTGGGGTTCATGCATCTGTCCGAGGATGTGGTGGTCCTGTGGTACCGATGCGTGGAGGGAGGATCGACGCAACAGCTGCTGGACCAATTGGGGTTCCACAACCTCAGAACGGACAGGGGACTTTTGTAAATCAGTTTGCACGAATGGGATTTGGTATCGTGGATATGATACAGATGACAGCATGTGGCCATGCCATAGGAGGAGTTCACGCGGCGAATAATCCTCTAATCGTTGCGCCGGGAACGGCTCCAGATGATTATCAGCTCTTCGATACGACTCTTGAATTCGACAACAAGCTCGCTATTCAATATGTAAATGGCCCGATTTCAGATCCGTTGACTGTAGGGATTTCAGTCAGGAATACTAGGAATTCGGATTTTGCGGTTTTCACTGCGGATAAGAATGTTACTATCAAAACTCTTCAGAACGTGGGGACTTTCAATACCGTCTGTTCTAATATTCTTCAGAAGATGATCGAGACGGTCCCTCCGGAGTCGGTATTGTCGGATGTTATTGCACCGTACGAAGTCAAGCCTAGTGGAATACAACTCACTTTGTTAGCGGGTGGTAGTCAAATCAAGTTTTCGGGCGATATCAGAGTCAGGACCACCAGTAGAACAGTTTCCAGTGTTTCAATTACATACAAAGACAGAAATGGCGGGACTGGTGGTACGATCACTACGACTTTGGCTGGTACAGCAAATGGATTTGACGACAGCTTTGCAGTAAGTTCTAATTTCCACCCAAGGATATACCGCTAACAGACTTTAGTTCTACTCCTTCAACAAAACCTTCCCAGCAACATCATCAATATCATCTTTCACCGTCTCCGTCGCCGAGTCCGGAGGTCTTACAACCACATTCTCAAATAATGGTGCCGGCTTTCCAGTTCAAGATTCTGTCATCGTCCTCCTCCCACAAAGTTGTTCAACTAATCGAAATCTCCAAATCACCGCCGCGGTAAGTCCACTCCCATCTCATCCCAACTCATTAACTAAACCCCCATCCAGGTCCGCACTGGCACACCCGCACCAACCCTAACACTCACCCAAAAGATCCCAAGAGCAGGAGGAATTCCCGTCCCTGCTTTATCTACTTCTACTGCCACAATGACCAAGGGAGTCACGGTAGGTGAATATGAGATTTATAGTGGCACCATCGCTGTTTCTTCCCCGACCGGAGCGAAATTTGGAGTTTCAAGTGGCAGTTTTGCGGATGATTTTAAGGATGTTGAGTGGTTGGGAGGGACGTGTACGCCTTTTGAGGGGAGTTCGAGCAGTTCTTCGAGTATGAGTAGTACGGCGTCCTCGAGCACGTCGAGCACTCCAAGTAGTACAATTAGTAGCTTAAGTACTTTGAGTTCTTCGGCCAGTACTTCTTCCTCGAGTACTGTTTCAAGTTCGAGTACCACGAAGTCCTCCAGCACGTCAACTACCTCGAGTGCTACTACTCTATCGACGAGTACTCTGAGCACGAGTTCTACCACCTTGAGTACTAGCACTTCGAAATCCTCAGTCTCTACAACGAGCAGTTCGAGCACAAGCTCTAGTAGCTTGAGCTCAAGCACTTCCAAATCCTCTACTAGTACCACTAGCAGTTCAAGCACAAGTTCAATTGTCTCGAGCTCCAGCACTTCAAAATCCTCGACTTCGACTACTAGTACTGCGAGTACGAGCTCGAGTACACCAAGTTCTAGTACCAAAAAACCATCTACAACATCCGCTAGTACCTCAACCTCAAGTCCTAGTAGTTCGAGCTCGAGTACTTCAAGACCTTTGACCAGCACTACTGGTACTTCAAGCACAAGTCCTAGTTCTTTCAGCTCTTCAACTCTATCGACATCTACATTGACCTCGAGCACTTCAAAATCTTCAATTACTACTAGTAGTGCTCCAAGTTCCAGCACCTTGGGTACTAGTACTGCAAAACCCTCAACCTCGACGACAATTACAAACCCTAGCACGTCGAAACCCTCGACCACATCAACCTCCAGTTCCAGCACAACAACAGCCCCCTCAACACCAACCCACCCCTCAACTATCCCCCCATACACCTTCCAAGGCTGCTACACCGAACCCCCCAACACCCGCGCTCTATCCCAAAAAATCACTTTCGACTATCCAGCTATGACACTCGATAAATGCGCCGCCAGCTGCGCGGGGTATGTGTTTTGGGGTGTGGAATATGGTGGGGAATGTACGTTCTCCCCCTTCCCCTTTTTCCTTTAAAGTATTGGTGGAAGAAAAGGGACTAATGATAAACAGGTTACTGCGGCAACACCCTCTCACCAGGCTCAAACCCAGCTCCAGACTCCGACTGCAATTTCATCTGTCCAGGCGATAAATCACAGTACTGCGGTGCCGGCAACAGACTTTCATTATACCGCCTCACCAACCCACCTTCCCCTCCACCACCCCCCGCAAAACCAACTATCCCAGCTACATCGAACGGGTATAACTACACAGGCTGCCACACCGAACCCCCCAACATCCGGGCTCTGCCCGCCGCTTTGTACGCGAGTGACGAACTGACGGTGGATCTCTGCGTGAGCTATTGCAAAACCGCAGGATACACCATGGCAGGCGTAGAATACGCCCGCGAATGCTGGTGTGCGAACAGCTTAAGTGCGGGGAGTGAATTAGTCGGGGACGACGAGTGTGATATGCAGTGCGCTGGGGATGCGGGGGAGGGTTGTGGGGGTGGGAATCGGGTTGGTGTTTATGTGAGGAATTAGGTTTGTGTTTACAAAAATCTAGGTTGGGGTTATGAGGAGTTATGGGTTTTGTAAATAGGAAGCGGGCGTAATGTAATAGGCGTGATGAATGAGATGAATGCGGATTTGAGGTTTTGGGGTTTGGCTGTGAATGTGATGTATTCGACTCCACAAAGTATTAAATCCTAGGACAAACCACGCAGTCCGTCCATTTTTATATACCAAACTCTATGCAATACATCTACAACTCGCAAACATCCACTCCTCATGTGAAGAATGGCGACTTATGTGGGTCGTTGTAATGTAATTGGCGTTACGAGCAAAACGCAGATTGTGGACTCGTTTTGATTTCAAGAAGTCATATTTGTTTTCGACTCCACATATTATAAATTCCTACACAAGCCATGCCGTTTTTGTATTCCAAACTCCATGCTATGCAACAAACCACTTTCTTCACTATCCTCCTCCCATTCACAAACTTACTCCTCTCCACCACTCCTCTCCCTAACCCACTCCTCCGCCTTAGCCTTGACCCTCTCCTGACTCTTCGCATCGCCATTCCCCTCCTCCCACTCACTCCACCTTCTAAACCAAGCCTTCGCTCCCTTCGGTTTAATCCCCTTCGTCCTCGTCACCCGCTCAAAGACACCACGAATGATATCCTTATCACCCTGTTGGATCTCCAGATCCAGCAGCTGATTCCAGATATCGAGGCGTTTCGGGAAGGTAGACAGTAAACCCTCGAACATGGTACGTCCGCGTTCCGCGGAGCCGGCTTCGGAGTGGAATTCCAGGGCGGCGAACTTGAGGGTTAGAGCGAGATGGGTATGTGGTGGGAGTGACTGGGTGGCTCGTGGGAGGAGAGCGCGTGCGCGGTCGGGAGATGAGAGACTAGTCATTAGGAAGTGTGCGTAGTTGTACCAGACGTTTGGCGATTGGGAGAATTTCTTGATGATGATTTGGAAGAGGTCGTCAGCTTTCTATATGGTTGTTAGTATTGAACAGATTTGGAGCGACGTCATTGAACTTACATCAAGCTTGCCAGATTGGATGTGGATGCTGGCTAGTCTTTCGTGAATTTCTTGTGGATCGTTGTATTGGCAGGCTCGCTTGAATACTTCGTCAACCGACTCATCGCTACCGTATGCGCTTTCCAAGTTGATCAAAGCGATCCAAACATTCATCTTCTCTGTCTCTTCCCGGATATTGATTGACTTGATTGCACGCTCAGCCACTTCTCTGGCTTTGCTGAGCTCGCTGAGTTGCATTTGAAATGCCATATACTGGATCCACAACTGAGAAGAATCAGGCTGGCCAAGAAGAAGTCTTTCGAAATCTGCCACGGATTGTGGCCCATTTGCATCTAGATCGCCAGTTCGATCGATTTTGATTTCGGACTTCTTCTTCTTTTTCTTCTTGGGCTTCTCGTCTGCACCGTCATTATCGGAGTCCTCGTCGGATTGCTCCTGGACACGATCCAAAACCTTGGCATCCCAGTCAAACCCACCGGCATTGAGTGCGGGAATGTCAGTGGCATCTTGCATGTCGACATCCGAATCCGCATCAGAGTCAGAGTCTGCATCCACTTCCTCGGCCATGCTTTCAACATCGTCAAGATCAATACCGCCATCACCGTCCTCAGATTCGTCATCGTCGTCATCCTGATCCATTTCATCAAGTCGAGCCCCCTGCTCGCTGCCAGCACCATCTTCATCACTTTCATCATCTGAATCCGCCGCATCGTCGTCAAAGTATTTTGCTTTGAGCCCAAGACTTATGCGTTTTTTCTCCGAGTCAATCTTAATGACCTTGGCCTTGACTGCATCGCCTTCTTCATAAAGCTTCTTCACATCATGGACACGCTTATCGGCCATTTCACTCTGGTGACAGAGGCCGCTGACATTCATAGAATTGTCAAGAACGATAAACACGCCAAAGTCCTCGACCTTACGAATTTTGCCAGTGACAATCTGACCGACAGACAAATCAGCGAAGGTTATTGGCGCGACATAGTTCTTGTCCAAAACAGAGGATTTCAGACTCATTTGTATCTGATTTAAATTGGCGTCGACTTGCGTGATCTTGCCCTTTACCAGTTGATCGACCTCAAACTCCGACTGCCAGTCTTTAATGTATGAATCTGAAAGATCTGATACTCGCACAAATGCTGTAAGATTCCCTCCAATATTTACAAACAGACCCATCTTGGCGACACTTTTCACGAAGCCCCGGACAACATCGTTCGCCTTCAATTGGGAGATAGAGGTAAACTCTGGGTCTTCAACGGGAAGTGAAGAATCCAACACTCGAGAGGGTCGTGTTGAAAGTCGGAATCTCTTGTTTGGCAAATCAACAGAGACAACACATACACGAACAATATCATTTTTCGTATATTTGGTGGGGTCAGCTTGAGAAAAGTCGTCGGCGAGATCGGGAAGATGAACAGGCCCAGCCAATCCGTCAGCGAGTTCGACGAGTATTTGTCTTTCGGTCGACCTCGTAACCTTGCCAGGAAGAACCATTCCTTCGCTTAATGTTTGGAGAGTGAGTTTCTCTGCGGGTTGAGAGCGAGCAGACAAGTCCAATCGATTATTGGAAGCATCAACGTTGGTCACACGGGCTCTGATGGCAGACCCGACGGGGAAATTTGACTCGACATCCTTTAAACGCGATACATCGTCCGACATTTCCATCAGGCTAATCCGTCCTCGGACATTGGGTGATAAATTTACCCAAGCACAATTGTCGGTAATGTTGTTGATAAATGCGATCCATGCAGACCCTTTCTTGACCTTGTCTAGAGTCAGAGGCTCCTGTGTGGTTTCGACTTGATCACTAGGCTTCGCTGATAACTCAAACACAACAGACTTGCCGACCCTGTGGCTGATCGGAAGGAACCTGTGATTCCGAGCATCATGCATTCCCAAGACACGAACATCTAGTATCTGCTTGGCAGAGAACTTCTTGAGTGGCTTCTTCCTATCCTTGATCTCTTCCCAGCTGTCAAAGACTTGAGAAACATCAATGCGACCTTGGACGTTATCAGCTAGCTGAACATTTATTTGCGTGTCTTTGACGGAAACGACTCTCGCTTTGGTAAGTCTTCCAATGTCAAAATTTTGCATTGATGTGATGCTTTCATCGACTGGATTTACAACATCCCCAGTTAACGCTTCGCCTGCAACAGGTTGTTGAGAAGCTTTGCTGTCTTCACTCATATCCGTCATGGATAGCACAAACGTTCCTTGCTCTCGATCTACTGATATAACCTTGACTTGAGCTGCTTGAAATTTTTTCAAACCAAAGTCGTCAAGTGAGGCCATATCCTTGGGCAACTTGCTCTTGGGTAACAAACCCGTAAGGCCACCTCCAAATTGTATGAAAGCAGCCGTAGGGGTAATGTTCTTCACAAATCCATGAACAATTTTATCCACTTTAACATCCTCGATGCTTCTCAGAAGCGTGCGATCTTTCGACGCTTTAATCAGGCTTGGTTTGTTAGTCAAAAGTACTAAACGCTTCGATTCAAGTTTTTCCAAAACGGCAAGATCTGTCAACTTCTGCCCAACTCGTATCTTCTTAAATGCCGATGCATTCTTTGACGAGGAGCCATCTGTAAGATGCGAAAGCGAAAGGGTCGCGCGTAAGCTTTGCCCTTCGATTTCTAGAGAGATATCGTCACTCGACTTCTCGGTGACAAGCGCAGATACTATCTCGCCCACCTTCAGATTCTTCAATGCAGTCTGTTGAGCGAGCCCAAACGTGGTCGGGTCTTTGCAGGATACCGTCATTTTTTGCGTTTCTGGATCAACTTTCGTAACGTGTACGTTAACGACTTGTCCTATGCGGAAATGCTGTGTGGGGTCTTGAATATAAGCTTCGCTCATTTCAGCAACGGGCAAAAAGCCGCGAATGGAGCCATAAAATTGGACCACAGCTCCTGCTTGCAGAACATTAATGATGGTCCCAGGGCTTTGCATCCCCACCTCAATATCCTCGTAGCTGACAAAGGGCGCTGCTTCGGAGTTGACAAGACTCTTTTTGAGAGTCAGTCGAACCTGTCGTTTGCTAGGGTCAGTAGATAAAACACGGCATGTGACTGCCATGCCTTCCTTGAACTTTTTCTCAGGATGAAGTAATTTAACATCAGCCATATGCGCTTCCGGGACGAGTCCAGATATTCCTTCGGCCAAATTGACGAGTACTCCCCCAACACCTTTTGCGTTGACGACTATCTTTTCAATAGTGCCCTTGACTGTTTCTCCAATCTTCAAGTCTTCAATATTCAAGAACGGTTGCTCGAGGATACTCGCTTCAAGGGATAGGAGAAATGTCCCGTCAATTGAATTGTACCCAATCACCCTGCCTCGGTGAGTCGATCCTAGTTTGTATGCCCCGGAAACCTCAGATAGTGTCTCGATCTTTCCATCTTTGACCCTAGAGATATGAACGAATCCAGAAAGGCCTTTCACGCCTACATCGACGAACAACCCGTGTCCTGCTTCGACTTTCCGAACAACGACTTCCTCTAGTATGGCGGACAATGGCAAGACGTCTAATGGTTGTTTCTTCTCTCCGTTAACAACAGCCTGTTGTAAAGACATTCCAATTACGTGGTCCAGCAACGAAACGCCCAATTTCGGAGGATCTGCAGTGGGAAAATTGCAAATAACTCTACCCTTGATTTTAGATCCCAGTTTGTATTTCTTTTCCAGATCCTTCCCGGGCAAAGCCGCGCCTGAATGAATTAAGTCGATTGTTACATCAACCATGCCCATCACCTTTCCAATAACGCCCCGAGCAGTAACATCCGTAACTAGTATTTCCACGGCTGTTCCCGGCATAAAAGCATCAATAGTCGGCGCCTCGCTCAGATAACTAAGTTTCTTCGTGTTGGCGATTTTTTGGGTGTCCGCTGATAATTTGACAATCTTCCCGTTCGAACTCAAACCAGTGACCATAGACAGGTATACAGCACCCTCTTGGACTTTCGAAAGTTCAGTTCCCTTTCCGATTTCTTTTGAAGACATGAAGCCTTTAACAGTTGTGTCTTCCAAGCCAAGGTCCATAACAAGACCATGATCCTCTACACTCGAGACTGCAGCCATTACCATATTGTTTGGAATAACGTTTTGCGCCGAAAGTGAATTATTGGATTGTTGTGGTCTGATCGAAAGCTCTATACGCCTCTTCGACTTTGTAGCTGTTGACGTTGTAGTCTCGTCGCTAGTAGAAACAACATAAGCCCGAAGATATTGTCCAATTGAAAACATAGTCGAGAGATCTACATCTTCGGGGGTTTCTTGGTCATTGTCCTGCTCCTCTGCCGCTGCGATCTCTTCAATCCTCTGGGTAATTTTGTCTGATATGGATGTGATTGGTACATAGCCCGTCAAGTTATTGGGTAGGGAAAGAGCAATGTCATGATCGTTGATCTGTGATATCTGACCAAGCACAACGGAACCTGGAACGAGACGCTGCAATCAATTAATACAAGGATCTAAAGAACCTGAGTGTGCTAGTACCTTATAACTGAGCCCTTCAATCTTCACTGCCTGTTCGTCTGCTTCTGCTGGCGCTGTATCTTTCTTGGCCTTTCCACGCGATTTTGGTTTTTTAGCGGCAACATTTCCCTCCTCGCCATCTATCTCCATTCGAGACGACTTTGCGCCCTGCTGCTCGAACAAAACATCCTGCGTGGCTTCGATTTGAATTTGCTTGTGTTCTAAGGGCGTCAAGACACTTGCGCCTCCTCTAGGAAATGCAACTTCCTCCTCTCTTACTTTCGACAGCTTCGTTGCTGCTCCGCTGGGTTTTGTACGTTCCTCTTCTGCGCGAGGCCTTTTCGATGGTCGTCCATCTTTGTCCTCTGGCTTTCGTGACCGCGCGAAAGAGTCATTGGTTGGGCCAGTCTTGCGCTTCTTTTCAATAGGCGCCATATTGAGAAGAATCTTGCGCAGAAACCGGCAATTCGAAATGCGATGGTATAATCCTCGAGCAAACAGCGGCTCACAGCATTATTTGCTCGAAACTTTTTTATCGCTTCCGAAGTATACCCGGCGTACAATCTAAAAAGTGGGACTGGGTAACCATACCTCGATGCAAGGCTGCTAGAGATACCATCCACAGGCACCCAACATAAAATGCTTTGAGACAATACTTGAGGAAACAATACTCGACGAGCAAGAAAAACGTCCTTCTTGATGCGTTCTTTATTCAGTTTCTTATTCTCACGTTAAAATCACTAGCTGCAACCTATTTAGAATTCAACAAGGCCCTGAATCGCAGCCTTATTTGCCGCTCGGACCCACACGTCATTGTAGCTTTCCGCGGGGCGTACCTTGATAACAACAACATCCTCATTATTATTCGTGACCGTCCTCCTCAACACCTTTAACTTCTGAGCATAAACTCGGCACACAGGGTTGAAGGGCTCAGATACAACTACACACTGCAGCAGGTCATACATAAATGGGACCGCTACGAAAACGATCAAAGCCCAACCCCGCCAAAACCTCTACATTGGGAGCGGCAATAACAGACGATCAACCAAGTACAATACCGAGTAAGGTCGATTCAGAACCTCCTAAGACAGAGGAAGAACAACGCAATCCTGGGAGCACTTCTGGCAATGCAGAGGAAAATGCCGGCAGCAAAGTTGACCCATCCCCTGCCGTGAAGAAGTTACAATCTAACTCAACCAAAGAAGTAAACACTTTTTGATCTGGCTTCATTTTACCTGTCAACTGACTGACTATCAGATAAAACATAAGAGTAGCTGGTATGGTACATGGCCCCGCAAATCTACGGCCTCGACCCAGTTAGCTAGGGAAACTATTCTGGCAGATAAACCTAAAAATGATAAGCCCAAAAGTACCACGCCGGCGGCAGATCTGAGTCGATTCGAGACCAAAAAGCCCTCCACGCCAAACATCGACCGTCCGCCAGCTATGCGCATTGGGAAGAGCAGAGAAACGCTGGAATTAAATATGGGTGAAAGACTGGGCGAGACTAAGAAATCAGAAAAGGAGGATAAAATCAGTAAAGATTCGAAAAAGCCCCAAGAGTCCAAAGATGCTGCAGAAAGCGTCCCGCTACCGACCCCAAGTAATGACGAGTCCGTGCCAACGAACATCACTATGAATCAAGAAGTTCCGCCGACCAAGGAATCAGATCCTGCTCTAAGGCCGACAACCGCCTCTGGCTGGTTTGGTGGATGGCTTGGTGGGCCGCAGCCGAAGATACAAGAAGTGGAACCTGTCGTGGAACCCTTGAAACCAGTTGAGCAACCAAAAGAACCTACCTTGGAAGTTGCGGCCGAAAATGCACCGGATTCAAATGCTGTTAGTGCACAGTCAGATCCGGCAGCAGCATCATCCTCCTCCTGGTTTGGTTTATGGTCGGCAAGTGCTCCTGCGCAGAACTCTGTGGCTGAAAGTTCTGCCAAAGTAGAACCGGACGGAGACACTATTATGGAGGATGTTGGAGATGTAAAACCCGCTACGAAGCCTGTAGCGCAGCCAGCACCGTCCGGCAGTTGGGTGTTTTGGTCTAGTGAAACTACGAAGAAGTCAATAGTAGATCCTGGAGCATCGGAGGAGGCTGGGCAAATATCCGTTGCTGGGGAATCATCTGAAAGTCAGCCGAAACCTTTCAACCTCGTGGAACCACAGCAGGCTGTGAAAGCGAGTTCGATCAAAAGGAGCAGGCCTCAATCTGTTGAAATTGGTGAACGAGTCAAACAGTCAGTCCAGCCATCAAGTGGTGCGAGCACGCCCAACTCAGCAACAATCAAGACTCAGCCAGCCAACTTGTTTATCCCTTCATTGAGAGACACGTACCGTATGGCAGAAAGCCCAACCTTCCTGCAACAACTTGCTCGCCTTCTTTCCTTGTCTCAACAATCACCGCCTAAGCACTTGTATATCGCTAAGCAACCCCCGAGGATCAAACATGCGATAGCCATCGGGTTAGTGCTACCGTCAAGGTGTTTTGAAATGATATGTCCGTACTAACAGGTGATCTATAGTGTCCATGGTCTGTTTCCTGCCACCTATTTACGAAAACTGGTTGGTCAACCTACCGGAACTTCTTTAAGATTCGCAAATCATGCTGCGGATTCTGTACGGCGATGGGCAGACGCGAACGGATCAAGTGATGTCGAAATCAACAAGGTGGTCTTAGAAGCCGAAGGTAAAATCATCGAACGAGTGGAAAAGTTATGGCCGATACTACTTAATAATATCGACAAACTTCGAAAAGCTGATTTCATCATGGTTGGCTGTCATTCGCAGGGAGTGCCTGTGGCGATAATGCTGATTGCCAAATTAATTGAATTTGGGGTTATTTCGACAAGCCGCATCGGATTTTGTGCTATGGGTAAGTCAATTCTAGTCTCGATAGCTCGCAAACCTCCTGCGATGGATTTTTTGGAGTATTCATACATGCAACTAACTTGCTTTTAGCTGGAGTGTCTCTAGGACCATTTCCTAACTACAAATCAAGCTTTATCTCCGGTGCTGCCGGAGAGCTATTTGAGTTTGCTGATTCCGAAAGCCCTATCTCCAAACGTCTCGATGACTCGCTTCGTAAGATAGTGAAGTATGGAGCGAAAATCACTTTTGTTGCTTCAATCGATGACCAACTAGTTTCTATGGAGGTGGGTTTGCTGTTCATTATTCGAAATCGATCGATCGCTAATTTTATTTCAGTCTGCTATCTTTTCTGTGGCTAGCCATCCGCACATCTATAGAGCTGTATTCGTTGATGGACGCATCCATGCGCCTGATTTGTGAGTTTAATCACGTACACCTTTCTACAGCGCGCGAACTAACCAGTTGCTTAGCATATCTCATCTCGTGGGATTCGCCATGAAACTACGCAATCTTGGAGTCTCGGACCACGGCCTGATCCGCGAACTATCAGTTCCACTAGCGGGGAGTCTTTATTCTGGCGAGGGACATTCTAGATTATATGACGAGACGAAGCTTTACGAGTAAGCCAAGTCATCCATCTTAAATTCTTCCCTGCTAATTATTTCAGTTGCGCAATAAGTCACGCACTGGAAACGACAGATGCGTCCGACATCCCGCTGGAATTGAAGAAATATGAAGTCCCAAGTACAGCGAATCCATATGTCTTACCTTGGATTATGCGTGGTTTATTAGAGGAGGAATTCGTCAAGAACGAACTAAATTCGGAAACTCATGAGTTGCTTAAGCAGTTTGATGATTGGTTAGTACCCATGCAATCATCTATGTAAAAGTCATAAGCTAAAAGATAATTCTAGGAAACCATCAACGAAGGTACTGAAGGATGTCAAATATCGATTAGAGGCTGTGAGATCGAAATTATGAGATTTGGAGACGGGATAAACGAGAACAAGTGATTGTCCCAGGAGTTTGGGGTGTGGGACTATCTATATAGGTAGAGCAATTACTTGCTAGGCGTTGAGATAGATGCATAAATGAGTCTAATTGTATTGAAGGATACCCAAAGTTTGATGTTTTCCTATGGCACTTGACACACCTACAATTGACAGTGCGGCAAAATCCGCTTTCGTTGTGCACAGACCTGGTGACTCACACGTGATATGTCACCGGGCAATCAAGCTTCCCAGATTTTGCGCCGGCCAAGCCCGGCTCACACTTGTCGGGACGTTCATGCGAGGCTGTCACTTTACGCCTCACCACCAACCCTCACAAAGAACATCCTTATCCCCCACATTCCTTACAAGCACGCTCTTTCCAGTATCGATCCTTCACATTCACAAACAATCATTCATACCATGAATCTTTTTGGCGGCAAGACGGGAATCAAGCGCCGTCCTGCCAACGTCCGCGTGGTTTCCGCCCCTGTGGTCACCAAGGCTCCCGCGCCCTTGCCTAGGAACCTCGTATCGTCGCGTGAGCAAGAACGCCATAGTACGACTGCGAGATCGAGCCCGTCTGGTAGATCGAGAACTGCGACGCCGAATTTGGAGGGGAACGATAGGAGGTTGAAGCCGCCGAATAAGAGGAGCGCTACGTCGCGTAAGACGTCCCCGAATATACAAGCGCAGCCCAAGTTCGATGAGGATGATAATTCGAGTAGCAACGACGATGATACTGCGAGTAAGAGACGGAGGGTGGAGGCGATCCCGGGGAATGTCGATCTGAAGAGAAAGCTGAGAAGTCGGAGAGCCTTTTCGACTGATGAAGATCGTGGGAAGTTTGCTATGATACATGCCGCGGATACTACGGCTGTTCCCAGAAAAACGTCAACTATTTCGGAAAGCGCCACGATAGACGATATAACTGTTAAATTACGATATCCAAGTGCTTCGCAACGAGAAAGGTAAGTTCCTCTTTCAGCCTCATTTCGAGTGGCGAGGCTGACTGACTGTCCAGGTACGACCTTGAATTCGGCAAAGATCGCATTGACTCTGTACAAGAGATTATCGATATCGCAAAGACCGTTGCAGACTTTTACCTTACGGACGAACAGGCAAAACCATTTCTCGAACCCAACTCAGGTTATATTCGACAACTCGAAAAGGCGAGAAACAATCTAGCGAACAACAAGAAACGAGGAGAGATTACTCCGCGACCTGTATTGCTAAACGATTTCAAAGCTGCTGTCGATCAATATAATGCGGCTCTGCAGAAACTCAGACTGGATAAAGTATTAGAACAGAACTTGGATGACAAACACCACCTGCCCTTCAATATGGTGAAACTCATATTAAATCAAGTATACGAGCGAGCGGTATCACCCAAGGTCGATTTGCTAAGACAATATGAGAATGGAGGAGATAATGTATACGGAGAGTTGCTGCCCAAACTTGTGAACCAAGTCTTAACCGAAACAAACCTCAAATCGGACCAGGTCTTTGTTGATCTTGGATCCGGTGTCGGTAATGTGGCCTTACAAGCCGCCCTGGAATTTGGCTGTGAAAGCTGGGGCTGTGAGATGATGGAAAACGCTTGTACGTTGGCGGACGCCCAAAAGAGGGAGTTTTCTGCTCGCTGCCGGCTTTGGGGTATTGCTACCGGTAAAGTCCACCTCGAAAAAGGAGACTTCCTCGAGAACCAAAGAATCCATGCGACCATGAAGCGGGCTGATGTCATCCTCGTCAACAACCAAGCTTTTACTTCCCAACTTAACCAAGCGCTTGTCAACCTCTTCTTAGATCTCAAAGACGGTTGCAAGATCATTTCACTGAAGCCCTTCGTACCAGCATACCACGTAATCACCGACCGCAACGACAATGATCCAGTCAACAATCTCAGAGTGACCAAAGAAGGCGAATACTATTCGGACTCTGTGAGCTGGACTGGCGAAAGAGGGATATACTTCATCACCGAAAAGGATGCGACACGCAGACATCTGGCTAGAGAATAGTGCTTGTAAAATTTGTAGGTTTGTTGAATCTGGTGTGATTGTTGGTTTAAGGAAGCGATGTTAGCTCTACTGGATACTCTGCATAACACGTGTAAGCGAGCGGAATGTTCAAAGTATTGAACCTATAGAAAACAAAGAATAGACAACTCACCTACATCATAGATCCGTCCCATGAGACGTATTGTATTCGTGACTGGAAGCGTTTCAATTTGGTGCCACAGCTATTCCTGCAGCGTTTTATTCCATCGGTCGGCCTCTACGGCCTTATATTCCATCCATCGGGCGACCAAATCGTTATTGTCAGTCTCTAGCTTCTTGTTTTTCTGTTCTGACATATTAAGTTGTAAATTTAAGGATATGATTTCATCTTGAGCGTCCTATATCCGCATTAACATCATCTATTGTTGGTAGCCCACAGAATCAGACTTACATCCAAAAACTTAGCCTTCCCTTTTAATTCCTCATCTCTATCTTTAGTCTTCTGACTCAACTGCGTCCGTTCCCGATTCAATTTATCCAGCGTCTTAGCATCTTGCATCGTTTTCGTGCGCAAGCGTTGCACTTCCGCTTCAGCATTCTTCAGACGAGACTGAAGACTACTATTAGAGCGAAGAGCTTCCGCAAGATCACTCTTCAATTGCGCCGTCGCTGGGACATCCGTCGGCGTCGCACTTCGAGCTGGCGATTTCGGTGTCCCTGGTTTTGGGGACTTGACCTCGATTTGCTTGGGGGTTACAGATGCTGCTGCTTCAAGCGCTGCTTCTTTTTCTGCTTCGAGTGCGGTGGTTCGGGCGAGGAGTTCGGAGTCTTGTGTTGTTAGTTGGAGGGTTTAAGGTAGGAAAGGCGGCGTACAAGCGTTTATGATGTCGTCGTCTATTATTGAGTATGAAGCTTTTTCTCGTTCATCGCGGTCGCGAAGTGATTGGGAGAATTCATCACGCCATGATGGTGGCATTTTTGGTGTTGTCGTGAAGTGATATTGAAACGACGAACGTCGAGAAGTTATAAAGTAGTGGAAGGCTACGACTTGAACTCGAGGCTGAAGCTAATACGTTTGGGCTTCCGTGCGGATCTCGGTTGGCACCGTTCAGTGACTCTTCCAAGGTCGGAGTTCACGTATATCTTACACTGGCTGACTTCCAAGCATAAAAGATTAAACTGATTCATTTCCACGAATAAACAGCATCCCTTCGTAGAATTATTAACTGTCAAGAATATGTCCAGGCATTCAGAACACCTCCCTCCAATGTGGGGGTTGGTCGCCAAGACTACATTCTGTTCAAGGCTAGGTGATTGGACCAAGCTGCGCCCGCTAGAGACCGCATACTTGTATTGATGCAGCTTGAGGAGGTAGCTACCTTCAACATACCCACTCCTCCAGATCACAACATAATACAACATAGACCACCTTGCCAACGAAGTGTACACGCCGTTGAGACATTCCTTTGAGCACGGCATTTCAACAGTGTAACAGCCTCGAGCTCGCAGATCTATAGCATTGTTATCGCGCTTCCCCTCGTTCGACCCAGACTACCAGCACTATGTCGTCTAGAAAGAAGGTTCTCTTGAAGGTGATATGCGAAATCCACATTTTATGGAAGGTTTAGCACTGTGTCAGCTAATGCTAAGATAGGTCATCATCTTGGGTGACAGCGGGGTCGGAAAGACTAGTTTGATGAATCAATATGTACGTCAAAGGAACATCCTACAAAGACCACCGCCAGACACAAGAGCATTTGGGCCCAATGAACACGGGCTAATAATTGGATAGGTCAACAAGAAGTTCAGCGCAAGTTATAAAGCTACAATCGGGGCCGACTTCCTAACGAAGGAGGTGTTGGTTGATGACCGTCTGGTCACCATGCAGGTACGGCGGCAATAGTTCACGACGGAGGTCTAAACTGATGCGGAAATAGTTATGGGATACAGCTGGCCAGGAAAGGTTCCAGTCCTTAGGTGTTGCTTTTTACAGAGGCGCGGATTGCTGCGTGCTGGTCTACGATGTCAACAATTCAAAGAGTTTCGATACCCTCGATAGTTGGAGAGATGAATTCCTGATCCAGGCTTCGCCAAGGGACCCCGATAACTTCCCATTTGTGAGTTTGAGTGGCCATGTGGAATGACTTGGTGCTTACTAGCGTATAGGTTGTACTTGGAAACAAGATTGATGTGGAGGAAAACAAAAGAGTGGTATGCCAAGATCCTGAACCAACGTTAGTCTCATCAAAGCTAATTCGGGACTTAGATATCTTCCAAACGCGCGATGACTTTCTGCCAGTCGAAAGGTGGTATCCCATACTTCGAGACCAGTGCGAAGGAAGCTATCAACGTAGAACAGGCATTTGAAGGTGCGCAAACCATCAACCATTGTATGTCCTCCGCTAATCACATAAACAGTCATTGCAAGAAATGCTTTAGCTCAAGAAGAATCCGAGGAATTTAGCGGCGACTTCTCAGACCCAATCAACATTCATATCGAGAATGATAGAGATGGATGTCCTTGCTAGAATGGATGGCGACAGTCCTCTCATATTCGAAGAATCGTAGGGCTGGGCTTAACGCTAAGTGCGTTCACTGCGTATCTACCTAAGAGTTACGAAGCGACTGTGTATATAGGGATCATCGAAGGCGCTTTGGCGTCTGTTTTTAAGAGTTACACTTCTGAGGTTTTGTGAGTAAGGCCGGGGTACAAGTAGCGGTCCTTCCATAATGTTAATATTCTTATGGTGGGACACACAATTCTGGTCTACGAGCGAGTTCTCTTATTACATCTATAATCTTGAATCAAGCATCCGCAAGTCAGGTCGTGTATTATTCCCCAAAGGCTATTCTATATGTTGGTCTCCCCCCTCCGGATTATTCTACAATGTATCAGCAGACACTATGTCCCTCCCGTTTTAACACAGAGCCCAGTCATGATACCTAAGACAGCGCTTCACTTCGCTTGAAAAAAGGACTTGTGACGATTAACTGCTGGCCACCCTCTCATGTGTCACTTGTACTAAAAATGGCCAAATCAAAACAAGCTTTTGAGCGTGAGCTACCATGAGAGAAACATTTGTATGAGACCTCACATTACAACAGATTAGATTTTATCAAATGTGCTTCGAGTATCTTGATTGAACCTCCAGGCTGTGTCTGTAACTCCTCGATGACGTTCGGCTGACTTCCCGAATTGGGACGCTCAGCCTAGACGGGTCCAGGGGGACCACTTGGCGAGGCTCGCTCCAACATGACATCGTAGCAGTACGACAACACGATAATCCTACGACCACCTATATCGTGCTTGAGCCCAACACATACGCCTTCATCCTCCCAGCTTTTACAAATAGCTCCTCCTATGACGGCAGCACATCTATGTCTGAGACCACCTTGACAATCGCAGCTCCCTGATCGATTCGCGTTCGCGCTCACATCTTCAACATTGCTATCGAACTTCAAACCATGAGTGCGCAGGAACCGCCGGTACCTCCGGTGGTAGCGAATTCGTTTCGTTTGTCATCGGAGAGACTTATGGCACCGGATGAAGGCCATGATCAGATCTCAATGACTTCCTCGCAGAGGGTTAAACATGGGGGCGGATTCAAGAAGGGACTTGGGTTGGAGAAGATTGCGAGGAGGAGTTTGGGCTTGATCATGCTTACTATAACGGTCTTTTTGTGGACGAGTTCGAATTTTCTTGCCAGTGTGAGTAGCTACCACAAGAATAATAGGTAAATTCCGGTGCTGACGAGAAAAAGTACATCTTTGCAGATAATACATATTCCAAACCATACTTTGTAACATACATCAATACCTCCTTCTTCGCCATGTCGCTACTTCCTATATTTCTGCGCTTAGTTCACAAACATGGCATGGCACATATAAAACAATCTACAATCGAATACTGGCAAGGTCGAGGAGATGGCTACTCCGGCGTAGGAAGCAAAGCAGGAAACGGCGACGAAGAAGCTGAAGATCCCATGTCAGCCTCCCAAACCCGTCTACTCGTAGACGAAAACGACAATGGCCCAGCCCTCAGCATGTCGGGAGACCCAAGTCCCCCAGAAGAAGGCCAACTCAGCGTCCCAGAAACCGCACGGCTAAGCTTGGAATTCTGCTTCCTCTGGTTCATCGCCAACTACTTAGTCGCCGCGTGCCTAGAATACACAAGCGTAGCGAGTTCCACGATCCTCACCTCCATGAGCAGTATCTTCACCCTCATATTCGGCGCCCTCCTTCGCGTCGAAGCATTCTCCTACAAAAAACTCATCGGAGTCCTCGCGTCCCTCACTGGCATCGTCCTCATCTCCCTCGTCGATCTTTCCGGCAAAGACAACGACGAAAACCGCGGCGACTTCCCACATAAATCACACACAGAAATTGCTATTGGAGATGGGATGGCGTTTGGAAGTGCGGTTATGTATGGTATCTACGCCATTGTCATGAAAAAGCGAATCGGGAATGAAGATCGTGTGAACATGCCATTATTCTTCGGCTTGGTGGGGTTATTTAATTGCATGCTCCTCTGGCCCGGATTCTTCATTTTGCATTTCACGGGTGTAGAGAAATTCCAGATGCCGCCTACGAGTAAGATCTGGATTATCGTACTCGTAAGTTATACCATACCTCCCCTTACCTCAACGCAATCTAACAACCCACAGGCCAACTCAGCATCCTCATTCATCTCAGACTACTGCTGGGCCTACGCCATGCTCCTCACCACCCCCCTCGTCGTCGCCGTCGGCCTCAGCATGACCATCCCGCTCTCCCTGATCGGCCAGATGATCCTCAGCTCCCAGTACTCGAGCGCGTTGTATTGGGTTGGTGCCTGCATCGTCCTTCTTAGTTTCTTGTTTGTGAACCATGAGAGTAAGGATGAGGAGGTGGGGAAGGAGGAGGTGGAGATGGGTGGGGGGGTGTAGATGGTTAGGTGATGAGATGCAGAGGGATGTGTTGGGCATTTTATAGGAGTTCTTGTAATGTATTGGATTTGGATCTGGTTGAGGGATAGATTGCTTGGAGTTTGAGATTTTGGGTTGCGGGGAAGTAGATTTAGTTTAATGATACCCGTCGGTTTGAATTCATATTTTAAGCTTGACGGAGGGATGAAATTAAACGGGTTGCAGATGTTTATACTACATCCACGGTAAGGGTACATATTTTTAGCCCTGATTCCTACGTATTCTACATAAAGTCAGAAGTACTCACTTCGCGACTATTCTTCCATTGAATAGAAGTGAGGTTTGTTATAAAGATCCCGATTATATTTCATATGTCCGCCATAGATTCTCCCAACTAATTAGGTTTGAATGCCCATATCTCATGAAAGATCAACCTCTACAAAATCTATCTCATAATACTCACCGATACACCCAGATGGACAGATAATAATAATTCTCTAACCCCCCTCCCATCGCCTTTCCCACCTCATTCTAAAAATATATCACAAACGCACCGTCCCAACCTCTAACTCCCATCCACAATCTATAGGGGTATCCCAAAAAAGCACATGCTCCCGTCTCATAATCCACATCTCATAATCCCGTTAAACACATAAACCTCACCAAAAAAGCCAATCACGAACTCATCTGCCACGCTAAAACAAGCACTAAACAACCCAACGTCGGAACAGCCATCGCAGCGCCTTTCAGCCAGAACATATTCGCGGTCTCGACCATCAGGGGATCGGTGTCAGATGTTGTCGAAGGAGTGCCAAGGGGAAGACTAGGTGTCGTCGGACCATTTGACAGGTCAAGTGATGGCAAAGCTTCTTTGACGTGCAGAAGTCTGAGCAGGACGTCTAGTTTCCCATGACTTTTCCCTTCTTTAGTCTCCTGCTCTACGCGACTACTCACGGCGCCTAATTTCGAGGCCTTGTGATACGCCTTCGCGGATTCCATGGCTTGGTCGGTGGTTCCGACGATGGTATCTAGATCTTCGATGATGCCGAGCATAAATGTGAAGATGTGGATGGCTTCTGCTACGATATCTAATTTTTCTGAGTCGGTTAAACGGAGTTCGATTTCTGCATATCGTGATTTGAATTCGGATTTGATGTCTTCGCCGTCTTCCGCGCCGGGAAAAGAGAAGAATCCTAGTCCGTCGCCTGTTTCTTCGAGGATGCTTCCTGGTCTGGATCTTCCTTTGCGCTTCTCTTCCGCTAGAGAACTGGCGTCTGAACGAAGTTCGCGTCTGGGTCCATCGTGGGGATCGAGAGGTCGGATAGGTGAAGGTTCTCGTTCCCAGAATATACGTCCGATTCCACTTGCTGCCTGGAGGATCCCACGTAGAATTCTACCACCGGAGAAAAGTGCCATGTAAAGTACCCATGCGTATGCGAGTATGACATGTGGTTTGTTGCCTATAGACTCTTCCATGTGCTCGATGAATTCTGCCAGATGACCATATTTAGACACTTTCTCTAACCGTTCTTCGATTTCGTGCTCAGACGTGCCGGTCAAGGCTCGTATGTCATCTCGTAGGACGTTCGATCGGAGGAGCTCAGGCAGCAGCATGAATGATAGTAATGAGTGTGTTCGCGGGTTAATCCTCTCGACTTGTGAGGCTCCATTCTCGATTATAGGCACCAGTTCGCCTGATGATAGGTAGTTATCATAGAACTCTTCTCTCGGGTTATCACTTTGACATGGCGTCTCTACAATTTCCTGCCATAAGGTCTCGAAGGTAGTGTATATTGGGGTAATATGATAGAGGCCGGAGACGTATTTCGAGGAAGTATCGGCAAAAGGTGGAATAGCGAGTGGCAAACGAGCGAGAATTCCCTTGTTAAGTTTGGTATGGAGAGAACGAGTCGCGGTGTTAACTACATAATGTTAGAAGCCATATCTGCAGACCCAAGACCAGCCGTATTTCGTATTCTTACTTTGTTGTGATAGAGGTATCTGTTTTTCCGCCACCGACGGGTTCGAGGAGGGAATAGCCATACTTGGAAGAGGTTTGCTCAGGGACTCGCATGGTTGTTCGGCAGACACTCTTTTATTATAATAACCAAATTCAGGCACAAGGCTCCCGTGTCGATGTGACTGTGATACGCGCCCCGTGAATCAATGAGTCGGATGGTACCAATATTCGGTCTCGGTCTGGTGACCTTGGCGGTTGACAATCAAGGTTGATTCAGGAACGAATGCGCAGTCAACGCCCGACGTCGCTGCTGTTTGCAAACATGAGGATAAAGAGAATGATGGAGGTAGATGAGATCCATTTTGCGAAGAAAGCAGAAATACGTGGAAAATCAGGGTCGAGGTAGGATTTAACATGTTAATGTCCGATTCCACGGACCGCGGTCTAGACGGGGATCTGGTTGGTGGTGGATGGGGGTTTAGAGTTCTCGATGTCTGAGCTTGTCGTGATCCTTGCGCGGATCCAAATCACGCCACGGGATTCTGCCCCGGAGCTTTTTGTCCTACTCAGGTCGGGTGTGACGCTTCACTAGAACACGAACTGTACAATCAAATCAACAACTTTTCGTTTTCTGAGAATAGAACTTTAATATCTTTTGAACCAAGATGGGTCTACCTAGAGGTCGAGCTGTCATGACTGTTCTTTTGACCTTACCGGGTGGTCACCTGCATTTGTTTGGCAGCCCTCGCTTAAACGAAGAAAGGGGAGTCCTTTTCAAAAGTCCTTTCTTGGGTGTCGATAGATATCCTCTGGTCCAACATACAGCCAACTCATAGCCGGAACTGTTGTTTCATAGTCTGTCGAATTCTCTAGTTGGAGCAGAATAATTTTATTACTTTCTATTCCACCGAACCAGGTGCTTGCTTATAGGTTAGAAAATCTTCTACGTCTACAATTTGCCGGTCAAGGAGAGGGGCCATGTTTCGAAATTGATGACTGTCTTTTTTGTATTCATGTTCGCTATTATTATTTTGACTTCCATGGTCTTACCAGGTGTTGGACGCGGGCCAGCTCTTGAAGTTCCCAGGTCTAGATACTATTTCGTCCGAGGCCAACTTCAAATAGGGATATTTGCATTTCTCCCCAGTTACCTTGTCACCTACTTCTATGGGTTGAGCCTCACTAATCATCCAGCATCTGTGTCGATTTCCCAATTGTACACCGTGCATTTCCATTTTGGTTTTCGATTAGTGATCGAACTCGACTCCTCGGATGCTTGTCCGCAGATGCGGCTCGAGCCTGCTTGCACATTGGAAGTTCTCTTTAAATGCCACTATGATATCCCAAGTAGGAGATATGTCCTCAGTGCGGAAGTGCTCGGCTCTGTGGCGTTGATGAGTATACTATGTACCTCGACTTAAGCCTCGTTCCCAGACCCAAGCAGTCGGAATGATGGACTGAAAGAGATACACGCATCAGCTTTCTTTGATCCATGCAGATTGCTGACAGTGTTATGGGGAATGACTCCAACTGGGCCGACCATATTGGACTTCTTTGCATATAAATCAACGGATCCCTACGATGGTGGACAGCATCTCTCCCAGCTCACTTCTTCACCATGTTTCATTCCTACTTTCTCTTTGTTCTTTTAATCTCAGCTCTCAGAAACACAGCTGCTAATCCAGTCAGGGATTTGAAAACATGTCGAGAGTACACCCTTCCTGTCGACGTCACTTCCATAAACTACATTTGGGGACTACCGCAACTACATACCAATTATGATGCAGCGACTTTCAATTCGAAGCTCGGAAGATGGGATGCTAATGTCACGCTGAATCCGATATCAGGTGGAGCTCAAGTTTCAGCAAGTTACCAAATATCCGGGACGTTCTGTGCTCCTGTCCGTGGTGGAAATGGGATCGTGCTTGTCGCTACTCATGGGTTTGGGTTCGATCGCAGGTACGAATGATACAACACCATCTGACAGCTCGCTCTATGCTAACGAATTATGAAGTTACTGGAACCCAGAAATCCAGCCCGAAAAGTATAGTTTTGTTGACCATGCAATTTCTAAAGGCTATTCCATCTTCTACTATGACAGACTAGGCATCGGGAAATCTTCATCGTCAGTAATCCACCTCTTAAGTTACTTCTTATTTAATCAACTCCACAGAATCTCCGGCTACGTCGCTCAAGTCTCAGTCCAAGTCGCTGTCCTCAAACAAATCGTAACTCAAGTCAAAGCCGGAAAGCTATGCGCAACGACAAAGAAAGTAGTCCTAGTCGGCCATAGTTTCGGAAGCGTAGTATCCAATGTTCTTTTGACATCGAGTCCTCAACTAGTCGACGGTGTTGTACTTACAGGCATTGGCTACGATGTTCCAGATACTGCGGTAGCGTTTGAGTCCTGGCAACCACGACTTGCTCGTTTGCAGAATCCTAGGAAGTGGGGATCATTGGATGGCGGATATATGACTTGGGTTGATATCTGGTCGAATGCTATGACGTCCGTCTGCCTTTAATGTCTTGATTTGGCTAAAATCTAATGGGTGGCTAGGTTCTTCAAAGCCCCTTTCTATGATACCAAAGTTGTTGAATATGCTGAGGCTAACAAGCAGCCCTTTGGATTGCTTGAGGTTGTAACACTTCAGATTACAGATAGACACTCGCCTAACTATACTGGACCAGCTTTGGTTATATTCTATATCAATTTGATTGAGAACATTACACTAATGATAGGAATAGATTATGAGCGGCGAATTCGATCTTGTGTTCTGTAATGGTTACTGTCCACCAATACTCAACAACAAAGTCAAAGAAACATTTCCGGTTTCCAAGGGATTAGAAGTATATTCTCAACCAGGCTCTGGACATGCTATCAATTTATCCGTGAGTCCAGTCAAATACTCTTCATAATTCTGCTAACACATCTTAGCTGAATGCTACTGGCTCCTTCGAAGTTGTCACTGGCTTTCTGAAGCGACACGGGCTATGAATTTTGTCTGAGTCTTGGTATCACAGGAGAATGGGAAAGCAAGACGTTTTGTCACTGTACGTATTCAAAACTTTTAAACTTATATCTAGCAAACAAAATCTATTACTCGACGGGCTCTCGCAAATTCTAATATTTTCCATTGTTATATTCATCTCTCGTCTCTCCCTGATCGTTGTCAAGCACCTGGTAAAGCGCACAAAAAGCCACTAAGCCCCCCGAGGAAGCATTTCCTCGAGATACTCAAACACATCCTTCTGCTTAGGCTCCCACCCCAACCCCTTCAGCCTATCAGCCTTAACATCCATATTCGAACCCCACATCAGAGCAGCCGCAAAATGCATCTCCAACACCTCCTCCGGCGAAATCCGTTCTACCTCTTCACTCCCAATCAACCCCTTCTCAACCATCAATTTCCCTACCGCAGCCGCAAGATCCGCAAAAACATACCCTCCACTCTCAACATAATAAAACGCATCTCCTCCCCACGTGATTTTCTTACTTTCCGCCTCCAGCGCTTCCTCCACAAACATGACTAGCACATCAGCTACATCTTTCACGTGTGACGCAGCCATGGTATTCAGCCCTTCATTCACAGCAAACATCTTTCCGCGCTTCTTAAAAGCCTCGAGTAGCGGTGGGATTCCGAAACTTAGTTTTTTGATCCCCTCGCCAACGCCGAAGATGCCAGCAGGCGCCACGATTGCTGATTTAATCCCATGAGTCTCTTGGGCGTGGAAGAGCAGTTGCTCGGTAGTGTGGTGGATATGTGTTTCGTCGAAGTTTTGGATTTGGGGGAGGTCATGAATATCAGACCAGGTTTTCGTGGATGCGGTACCGTGGTGGAGGAGCGTGGAGAAGATGTTTGCTGCGCCGGAGAGCTGGGGAGTATTAGATGGGAGTGGGAGGGGATGGAAGGACTTACATGGATGAATACACCTTTTTTGCCGCCGAGGACGATGCCTTCCATGATTGAATGAGTGGCGGGCACGTGGTCTGCATCTGCTAGTTCTGGAATTTCTTAGCACTTTCTGCTTTGCTTATAGACTTTGGGTGAACTTACGAAGTACAACGTCAGCTTTGCTGCTTTCCTCGACGATGATGTCGTTTGAGTCTAAATCTCCTATCACGAAGGTAGTGGCAGGTTGAAGCTTGGAGATTGCAGTTTTCTGTGCCTCTGTTCGGACGAGAGCGGTGATTTGGTAATCTGGATGTTTTGAGGATATGTTGTGGAGAAACTGCCCGCCTATGTAACCTGACGCTCCGGTCATGAATATTTTGGGAGACATGATTGAAAAGGGTAGTGTTATGCTGATTGCTGCGTTTGGTCGAGGCCGACAATATATATGTGTTGAGACTGATGATAGTAGTACTGAAATTGAGGAATGGGATGTGATTTGAATGAGTAAATGAGCTGAGAGAACTCGAGTACTTATACCTCCACATCACTACTTTCCAAGACATTTCGTCTTTCAAAGCTTCCATTACTAATTGCAAAGCTGGTTGAGAATGACAGTGGTTGCTGCATAGAACCTGTGGTCAAGGGGTTAAGCGAGACTGGCGAACCCGTCACGATTGCGGCCGCCGGCGGGCGTTCGTGGGCGCATTGCGCACCCACTCTCCTTCTCCATTTCAATTCCACGTCCGCCATCCACCCTCCGCCGCCCACCACATTCAATGACGGAGTCATCTAATCCAAGTCGTTCGGAAAGTCGCATTATCCAGACTCTATCCTGCAATACGTGCAAAACTCGCAAACGGAAGTGTAACAAGCAGCGTCCAAAGTGCTCCCTTTGCTCGAGGTCAGACGGGGATCAATAATCCAGATCGTCCTTGACGTTAACAATTGCTGTAGTAAGAATCTCACCTGCGAGTATCCAGATTCCACTTCTTCTCCTCGTCAGAGACATGCTAGATCCCAGTCTCATGTACCGTCATATCCATCACCAATAACAACGAGCACAACAACCCCCGAACAACTCGTTTCTCGGACCAATGTTTCTTTACCCTTGAATTCAATATTTTTACCTTCACCTCAAGATGTGGTCCCAGAGCCTGTGCCTTTGCATGCACCTCTAGTCGCCACGAACTTCCCAGCTGTGTTGTATCTTGATTCAAAGCTAGCTCAGCAGTTTCAAATAGAAATACCACAACCGACGACATTTGTTTCTCCCGAAATCTCTCGTCTCCTTGGGCCTCGATCAAGATGGGAAACTATCGCCGCAAATTTTTTCAAGGATACACATCTATGGATGCCGATAGTCTCAAAGAAACGATTTTACGAGCATCTAGCTGGCGTTTCTTGCGACAATCAATTACGTTCGGACTATGCTTTAATAATTCTTTGTATGAATCTGATGTTGTGGGTTCCAGGGGCCAGTGATCCCCGCTCATCTGCATACTTGGCTGCTAAACATCTATATCTGGATCTTGAGTTGCACGGTGTGGTCTCCATCCAGGTATTGCAAGCGAACGTGCTCCTTACCACGTTCGAATATGGACACGCAATATTCCCATCAGCAAAAATCTCCCTAGAAGCTTGTGTCGCGTATGGAAAGCTGTTGGCAATAAATTGGGAAGCCGAAAGAGTGAAGAAGCCATTCGACTGGGTCGATGTTGAAGAACAAAATCGATTGTGGTGGTCAATAGTCCTGTTGGACCGGTACGTCCCCTGACAATTTATGTCAACGGCGACCCGAATCGTATTGGCGCCTGCTAATCAGAGTCTAGTGTTTTGAGCATTGGATATACGAGGCGACCATTTTTGACGGCTGAAGCGTTGGGAGATGTCAATCTTCCATCCGATGATCATGCTTGGGATCAAGGAGTGGGTCTAGAGCAACTTCCGGATCATGGGTCGCACGATACTGACAGTTACAGATAAAACCTTTCATGCCTCAAAAGAAAGTTGGAGATCCTCTGTCCTTACCTGACCAGGGTATAGGGCGCTTTGCCTTGGCCGCCGAGACTGTCAGGATACTTGGACAAGTCCATAGTCACATCACAGCAGAGACTTTCGGTGACAGATTGCACAGCGAAGAAGCGCTGCTTCTTGACTCCACCCTTCGAGCTCTCGAAAATATTGTGGAATCTGAAGGGGCTCAGCATAACTCATCAGTCATGAATCAGGCGACTATGTGCTCAATGTACGCATCGTCTTCTTTGTGCTGGTGGTGTGGCTAATATTAATAGCTCAATATCGATGCTTCACGAAGCTCACGCATCCAGGAACACCGAGATGTCACCCTACTTCAAAGACAACCATCGAGTCCATGAAGCCAATGTCATCCTAGCAGAAGCCAGGAAACATATGACTGATTTACCACGAGTCAAGCCTGTGCACGCTTGCATCAAAGAAACTTCCCCTTTCATATCGCTCCCACTGTATCATTATGCGAGGGCAAACCTACGTTTGTACCAAGAAGGAGGCTCTCAAGAAACGTGGGACAGATGGGTGGCGAATAAGCAGACTCTGAGAGATTTTGATGCAAGATGGAAAGCTGCTGGTGAGTTATTGAATCTGCATCCTAAAATGGTGGGGAGCTTACGAGAGTTAGGTGCATATCTGAGGATCCTAGAGGCACGGGAGATGTCTTCCACTCAAGACTAATACCCTTATCCGATCAATCGTGTTGTAAGTGGCCATGGCTATCTATCTCACTTTGGTCTGCTGTAGCGGTCGGAAATAAAGTTGTTCTTAGCAGCGTTGAGCACGTCCAGTGTCCTACTTCTCCTTATATGAGTTCTCCATCCCTACATTGCCAGTTCTCATACATCCTGTCTTGCTATGTTTCATTCTATTGCTTTTCATACTGCGTTACTTCCTCTACGAGGTTCTTTTTCAGCACTGTTACACCCTTCGCCTGGTGTCTCGCTTCGGGTACCCATGTATCCTCCGATCTAAAGACCACCAAACACTTTCCAATTTCCCAGATACGAATCCCCAAATTAATAGTACCACAGCTGTAAGGGTGATTGAAGTCACAAAAAACATCCAGAGCTTGATACCTTTGTCAGATCCAAATTCATCGACATTCATTCCAAAGAGCGAGGTAACGAATGATAGCGGAATGAAGAAAAAAGCCAGCTGTGTTAGTCCTAATTCATTGTCAGCTACATGGTGATTTACTAGATCAGTTTACTTACTCTTTACACTGACAGCTTGTTCGATAGATTTCCTCGATTCATCTATGGCGAGGTTGCTAACTTGTCGGTTGAGTTCGTCACGCTCTAAATCCACCCGCTCACGAAGCCAGTCGCGAACAATGATGACACGGTCGATAAGTTCTCTAAAATCGCCTATAATCTCCTTGGCTTTATGGGTTTCGCCATTGAACCTCTTTAGATTATCTATACAGAAGCTTAACCGGCTCACCCAACGTTGGCTACTCAAAGACTCGTGGACTAGTTCACCCAGTGTGACTCTCTCAGGGCCTCTCTCGGATCCACTTGTAGGGGTGTTGTGTCTTCCACGCTCAGAATATTCATAGGAGCTTTGCACCTGATGTGCTCTGATAGTGTGACACTCCGACGCATCAGCGGCTAGCATACCTTTGACATGTGGATACAAGAACTCTACAGGGTTTTGTTCCGCTTCAACTATCTCGTCCTTGGACATTCTTTCAATTGCTAGAGTACGATGGAAATCTTTGTAATAGAGCCCATTGATGATAGGGCCTGACTCATAAAAAGACATTACAACCACTAGCCAGGCAGGCAGATTCAGTTATCTGACGAATCATGTCATTCTTAATCCTTAACTTACTGGCCGTCTTTGCGACATTGTTCTCTGACAAATCATCGCTATTTCTGAAAAAGACACATCTCAGAGTATCACCGGAGTTCTGAGCTTCAATTCGGAAAAACCAGTTTTGCGACGGGAGTGGTATGTGTACTGGCGTGTCGCCCCTTGTAGGACTCCCATCTTGAAAAAATGCAGGATCGATGTCAAAATGTTCGCCCAGAATCTGCGATACATCCGACTGCAGCGGTGCAAAGCGTCTAATCCAAATGATCCTCGTGTTGGCTTGTGCTCTTGGCGAACTTAGCGCTGCCATCAGACTATTAAAGCCATCCTCGTAAAGAGAATGCCGAATCGGGCCTGTCGAGGGTATCAAAGTGTCTTCTCGCTTCACTAATTCTGCATCAACACATTCGTAAAGAGTAATCCGCTGATACGCGTTCAGGGGGGGCGCCCAGATGTCGTGAAGAATCAGAGTTGGAATTTCCAAATTGCCAGCTCGGCCAGCTGTCTCGGGATTCTTAGGCGACTCAAGGACGTAGTTCATGGTACATATGGTAGACAACAAGACACCAAGCATAGGAATTTGCAAAAAAGGCTCTCTGCCACTTAAGTTAAGATATACCGTTGACAGCGGACGTTGAAATTGAGTATTTTATGAAAGAGATTGGGAACACTTGAGGCCAAGAGATGCCGTATATTTTTCAGCCCCAAAGTCCAGCTGAAACAGATGTGCGACCCCAATCAAGTAATTTTTACCATGTCGCTTCTCAATGCAAGCCAGAAGCGAGCCTCATGTTGTGTAACATTAATAAGGCTGGCTATATTATGTGCTTTGTCATTTCTGCAACAACAGTCAGTTATACCATTGTCATAATATCGCCAGAACAAAGTATTCGGGTGTGAAGCGACGCGGTTTCAAGCCGGGCCGCAAGTCACCAATAACAAAATTGCTCACAAGTACCGGACTCAGATATCAACTGAGATGGTCTTGCTGGTATTGCTCGCTATCCCATAATGCGAACGCTGGAGAGTAAAAAACGGCTTGTTGTATATTTTCTACACATAGTCTGACTAGACGATCGTGTTGTTGTATTATATGATAAGGCAAGTCAGTAGAGCTATTCCGTCTCTGGAATTGCCAACACCAACGATGAATGATTACAGTGACATCAACCAACTATATGAATCCAAGACACGGCGTATATCATCCCATCCCGACACCACTCAAATTCAAAACGACCCTGAAATCGGTGATCTTGTTGACATCGTTGAGCCCGTGTCTGTAAACTCTCGGCGTTCTTCGAGTTTCCGACGAAGACTACTATTGTTCCACATGTCGAGGAACTTCCCCGAGAATATTCCCAGAGTTATTAGTACTACCACTGTGAGACCAACAGAGGTGGCATAAAACATCCAAAGTTTGATATTGGTGGAGCTGAGTTCTTCGATATTCATTCCGAAGAATGAGGTGACGAAGGAGAGAGGGATGAATACGAAGGCTAGCTGGGTGAGTCCTGTTGTTTAATTAATAGTAGCTCAAGAAGATATTACTGGGTTTGTCGCTTACGTTTTACACTGATTGCTTGCTCGATGGACTTTTTGGATTCTTGAATAGAAAGGTTACCGACCTCGCGGTTTAGCTCGTCTCTTATCAATTCAAGTATTTCTCGATTCCAATTTCTAATAATGTGCACGAGGTCAACAAGCTCTTTTAAAGTGAGAACTATGTCGCTAGGATTTGCCGAATTTTCCTCAAATCGGCTAATGCTTTTAAGAATATTGGACAGGCTATGTAGCCACAGCTGACAGTCCAAGGCTGTGATGATTGATTTATCAAGCTTATTTTGTTGAGACTCATTACTATAACGTTGAAGCATCAACCCTCCAGCTGGTCGGGCTCTAAAAGAATCTGTCTGGCGCGATATGAACTCATGAAAACCGAGTCCTCTTCGTGTTGTCCACTCTTCAAGATAAGGATGCAGAAATCTGAACGGATTAGAATCTGCTTGGATGATATCTTCTCTGGTCATCGTCTCCAAAGTCTCATTAAACGCGATTATACCGAGTCTGATGAGATTCATATCTATGTCATAATATGCAGGGCGATGCAACCGGCACAGGACGATCACTAGCTCAAAAATCAACTTGGGCGGCTTTCATTCATGCATTAGCACTTACCCGTATTCTTGCTAACACCATTTACATCCGCGGCTTCTCTGTAGAAAATAGCTGCTACACGTGTTTCAAAGTCTGGAAACTCAAGCGGGAAAAATGGTTGTTTCAATAGTAATGGCCGCTTATATTTATCGTCATACTCGTCGCAATGGTCACCGAAAATACGCCCCTCAAAGAATCGTGGATCGATATCATAAGTAGCGCCCAGGATCTTGACCATCGCCACGTCCAGCGCTTCCGTGTAATCATACCAAATAATTCTCGTGACAGAATTTGGCGGTCTGACCATCGCATCGTCCGTGTCTACAGTGTACAGAACTTTTGGGGCTTTGGATTTGCCGAAATTGGAGAAAACGTTTCCGGAGGACTCAGGCTTCGTGATTTGGACCTCCTTCTTGACCAGTGCTCCATCGATGGTGTCGTAGATTGACATGGTGCAATAGCCTTCTTCTGCTCTGGGGGTACGGTCGATCTGAAGGCCATGGTAGAATGAGGCATGCTTTGCTTCGCCGTCAGGCGGTCGATCAAGCAAGTAGCTCGCCATGATAAAAAGACGTCGAAAGAATGTAGACAAAGAATGATAGTGACATGCGCCGGTGTTTATTTTACGTTAATCTCGCTCACCATGCCCCGAAACAGGGGTTCTGCTGCGCTGAAAATTCCATCCAATCGAGTAATTTTCACCGTAATGTCATGATGGCACTTGACAAAAAAGCTACGGAACTTTTCTTATCTCTCCTCGCTCTACCCTATTCCGGACCATAGTACAATACTTTTTCGGTAATTTGTGTTACAAACTAAGGGAATGCACGCAGCGAGGTAGTAAAAGAGCTACGTTCAACCCCCGAAGTAAGTACGGAGAACTTCATATACCCCTGTATATCACAGTGGAGAATATCTGCTTCCCAATCTACCAATTACTATACCTTTTTTCACTAGTAATGACAAGTTCATTTTTTAATAAGTGTCATTAGCTAGGAGCCCCCTGATTTACCTGACGTTTCAGGAAACATACTGCTGTTTAACAGTACACAGATATTCCGGTGTACACGAAGTTGCTATCCTTCGAACAACCAGTTACAGTAACGCCGCGACCAGGGCGAACAGAGATAAGGAAAAATCGGTTAAGCTTCATAAGTGAGGGTTTCAGCCTTCTGAGGACACGGTACTTAATATCTCCTGTTTCGAAGTCTCTCTGGTTCGATTTACGGTCGGGTCAGCAGCTCAGGGGAAGGGGTCGCTAAGCTCGCTTACGGAGTTGAAAGCTTAAAAGCCGTCATCTAAATCTGAGAAGTTACTAGCTGACAGACATGTATATCGTATACTTCTAGAAGTATATACCAGAGCTATTAGTTCCAACTAGTTATACTGGATATCTTCTGCTTTGACTGATAACAACCTTGCAAAATACTCTGGGATGGGAAGAAATCACGTGTATGTAAGGCACGTGATGTACTACGAACGCCGAGTGGATCACTTTGCGAGTGGCCTTTACCCCACAAAGCCCTGGGTGGCCAAAGCTGTAGTTCTTAAACGAAGGTCAATCAATTGCAACAGGTGCAACGACAACCCAACGACGACATATACCACCACCTGGCATGCAATCCTCTCTCGCCATTGATACATCATAAACTATATCTCATCTCAAGGGCATTGTCACTTTGCGAAACAGCCATAAAGAGGATCCGACTATTCCCCGCGGCAGTCAGACCAGCTATCTACGATCCAGCCGCATCCCACTCCGACGGACCCAAGATCGATTCTTTTCATGGTAGGTGGGGGTTGTTCAGACTATTTATTCAAATATCCTTTTTCGATGTTCGTTTTGATCGAGTGGGAATGCCATGACGATGCGTCTCGTTATTGCTGTTTAGCAGTAAGGCTAACGACGCACACAGTCTGGCAATTACAACACCCCCGGAGCGACCGACTCGAACCACGAGACAGCTGATTCTATCATACGGGGGATACTTGACGATAACCGAACTCGAGAGGAAATTAGCCCGTCAGGGGAATTGTACAGATTCATGGAGGGGTACCGCAGAGCACGCACCGCCGCCGCGCGAAGAAACCAACAGATGCCCAGTTTATCAGACATGGCTGCAGAGCAGGATCCTGTACGACGTGAACAACTTCATAGGGAGGTCACTGAACTGGGGCCGTTGTTCGTTATGCCCCCGCGACCGGATAACTCTTCATCCACTGTAGCTTCGAGACTGGCTCAGTATGCAGCCCGCCGGATGGAACAACGAAATTCGCGGCCACGAATGACCCCGAGTGACAGGTACCTAGAGCGTCAAAGACATGTTGCGGAGAGAGAACTAAGAGATGCCGTAAGCAGGAATGTGGACCATGATAGCATGCAAGACGCCGGGAGACAACTGGAAGCTGCCAGTTCAAATTTACGGGCTCGTTTGGATGCTCCATTACCGAATGTACTTTCACCGCTTTCCTCTGAAATTGAATATGCCAGCGAGATCGAGAATCGTCGAAACAAAAGACGTAAGCTCAATACGGACAAGACTGACAGTGGCTTCTCGGGGTTCTCTTATGGGAAATATGGCCAGGTCGAGCAAGGGAAACTTGTGATGGAAATTGTCAGTTGTGATGGAGGCACTTTTGAAGGCGAACCACCAAGTCGAAGGGAGGACTTTGAACCGGAGAATGTTCTTTTAGATGATAAGTCTGTTTACTGCACGAAGAGTAATCGATGTAATTTGGTTCTTCGGCATCAAGGCAGCACAACGTTTTGCTTGACCGAACTGATTATCAAGGCCCCTCGCCAAAACTATACTGCTCCGTATGGTCTCCCTTCTTATAATTTTAAGGTTATTGCTAATATCTGAGCAGTATCCAAGAGGGATTGGTTTTTGTTTCAATGACATCCGATGATCTTTTGACAAGGACTGCAAAATACCAAATTCAATATTCCCCACCCAAACCTCGAAGGTCGGCATCGGAGCGATCATATGATGAACTTCCGCCAATTATGTCGATTCGTCACAATGTTGATGGTTCGATGAGTCAAGCTCAAGCTAGAGCGCGCCGCTTGTATGACATCGGCATGCAAGATGAAGATTGCGATTCTCGCACGGCTCAAATGCCTAGTGATTTCACGAGTACCGCTCCAGGTTTCTCAAACACCACTGAGTGTAGTGATTCCGAAGACGAAGGTTCGTCTGGCCACTCACGACATCACCGATCTACCGTTCGTTCTCTGGGCCTCCGATTTGAAGATTCCGACGAAAGTGATGATGATCATGACTTGACGATTGAAGATAGAATTGGATATAGGCATGGGCAACGTCTTCATCGCCGCGAAACTGCTAGTAATATCACGCTCGCGGAGGCCGTAGAAGCAAGTCAAATTGCCACACAAGAAGCTGTCGCAGCGGTTGGAGGATTGATGGTACCGCACGCGAAATTCTTCATTGAGAGGGACAAGAGCAAGACTACCATCAAATTCGATCCACCTGTCAGCGGCAGGTTCATACTGTTGAAATTATGGAGCCCCCATCCAAGCGCATCCGAGAACATCGATATCCAAACCGTTGTGGCTAAGGGATTTGCGGGTCCACGATTCTTTCCAGCCATTACCCTGATGAGATGAAATTACATCCCGATCGAGTGCGAGTATATGATCTTTGGGATATTGAGCTAGGACAGAGATGTAGGTGGTCTTTCTTGGAGTGTCGTTTAGGTGTCCGGGATTCATAGCATTTAAGGGCAGCATTGGTGTTCTTGGAATCAAACAGGCGGGCACATTGTGGACGGTGGCTAGCCGAATAGGCAACCATTTGAACGTAGTTGTAATTACAATAATTGTTTTATACATACTCGGGCTTCTTTAATCGTTCCGTGTACGATTCCATATTGGATGGATCACTTAGCACAGTGGTGGATCTTGTTACAGTTACTTGTGGTGCGTATGGCCAAAAACCTTCGCCTCAAGACCAGCGCACATGTGAAGACCACAAACCACTCAATATCACAACTCCAACCTATCTAAACCCCAATCAGTTATCCAATCTCCTAACATTCACTCAGTACCGATTGAAAAAGCACGACACATGATGGCTTAAAGACCATCCAAAAAATCCTTTGTCCTTTTCCGAAAACAGCCAGTCACCCACCTAATTCATACCACGTTTCCTAAACCGTACGAAATCACCCTGATGTTTTCTTTGTGGGCTTGGAAAATGGCACAAAGAAATAAACGGGGACTTTAAAACGAGCACGGGATCGCGCTGTGGGGAAGGAGGTACTTGATCTTTACCATTATTTTTTATCTCGGTAAACAACATTGCTTGGTATAGAAGTCTTTTGAGATTATTCAAAGTGCAATCATGCCACCAAAGAAATCCATGGTCATGGGAAAGGGCGTAGGACGGAAGTTGACAGGGTATGTGAGGAAGGAGAAGAAGCCGGTCGTTAAGAAGGTGCTTGTTGGGAAGAAACCCACTGGGGTTAAGAAAAATGTTAAGACACCCAAGTCACCTGCAAAGAGCCCTAAGAGCCCGAGATCTCCCAAGACTCCGGTGAAGAGCCCAAAGTCGCCGAAGACCCCCAAAGCACCTACCACTCCAGTAAAGAGTCCAAAGTCCCCAAAATCACCAGCAAAAAAAGTCACCATCGCAAGCCAAGCTACATCTCCAACTAAGAGCACTAGAGGCAGTGTTGCAAGTAGAAGAGGCAGCGTGGCGAGTGTTGCTAGTGCTAAGAGCAGTGGAGGTGTGAGTAAGAAGAGTAGTGCGAGTAGAAGGGGGAGTGTTGCTAGCGCTAAGAGTGTTAAGAGTGTGAAGAGTGTTGGGAGTGTGAAGAGTTCGGGAAAGGGGAGTGTGAGCAGTGCTAAGAGTGTGAAGAGTGTTAAGACTCCTAAGACACCAAAGAGCCCTAAGAGCCCTAAGAGCCTGTGAGGAAGTGGATGAATGGAGGATGGGGTGTATAGGATGTCGGAATTTAATGGTTTGAGACTCGAATCTGTAGGCTTTCTTTAGAGTTTTCTGGGTTTTGTTTTCTTGAATTTGGGGAGGCGAAGGGACAGTGGTTTTGATTTTTTGGTAGATTATGTAGGGATTTGAATTCATTAATTTGCTTAACCATTTTGACATTTTTGGTCGCATGATGTAGTTGAGAAAGTGAGTGCTTCTTGCTGGTGTTTTCGAGTTTTGCAAAATGTTAACATTTCATTTTACTCCGTGATTTTAGAATTCTTGGCTTATGCTCGGATTTTGCAAACACTTTAAAACGTTTCAGCGATGAAGAAAATGAATCCGGCGTGTAAAATCCCTCGCTTAAATGTTACAGGTGCTCGGTGTACTTTCGCTATTACGTCTTTTTGCTCGGGTTCTCAGATCAGTCGTATCTCTTCATCCACCTCCTCAGGTGACATTCCCTCATAAGCCGCGCCATCCTTGAGATGACGAGCGTAAGCATCACCAATATACACGTACCTTTCCTCGACAAGTCTAAGGATATACGAGAGGTTTCCACCCGCTAAAAGCGCGACGACATCGCCCTCCCGAGCTTGACATGTAGTATTGAACACTTGATTATCTTGAGACAAAGCAAACGCACGACCTTCCATACATATATGATGTATAACTTCGTCAACAAGATGTTGTTCGTGTTCGTTCAACTCACTCCAGATATCTTCTAAGTCGATTGCCACAGGACCTTTGTACAGCCGGCCAATCTTTCGTAGATGTTCTGGGACTTTTTCTATAGATGAGGTTCCGATAGGAGATGGACGTTTTATGCTCACTGCCGCGAAATATCGGCAAACACACCAGAGACAAAATACGTCATCGAAATGATTGTCAAGCGGTCCCCATCTCGGAGCGGGAAGTAATGCAGAAACCAGCTGTGACAGAGTTTCTTCGTTGTTTACTTCATCGAGCATGGATATAATGGCTTCGATCACTTGTATGTAGTACAGACGGCGCTGCGTCGCAGTTGTACTCGGCGCGAATGAATCGACTGGACTGGAAACGAAACGTATCCTGCTTAGCACGCGTCCTCGAACGACCATGACTTTATTCACCTCCTCAAAACGGACGTTACACTTGGTGGATGGGTGCGGGTGATACTTTCTAACGTCCATTTCAGTCTTTGGGAGCCCATGATATGACCACGACGGAAGGTCCGAATTATGGTCCACCGATTGTCCGCCGATGAAACGAAGTAAAAGGAGCTCCTGACTTGTGAGGTAAATCCGACATGAAACGTAGACGTATAGATCTTGGAAGGATAGATTGTAATCTGGCACGATCTCTAGGTCCTTGATGTCGGAGGAGATACCCAATACGGCATATATCTTGTCTCGAGGATCTTTGCAATCTAGAGATGCGCATAGGTGTAGATTCATAACCAGGCTGTTGAGTTGAATATTTCTGTCATCGACAAACGCGCATCTCCTTTCCCACGTAGGAAGGATTTGATTTAGAACGTCATTAGTGCTCCTGGATATTCTCAAAAATGGCCACTCGTCATAAACGACTTTCGTCGGAAGTACTTGTAATTCGAAGAGCAAAACAACCGATACCACGGAAGTCCAATCGAGTTCAATTTTACCACGCAACATGATGTTACGCGGACATAAGAAGTTCTCTTGTACCATCCACAACCGACGCAGCCACGCACCGTATATGATACGTACAAGTGCACGCCATTCTACATCGCTGTCGGAAACGTCAGGCGGGACCTCGCGTACAGGAAGTAGAGTCTCGTCATAAAGACAACGTGAGATTCCTTTCGCAGACGCAATATGCGGTAGATTCAGCGCAAAGTGACGGGTCAGCCGATCAAGTAAACCCAGGGCACGAAATTCCAGGTCAAGATCGCTTGAATGCGGGCCCAAGTAAGTGATGACTTGCTGAGCATTCTCGTATATATCTCCCATGAGGGCGACTTGATGACTTTTCTCCTCATCATCATTTTGATTGATTGAAATTTGATCTATCCAGAAAATCTTTGACTTTATCGTTGGCGCGGTTCTGAGATTCTGCAATGCGCTGTCCAGATTTGTTGTTAACGGTATTGCGCCCAATGGCTCATCCTCGTCATTGAGGACTTGTATACGAAAAGGTGTATCGACACCGCCCCATTCGTACGACAGTGCTTGGTATCGGGCCTCGGACAACTTGACTTTTCTAATAGAACACTCGAGTCTCGTTTCGGTCGGTTGAAGAAGAATGACTCGGATCATACCATCCTCTATTGGCTGATATTGATAAATCTTCTCCTCTCCGTCGACGTTGTCCGTGGTCGGATCACAGCCCGACTGCATCTCTTGAGTAGCGGCGTTGATGGACATATTGACTGTAAAAGGTTACGCAGTTCCACGAAGGACGGTTTACCGCAGCAAAGGTATAGGCGGAAGAAATATTATAACCCATCGACGTGTAGCTAAGAAAAATATCAGGAGAATATCCATGAAACGGTCATGTCAAGTATACGCTGTTCAGGCGAGAGAACGCCTTGGAGATGCATATGTGGCGTTCAGGCGAAGCATGCAAGGCTGAGCAACTCCAAGAGTCCATACTTCTACTGTAACTCCTCTGTCAAAGAGGTGCAGTATCAATATAGAATTTCCGTACGAAGGGCGCTTCTCCCCGCAAATTGCCATGATTACTTGATACCCGAAGAGGAGCAAGTGAAATCTACGAGCCGTTTCAGATTTGTATGTAAATTCGAACTTTTGTTTTGACTGTAACCCGGTTCAGAAATCATGACAATCTTGAGGTTCAATGACCATTAGCATTTCCAACACGCCCAGTCCTGATGTTCCACTGCCTCCACCAATCGTCACTCCAGGTTAATATGGTATCAGAAACTTCTGGTTCATGCGGCAACAACAAATACTTTCTCATAATCTGCTCGTCCCTCGGCGTTGGGTCTAGGTACAGATATGCTTCCTTATGCGCATCTGTCTCCTTTTTCTTTCTGATGATAATTCGGCTCCCTATCCCAGCATCATCGTTACCTACCCGATAGATTGCGAGCAAGGTAGCGCTGAGAAGTAATGCGATGCTGAGCAGTTGAGTTGGTAATGTTGATAAGCCGATGGTTACGACATGACACGCGAAGAAGAACCAGCCAAAGGCTCTGCATGTCGTATATATGTGAGAATGCCGCTTCTGTGTCTTTTCGGGAATGGCTTCGGTTTTTGTTGGTTTCAATTTTGGTTTGTCTGGAGTACTTCCAGCGACCAGCTCAGTTTTCCCTTCCGACTTGATACCCAAATCAGCCTCTTCGTCCGTGAGCACAGTCGCAATGGTCTGTTTTGGCGGAATATGTTTTTTCATCTCCTGCTTCGTTTTGGCTTTCTTTTTGGATCCAATCAAGTCCAGAGGGACGAAGATACATGACAACAGTCCACGCTGGATTTTGAATGCGACCACTTTGTTATCGGGTGTAACGATCACAACTTTGACTTCATTTTGGTCGCACACTTTTAGGAATTGCTTTTCTTGCTTTTCGTATGAGTTTACCATCTGGTCCAGGTGTGTCCTACTCTCATGAACCATGCTCGAACGAACAAGAACCGATACCGCCATCGCAATGGAGTTGGCTAGGCCATACCAATCTCCTTGCATAACGGTCATTGCAAGTAGAGCACCATTGAGAAGTAACCCTATGATCGCAGCAAATGATCTTTTGGCTATCGAAGATCTCTTCTCGACAACTTGCCACTCCAAGATCGTGACTGGACTGGTCAAATTGGCGATTAACCATCTTGAAAACCATCCATTCAGGATAGGCACGAAAACTCCGTCGGTGATATTGTAGAGAACATAACCAGGAATGGGAGCGGTAAACTTGTTGGCTGCGACTAGGTATGTACCAAAAAGGGGTAGGTATTCGGCGTAACGACTGTGCTCTAAAGCTCCAACCGCATTGCTGACTTCTTCCGCACCAAGAAGAGTAACTAAGCCAAGAGCGTCGAGTTTGAACGGCGACCAACGTGTAGCGCTGTGGAGTGGGAACTGCATAGTCGATGATAAATCGAACGCTCCGAGAGTTCAAGAGCTGTATAGATAAAGGCTGGTAGATTAGAGAGGAAACCAAGACATATTTTGATTTGAGGCTCGGCGGCCCAGAGCCTGATTGAAAAATCTTGGGGCTTCTGCAATGGCGCAAGCTTTGTGACACGGCTTGCATAAATTGGAGAAGGCTTGCGGGTGCTGAACAGGAGCTGAAAACCAAAGCAGCGGACCGACGCAAAACGATTGACTCGCTTAGCTTGTCTTGCATTGAAATAATCCCATTATTGACAACCTGGTATGAACATCACGATTCTGGATGCCAAGTCACCGTCAAGCAGATACCACCAGGAACGCGGCTCTGTCTCTGTAATAGCATTATCATCTTGATAATAAGATGATGGTAATGTCTGTCGACGTCTCTCCGAACCTATGCCCAAACCTCAAGGCTCGAGTCTCTTTGGATCTAGGAAAAGCTGGTCTCTTTTATTGGACGCAGCTAGGTGGGACACAAACCTCGAAGTCACACACAAGCTGTACCGACGCTGCATGCTATGCAAATGATACTCATGCGGCAGTATGTCATATCCGAAGCGGGTGCTCGTGCCCTCTCCTTGGTCCTCAAATCCTGGATGTCATGAGAATCCTGAAAGAAGGTCTTTTTGCGCTCATTGCGATCGATAACGAAGGCGACCAGGCGAAGGTGGTTGTTAGACCATATAAGCCGGGAGTGAGTTTTACACTTATATCCCATGCGTAAGTAGCTTTGTTCTTCCTCGCTGTAACTTTGTGCCATTCTCTTCGGGTTGCACTGATGTCTAAAGTCTAGGCGATTGTCTCGCCAACAGAGCAGAGAATACACTCCCCACCTGCCAGCTAAAGAACATCCGCCACATCTTATGCAACATACACAAACCCGAATTCCAGTCAGAGGAGCGAAACTGGTTCTGGCTGGACACCCTGTGCATCCCTCTATCGCATCTAGGAACCTCAATTACCCGACACAGTTTGACGAAGTCCATGAAGTCGATTGCCAAAGCTGCTCACAAGACTCTTGTTCTCGACTCTGATATCTCGCTGTTAAGGTCGTCTTCTAAGCCTGAAGAAATGTTTTTGCGAATAGCATATTCTAGTTGGAACAGCCGCCTCTGGACTCTTCAAGAAGCTGTCTTCGCGAATAAGCTGATTCTCCATCTCTCAGATCAGGACATCGAGCTCGAATCCTTGAAGGAAATGTGTCGGGACTCACTCCTAAATACAGACACGAAGTATCCATGGGACGTAAAGTTTCCTTTCCTTATATTAAGACAGTACTTGGATTCCTTTCATGCCAACCTGGTGAGGAGTGTAAGTCACGATATATTTTTGCGAGAGGCAATCGAGGGACGAACTACGACTGAGAAAGCAGATAAGCGTTTGGTAATCGCAAACCTTCTTGATATTGAAGAGACCGAACTGGATACTTGTGTAGAACTGGTCAAGTTACTAACAGCTCAGGAGACGCACATCGGCTGTCATATAAGCGTGCTAGAAGATCCAGCAGCGAGCAATGTCTCTTGAGAAGAAATATGTAACCATAATTACAAAGTTGTTCTTTAGAAGAATCTATTCCGGAGGTACCAACATCAAGTGTTAAAAAATATGGAGAATGGTCCCGGCTCAGGGTGGTCCATGCACGCGTGTTTGCGTCGTGTTTGCGTCGCGTGAACTTAACGATCAGAACACCAGAACACTCAGCACATTTATAATACCTTAACTAATTCAAATCACTTCGAAACCTTCTATGTCCGTATGCCATTTCTTCCCAAAGCTTCCATGCGAAATTCGTCTACGAATCTTTGAATGCGCATTAGCAGCGGATCAACCACGAATTGTCGAAGTATACATCAAGTCCGGCGAAATATTCTCGACAACTCCTCCTCCACCACTCCTCCACGCATGTTCTGAATCACGGAACGTCACCATAAGGAAATACAAGCCGTGGCTTCCCCAGTTCAAGAACTACGCCGATCAAGATCGCTGGCGAAGTCTGATTGAGGAATTTGGATACGACAAGCTGTCAAGGCTGCAGAACGTCTGGGTCGACTTGGAAGGCGATGAATTGCTTGTAACGGGAGAGATTGAAAACTTGCCATATCCTCTTGGCCCGTTGGACGAAGCGCATATTACTTCGATTGGTATCAAGATTCGGTCTCTTGAATCGAGGACCAATCTACGGTTTCTGTGGGCGGATACTTGGGATCCATCAACCGACCGTTTCTCTTGGGCTTGTGCACGTCAGTTCCAATTACTGAAGTCTCTGAAGTCCCTGTCTATTCATCAATTCCACGCTCGGCGGTACTCCAAGAATTGTAGACACCAAAATTTAGTGGATCTGGGATTGAGAGACGAGGGTGATGGGGATAGAAATATTATTCTGAACTCCATACGTCTTGGCGATTTCAGTAATCCCGAATATAGCCAGCCTTGGACAACCTACCGATATCCTTCACCATCGTTGCGAGAGTCCAATTCTGATGACGATCTGGAAGATCTCAATCAAGACTTATCAGGTATGTTTCCTCAAGACGGACACCATTTGCATTTACGAGGTGGAGCTTCCACACCAAATATGACTGGTCTAGCCACTCCAGACCCCGTATCACCAGTGAGCCAGTCGGGAAGCAATTACCACACACCTGGGTCTGAGATTTTGTCTGCCGAAGTCGACGCTCAGCTGAGAGATGATATTGCAGAGGCTATGAGCTCTCCTAGCCATGTCCATCAGTCACGGAAGCGTGAGAGGGACGAGGATGAAGATGACAAAGAGTCGGTTGAGGGGGATGCTTCGCCACTTTATGTGGGAAAAGTTGAGGGCTTTGCGTGAGACATCGCAAGGTCGTGAAATTCTTGTGGAATGGGAAGACTATCCTGATGAGACAGACTGGACGTGGGAAACAGAGAAATCACTTAGGGAGTTTGTTCCGGACATGATAGAAGAGTGGCATCGAGCAAGAGCTGGAAGCGTTGATTTGGGTACAGACATTGTTGAGAAACAAGAGTTTGAGATCAAAGAGGTGGAGAGAATTATTTATTGCCGTCATATCAAGAAGGTGCCTCACTACCTTGTCAGCTGGAAGGGATATCCAAAAAAGAAAGATCAAACCTGGGAGCGGTGTGATAAACTCAAAGCCGATGTGCCCGCACTTGTTGACGATTATGAGCGTCGAAGAAAGAGGAGAAAGAAGGGAGGCAATGCTTGATGGGTTGTGTAAGAGTTTTCATTCAACCATGTTTGAATAAGCACGCCAGGGGACTACCTTCAAACCATGTCAGATCTCTCATCCATCCCTTAACGATGAAGTCAGTTCCAATGCGTATCGCATCTTGGATCTGCTCGGGAGCTTCCGTGAATGGAGCATTTGGGTCCCGTCTGATGTACCAGCAGATCAAATGTACACCTGCATGAATAGCCGTTCGAAAAGCCATCTTGTCACTGAGAACACCATAACCAGAGACAAAGGCTTGTAGGATCCAGAGAGCGCTACCGAGACCCTCGAAATGCTTTCGCTCATAGAGGTCCCCAATCATTTGACCAAGATCATATTCTTTTCGACCATATTGAGCAAGCTCCCAGTCGATGACGAAGACATTTCCTCCTTCTGACTGTTGATTCTGGAAAGTCGTGGGATCTGGAGTCAGGACACTGAATTTGTCAAGTATCGTCAGTATTCTCTATACAGTGAAGTTGGCTGGCAGAGCAAAGAGAAGGACTCACTTCCCGGACCAAAAATCGCCATGTACAATAGTCCAGCTCTCCTCCGTCTCTTGCAAGTTGGTATTCGCATATTCCGCAGCCGCCATATTCTTAACCCGTTCCAACACCTCTCTATTTTCCTCCCAAATCTCCGGAAACTTACGCACAACATCAATAAAAGCTCCATAGCTAATCCCATACCTCACCTCCCGCATCGCCTTATTCCCACTCATATAATCTCTCAAATCGACCTGTCCCGGCGCAGAAGTCCAATTATGAAACCCACGAAGCCAGTGCCCAAGAGCACGCCCTATGGCTATACACATCGGCTGGGTTAGCACATCATACTTAGTATCTGTTACCAGCATTGTTTTCATATCCATTGTCCCCACTAGATCCTCGAGGATATGGGTATTCGTGTTGCAGTTGGAGTATTGTAGATGCGGTGTCCTGACGGAGAAATTGTCTGTTATCACGGCTGGGAAGGAATCCATTACGTTGAGCATCATTTCTTCGAAATCCTTGTATTCAATATCAGATATCTTAATCCCAGACTGGTCTATTCAAATACAAGCGTCGATGGAATTGAGAAGCATACACTGCGCGATACATCTAGTTTGAAATTCCGGTTCGCGGCTACGTATTCTTTCAGATGCTTGATGATGATAGACTGCGAGCCGTCGGGCAAAGGCATGACGAGTGTGCCTCGAAATATGAAGTTTGCAGTCCCGCCGCTGAGGACGGTCAGGGAAGTGCATGCGTAGGTGGTTTTTGACAATTCGGCTGTTACTTCGACGCCGATGGCTTCTTTTTCGGTTTGGTTGAGTGCCATGTTGGGGGTGGAGTGTGGTAGACGGGGATGTTTTCTGGATCCCGTTCTTTGAAAAGACTACTCCTGAGAGATTGGTATTTTTTGTCTTGCATTCTCCTAAATAATTGTTTTGATCTTGGTATGCGCCTGGCTGGGTTTTGATATGACTCTTACTCGTATTCCATGGCCAATGGAGAGGATCACGATGTTGCACGTGGAGTGAGATCTTTTCAAAGATAATATTACTCAACTTCCTTACTATCACTATTCATGATCCTGATATACAGTACAGTAGATACTCGTCCGCTTCTCTATGTATTAACCTCCAAGCTGGGGTGGAGAATAGAGTTGTAGGTGGTTAGAAATAGTGGAGCCCAAAAGTCGGCTGCCGAATCGATTGACGACCTCGATCCTGACAACCTCCACCACATCAAAGTTTGTGAACGCCAGCAACGGTGACTGTAAAAGTCCGAACCGATCATCATTGTGTTCGGAGACTCAGACCGGAGGTTTACTTGACGTTTCGATGGAATCCTTGATCCGTGCAGATGTTTCCGCACAGACATTTGGCATCTCGATTGGCAGCATGTGGGAATGGTGAAACAGGACAAGGACGCCATGAATGGACTGGAGTCTGGGCCTACTTGAGAGATCTGGACGCGCCTCGTGGGTGCGGCTTGTCTTTTTGATGGACTGTCCGTCGTTGACGATGTCTAGTCGGTATCTTCGGGATTTATTCTTGATTCGGGACTGAGGATCCCAGGACGGCAATGTCCTCAGAAGCATATATGTTATCGAATTTTGGGAGTGTAATCACGAAAACCAACGCAGAAAGGGTTTCAAATGGAGACCTCTCAGCGTCGGATACTTCTTATGCTCAAGCTACCAAGTCCAGCGAAACATTAGCAAAAGATCAGATGACTTGAAAACCACAACCGGTTCCATCTCAATGCTAAATAGCCAAATTCGTGGGCCCAGCCACACCTTGACTCGGAGCTAGATTTGACTATGTTATCTATCCTGAACGGCGCGTTGTCAACTTTCTCCTCACACGACCTCGAGGCTGGGACTCGCAGATATCTTTCACGATCGTCGTTGTCACGTCAGGCAGCAGAGGATCAGAATGGGAAAACTCGCTGGAAAATGGGGAGGGTTCAAAGAGGCGATCAAGAATGATGTGAATCTCAATCGCGCAGGTCGAGGGATTCGTCGCGGCGTAAAGGCTTTTCCATCCGCGGCTGGGAGGTATGTGGTGGGGAGGATGCCAATCGTACGGTGGTTACCAAATTACACACCATCATGGATTATCAACGACATTGTGGCGGGTATCACGATGGGGATACTTTTGATTCCACAGGCGATAGCTTTTGCTTTCATTGCGGGGGGTTCAGTGCAAGATGGTTTACTGGCTAGCTGGCTCCCTCCAGTAATTTACTCGATAATGGGAACTTCAAAAGGTATTTACGCTTCCACTCAATCAGGAAATCATCTAACAAAGTCAGATATCAGCGTTGGGCCAACGTCGATCAGCGCTATACTAACAGGTGCTGTTATATTCGAACTGAAAAGCGCTTTCCAGATCCCCGCGATAGTGACTCTTCCGGCGGTCTCATTTGCTGTCGGCTTCCTGTCATTACTGATGGGAATGCTGAATCTCGGATGGCTTCTCGATTTCGTTTCTCTGCCGATAATTACAGGTTTCATGCTCGGTGCAGGTCTTATAACAGCTCAAGCTCAGGTTCCTATTTTGTTAGGAGAGACTGGCGTTGGTCTAACATTTATTGAGCAAGGCAAAGGCATTTTCATGCAACTGGGGACTGCTCAACCTCTTACGATAGTTATTGGAGTTTCTAGCATTCTTCTTCTGGTTGTCCTTCAGGTCATCGGATCTAAGTTCGGAAATCGACATTTCATCATCTCAACTTTCGCGTCATGCCGCTACGCAGTTGTAATGATCGCCTTCACTGGATTGAGTTTTGGCTTAAATCAAGGTCGACTATTTCCACTATGGGCTGTCACCGGCGAGATCCCCACAGGTCTACAAGCACCTCGCCAACCATCAGACTGGCGACTCGTTGCGTTGGTGGCGACAAAGAGTATGCCTGTCTTCTTTGCGACGGTCATTGAGCATCTAGCTGTTGCGAAAGCGTTTGGTCGTCAAAATGGATACACAATCGATCCTTCCACGGAACTGACATACTTAGGGATCACCAATATTGCCAATGGATTCTTTGGCGGCATGCCAGTTGGTGGCACTTTGTCCAGAACCGCTGTAAATTCAGGCTCGAATGTTAAATCTCCACTTTCAGGCCTGTTTACCTCAGCTGTTGTACTACTAGGAATCTTTAGCTTGAAAAATGTGCTCTTCTGGGCTCCCCACGCCACTGTGGCAGCCGTCACCGCTGTTGCTACAGTGCAGGTATTTCCACCCTTCAGCGTCATGAAGTTTCATTGGAAAGGTTCATTCATCGATTTCTTATCCTGCCAACTTGCCACTCAACTCGCTATCACCGCCAGTTCAGCCATGGGTGTTGGCTTAGCCGTCTTCTTCATCACAGTCTACACACTTGTCCGCGCCAGATTCAGCAAAGCCGAATTCATCGATCAGACATCCCTGAACATCAAATTTGCAACTGAAGAAATCAGACGAGGTGTTGTTGTTCAAGGCGGAATGTGTATCGTTCATCTGAAAAATGACGTGTTCTTCCTGAATGCCTTCCGCGTCAAGCAAAGCATTATCGATGGACTGGCACAATCATACACACGCCAACCTCGCACTCAAAATGACAGGCTATGGTGTCACAAACGAGAGTACGATGTCTCAGACGACACCTACCCCATCAACCGCTCCACAACCCTAAAAGTCCTGATCCTCGACTTCCGAGCCGTAAGTTTCATCGACACAAGCACCATCACCATGCTCACCGACCTTACATCCGAAATGGAAACTTTTACCGATGGATTTGACGTTGAGCTTCGCTTTGTAGGCTTCTCTCTCAAGGTTCAAGAACGTTTCGAGCGATGTGGGTGGAAACTTGTTGACGGAGGTGCACCTGGAGGTGGCGATGGACTTGAAGGCGATAGGGTGTTTGAGGAGGTTAGATGCGCGATTGAGTTTCCGGTTATGGGGAGAGGTGTGGAGTTGGATTTTGAGTTTGAAAAGGGAAAGGGGGAGGGGGAGGAGGTTATGGTTAGGTATATTGGGTTTTAGAAGAGGGTATGATAATTTGTTGAATGAGATAGAGTTGATGTCAAATGTTACAGTTGCACTTGTTGCTTCAAGTGGAATATTGTTCTGTGCTTTTCTACGAGTAGTACGCCCACACTGTTCTCTACTCCACAGTTCAGAACCGATGATAATTAAAGCTTCTAGACCACGCTTCTAGACTACGTAAACAACATCTTCATCCCCTCAAGCAAAACCACCAAATCATGCTCGCCCAGATAAACCTCCTTCGGCATCTCCGTCCCCATAAGCTCACTAACCGCAATCTGCGCACCTCGAATACTATACTCAACAGTAAACACCGTATCCCTCGGAATCTCCACGTACTGTCCAAGTAACGCCAAATTTGCGCTTCCCTCGGGAATAATGTCTGGTCTATCACCCGCCTTACGCGTCAAGAATTGAGAAGTGATGTATGGCATCATACATGGCACCGTAAGCGAGGTGCTCAGCGTTGGCTCAAGAGGAAAATCCAGATGATGTAACAACTCCGTGAAGATTTCCTCCCCAGTACAAGCAGCCATAGTCTTCCCAATAAATTCCCCAACTTTATTAGGGAAAAGACCATATCCCCAAAATACCTCCGTTCCTGGTGCTTGATTGAGGAAATGCGGTTGATGCGGGACTACGATACTCATTAACCATGCGGAGTCTTTGAATGTGATTAATGCGCCTGTTCCAGCTGCGTTACCGGTCCATCCTTCCAATCGTTTGAGAAACTCGCCGTTTTTGAGCGTTACGGTGAAGGAGAGCCAGTTGCTTTCACTGACACGGGAGTAGAAGTTTGAGGGGTTGCCGAATTTAGAGAAATGGTGGGGATTCACTTTGGGGTCTGCGAGGGAGGACCAGAGGCGCCATGTCCCGTCTGGGGAGGTGAGGGATTCAGCGGGGGTAGGAAGAGGGGAGGGGGATGTGCTGTTGGTTCCGAGCGAAGAGCAAGAGGTCATGGACCCGAGGGTGAGGAAGACGAGGTCGTCTTTTTGGATGTGGATCAGAGCGTGATCGCCATGGGTTGGGGCGTAGTAGTGGATTTCGGAGACTGTCATTTGGGGGTGAGATTCTGGAGGGAAGAACGAGATGGACGTGACTTTTGTGTCTGATCTTGATATTAGTGGTGTAAGTGCGCGATCGAAGGAATAAAGCGTACCGTACTGGAAATGAACACCTTGAGCTTTCAAATATGTCTCGATAGGCAAGATAATCGAATCATATTGATTATACGGCGTACGATCAACCCCGGCAAGCGTATTGATCCGGGGAAATTCTTGGATGAAGCGGTGCAGATAGCGTTTAAACTCTACAGCACTATGCCATGGCTGAAACGCAAACCTACAAATATCAGTACTACTCACTTCTCAAGTTACCCTTCGGAATATACCGAAAGACTCACATCGTATCCCACATGTACCAAAAATTCGTCCTAAAAAACTCCGCATCAAAACACCCATCAATTCTCTTCTCCCCCAAATGCTTCTCGCTCGTCGTCGCAACACGAATCAAGTCCAATCGTTGTTTAGCATCCAGTCCCATATGCGATACATCCACAATCTCCGGCCCATCTATCCCCCGCCCAACAAGTCTCGCATGCGCATCCGTCTTATTCCCCGGCACAGCGTTAAACTCATCCAATTCATCCTTCACACTCTTCTCCGCGTCCGTCAACGACGCAATACGAGAGAGCAGGTCGTAAGTACATAGATAACTGAAATTCAACATCCGGCCCCCGCGAAGCACGTAGCCTGTGTCTGGATTGCCGCCGCCATCCATGGATCCGCCGGGGAGGGGACCGGATTCTAGGATGTGGATTTGGTTGCCGGGGACGTGGGCATCTTGGATGAGGTGGGCTGCTGCTGCTAGGGAGGCTATACCGCCGCCTACTAGGTAGGCTGTTGTTTTTGCGGGATCCATTTTGTTGTGAGGGTTGGTATGTGGCATTGTGATTGTTGACGTATTTTGATTTGTGTTTGTGTTGTGATTCTGGATAGAAGATGGGTTAACACGAGGGACGTTTGTATATAACATTGAATTATGTATTTTTTCGCGATGTACCGGATGCGATGTACCCTTACTGCATGATAAAAAATCGAATTGCGCTATTTCATCAATAAATAATATGATCATACGTTGTCGCCTTTCGTTCATTTTCAGTTTGTCGTACGATCAACTCGGGACCACTAGATAATTGTATAAATCCCCACCAAAAAATAATTCCTAATTAAAATACACAAATTGACGCTCATTTGTATTAAGTCTTTTGTTCAAGCACTCCAATCAGTGCGTTTTATAGCATATCTGACCTATAATAATTTGAGGCTGGTTACCGATTCTACTTGATTGTAAACATAAATGTCCGCAATCATGGAGTAGATATTAGTGGATCAAAAGATAAGCGGCACAGTTCAAGAATCATCAGACAATACCGAAGAATTAAACCACATGTCATCGTATTCATGCGAGGTTAAAGTTGAAATAGCCGAAAATTGTTTGCAAATTTATGGCCTGATTGTTTTCTTTCTCTCAATGACTAATCACCTTACACTGATCCTGGAATATCTCAACTCGGGCCTTAGCCTCTTTGATTATCTGTTCGAAGACTTTCATGATGACCATATTTTTCACAGCAAAGTATCAGCTCAAGTGCTCATCTTTCAAACTATAGAGTGCAGTGGAGTGGTATACATTGAAGCCTAATGACATGCAACAGATTTGCCAGACTCAGCAAAAGGTCTACTTAGTTTTGTATGACCAGTGAGTAGCCCTTGATAATTGAATCTGTCATTCTACCGTTACGAAACGTTTAATTACACTATGTTAACTCACTTCCATCTTATGCTAATGACTATCACTACTTTATTACTTCGGAATTTATATGAAAGTGGACATTATTTTGGCACTTTGTTCGATACTACAAAGTCGTCACTTTATGAGATATAATTTTAGCCCAGGATTGCCGAACGCTGAAGTCCATACAGCCTAGACTGTTAAACCCAGACCCTCAGTAACCACCAGCTAATTCCGAGGGCAGTAAAAGCTCCAACGCCCATCAAATACGGCCTCGTAAAAGCTTTGAGCTTCCTTTGAATCCCCATTTCCGTCATTTTTACAACGCTTTGCCCTTGATTGACACATGGGAATGGTTCATTTTTTGGCGCTTTCTTACCTAGAAACTCGCACAGTGGCTCCCAACCATCCCGTGGATGGAATTCCAAAAGATTCTCCGGCGGAACTAAAGACTTAATGTATGCCACATACTTGGGCATATAATCCATAAGAGCTTGACGATCGGTGTAAGGAGCGGGCGACGCCCAGTCCTCTGTGCTAAGTTGAACGCAGTCACGAAATGCCGAAAAGTGGTTCTATTAATAAGGGAAATTCCAGTTATTACTTTTTCCAGTACGCTAGTTTTGTTGACTGACTTACCGGATCAACGAATCTCATGAGTCTCCAGATTTTCCAGCTGAGAAGATAGAGGATGGTATTATCCACCGACTTAATCCAAGATTAAGGATCTCGCTGCGTCAAAACAACTTTGGCATTGGGAAATCTCTCGATTAGCTCCTTTGAGAAGTTTACGCAGGGCATATCAGTGACTGCCTACATTATGAAAAACATCAGAGTTAGAGAGACATTTATCCTCTAAGGAGGAAAATGGGCAAAATTACACTGTGGTATTGTAAGATCTTATCAATATCTGCTCCGGTGTAAGGCTGGCCAACGCCGTGGACCTTGTAGTTGAGAGCCTCACGCCAGCAGACAAGATGACGATCTTGTACACTTCGTGGCTCTGTGACCGCTGCTAGCATATGATAAGATTTGTAGCCCAGCTTGTTGAGGGCGGTGTACATTGCTAGAAAATTGTAAGTTCGAGCTCATGGAAATCAACCTTAGCTAGAATGGCATACTCATTGTTGCTGTACGAGAAAGACCTAGGCATAGAACTTGCATCTCAACAGGTCGCGGCGTGACCAACGTAATTTTGTCGACTTCTCGTATGGAAGACATGATGATACTGTAATGATAAAGCTTTGTTCTTCGAGGCTGTATTGTGGCGAATTCTCGAATATTAGGTAAAGTTTGATTAGAGCTGCTGGAGCCCGATGATTGCGATCGTTTGAAGTCAAGATGTGTTCGGGTAGGGGGGTGGGGTGAGCACAGGCTGACATTTCAACCAACAAGTTACAGACTTCCCAACCTATGATGTCTTTGCCACGAACTGGGATCTGCTAAGGCACAAAATAACAAATATAGAGTAACAACCAACCACATGCTGCCCGCGCGGTGTAGGGAAATCGCCGCGACATGTGGGGCTCAGCAACCCCTAAGTATCCAAGTAGTTGAACCAGGTAAGTGTATTTTTGTTATTCACCTCTGAGTACAATTATGTAGATACTGAAGTAATCTAACCTCTCAAAACGTCAAGAGTACTCTCACACACTCTTTCTTTCAACTACTAAACTATCTTAGAAGAATACCAACCCTTCCCATAATCGACCAATTGGGTCATTTACGGAGTGGTGGACATGGTCTAGATGCCACGGGAAAAGTGAGTGCCATGCACTAGATTGTGTAACATGACTGCAAAAGTTGGAATGTTACACATATTCTTGATTTTGTCAGCCAATAAGATTGTGAATATGGTCATTTTCCTTATCCCCGACCTTGACGTTGTCCCGTCGTCGTATAAACGTCGTACAAGACGTCCCCGGCTAAAGTTTTCAGCGTCGGGCGTGCTACTGGTAGTTTTCATCACTACCAACAAACCAACTCCAACATGTCTTGCAGCTAAACAATATAGATCTGCATATTTGACACACGGCTGATAATGTTGTTTACGGAAGATGGGAGTCCGGGCCATGCTTTCTGGACTCGGCTTTAAAACAATGCCACCAATAAAATGTGTTATTCAAGCAGCTATGGTGCTAAAGGTAAACTAGTCATCTTCTTGCGTGTAGGTCTTGATGCTTCTGGTATCTAATCGATATTAGGATCAAATTTCTTGAAATTTACTTATCCATGAATTCGATGCAGCCGTCGGGCTACACCTGCAAATCCATCGCGGCCTGTCAAATTGTTCGTGAAGCTCAAATCGCCACCGGAATTGATCCTCCAGCCTCGACCAGAGCACGAGGCGAGGACGTTCTCTTCTTCTTAAGTCGGTCAGTACTTCGTTATTTTCACCAGATACCTCATCTTGAAGACTGGGAGGACATCCCTACCACAATAGATAGCGAACTAAACTATCGTGATTTGATAGCTGCAGCGATTAAGATTCCAGAAGCAGGCGAGCTCATAATTAGTGGTGTGCAGGCGAAGCTATCCCGAAGGTTGGGAGCGAAAGCATTGAATATCGATGGTCAAGACCGACGCATACATATGGAGTGGAATCGCAATTTGCGGTGGAGCTCAGAACATGGTTCCGAAACATTGGGGGCATTGATATAACGGTTTTTGACTTTTTGGGAACCAAGAGTATGGCGGAACTTGCAGTTGCTATGGCATCGTGGAGTGATTTTCTTTCTGATAGCTTGAAAGGTAATGTGAAAGCAAGTGGCTAGGGTACTTATTTTGTGAGTGAAATTAAGAACGGTGACCAACTTAAAGTTGAGACTGGGTTGCGGTAGGGATCCGTGATTCAAATTTACCAAAATAGAAAAGCATCAGCACCGCCAGAAAAGAGTTATGAGACCTCGTGAGGCCAAAGCCAACGAAGGCAAGCGAAATATCAGAGCTGTACATAAGGCTAGTAAGAGTAACATGGAAAGTAACAAGAATGACAACAAGATTTTTCCAAGTCCTCCTGGTCGTTATCAAGTAATTGGCGAGGTTCAGAATTATTATGAATCAGAATCACATCATTCAACCCTTTTCCGCCATTTTAGGGTAACGCTGCAAGAGACGTTATGTTATTCTCCTCCCTCGGCAACTTTTTCACCTTTCTGAGGTGTCCAATTGCTTAGAAGTTTTAACATAATCGATTTAAGATATTCCTTCATAAGTTTACAGCTTTCTCTCTTTTGCCTGAAAATCATTTTCGCAACTTGAGGAGGACTCGAGCTTTGAGAAACTCCACATAAGCGGACTTCTTTTTGAAAACAAAGATAATTACCATTCGCACCTGACAACCGCTTTATAAGTAGATTTGAAATCAAAAACCTCACAAGGGATCGTTGGGGCGACTTCCTCCTTCACACATGTGACAGGCGTCGCCATTCCAGGACAATTCAGAGTTCCCATACTATTTCCATCATTCGAATAGACACAATCACTGACATCAAAAAGCTTCATGGTCCAGCTACCATTGGGCGTTGGTGGGCTCTCGATATCGCCATCAGGCGCCTTCTTCTCTTCCAGTGTCGGTTTGCTTTTACATGGGTCCCATTTATCGTTGTTATCGCCTGGACGGGTGAAGAAGTCCCAGTGGTTCTCTGCTAGAATCTGGTCCATGTATTCTTCGTACATGACAAAGAGGCGTTTTGTTATCGGTGCCGGTGTTGGTGGTGGCGGCGGTGGTGTTGGTTGCGCGGATGGGCATGGATCGACTGTCTTTTCATGGAAAATAAGTTTGCCATCTTGGAGGGTCTCGGTGCAATATGCTTGCGATGTGAGTTTTGGAAGATCTGTTGGTGGGGATGTCGGGCTAAGATAATTACTGGTTAGCATGTCTGTGACAGAGAAGAATGTTGCCAACAACCCTTCAATGGAAGTAGAAAGAGGCGGCCTTTTCAATACACAAACAAAGAGTTGCAGACAAATTGAGTCATCTTTCTATTCTATCAGAAAGAACTTGTTATAATGCGTGAGTCATTCTTGGTTGAAGACAATGGTTGATTGAACAAATTTTGCCTGATACCTCTTGACCCACTTGGATGGAGGACCATATTCTACCAATGAATCCTGGTGATACTTCTCCAGGGAAGTATGTTTACTGACGACTAGCAAGTGGAGCTTTAGATTTCTTTGGCTTGAGCCCAGTAGTTCACTTACCTCATCGTTGGACCCGTGGGTGTAATAGTTGTCTGTGCTAATATGGGTACCTTGAACTTTGGCGGCACACAACCCGCTACTTGTTCAGAAGGTTCTTCCTTCGGGGGTACTCCTGTATAATCGCCATCTTTAGGTTCTCTAAATGGATTGATGGCCACTTGAGGTAAACTTGGGTAAAATTTTCTTTTTCTGTTGACAAAGTTGGCCATGAAAAACATAGCATAATTTTCGGCGTTACTGGAGGCATAAAAATCTTGGACTAAGTCGCTTTGAGCAAGCCATTTTGTAAACAAAGGACCATAGGCCGTTTGAAGTATCCCATTGACTGGGTCGTAGGGTACATCTGGGTGGTAGTAGGGTACTGGCACATCCCAAACATGGTCGAATCCGGTACCTTTTCCAATAGCACTAGCACAAGTTAGTCAGTATGCTGACAAAACTTGTTGACTAAGTACTCTCATATACTGACTCTATATGCAACAATTCATGAGCCCATACTAAGCCTAGATAAAAAGCTATTAGTTTCTTATCGTATGAATTGATCGAAGCCACGTATTGAGTTTAAGAATCACCTCTGTTAATGTAAGAGTAAACATATCCTTGTTCTCTCAGTGGCTTTACAGCCATCTCGTTCATCTTCCCTTGCAAGGTGGAAAGGCCGAAAAATCGAGGGCAAAAGTTTACGTGGGCTTCAAAATCGATATTGTAGGCGTAAACCTTGCTAACGGTACCAGGTTCTTGGCAGACAGGGCATCGCTGTTCTGGGTCGTTGCACGAAACACTGTTGTCGTCAGAACAATTCAACGTTAGACTTACGATTGAAGTGAACTACCTCATTTTCTTTGACCATGGAGGCAACCATCTCCACGTATGTTGAACCTTAGCTGCTCTGTCTAGATTACCTAGGGGAATCATTACATAATTAGACAACATTCCCTAAACTATCCATCGAGTATATGCAGCTGAAAGCCCTCGGCTCGCTCACCTTTAACTGTGTACCGATATTCTTCGGTTCTTTCTGCCGGACCAAAATATCTATAAAAGAAATTGGTGTCAGCGTCTGGCAAGCAAAGATAGACATTCTGTAATCTCTCAAGAATTTTGTGCAGAAAAGGACTAAGTTTCGAAACTTACTCGATTGCCCCAGCCGACGTCCATTCGAAGGCAGGATATTCGGTGATCATCGAACCAGTTGCATCGACGGGTACTTCCGTACCACCAATCAATTGAATCGCTTCTGTAAACGCATCTTTGATTGCCAACTCTTGTGGACCATCACAACCCTCATAACCATCCAAGTAGTATGATGGGTCGAAAGTCGAATCATTTAAAGAGCTCGGGATATCCGTGGCTGTGGGTAGAGATGTTGGCAAGGCGATTGCCGAAGCACTTGGAAGTAGTAATAAGATAGATAACATATGGCAAAAATACATCAGGTCCATGTTCATTTATTGCTCTCCTCTATACGGAAAAAACATGCAAGAAGCCGGGACATATTGCACTTATATGGTATTGTTAAGCGCAGCGATTCAATAGTTGGGTTAGGCTTTCTGCTTGGCAAAAAGGATGGAAAGAAGAAACGTCTCAAATTTACGTCCAATCTGCATGGAATCATGACCAAATATCGAAGGATGACAAGATGGAAAGAGCGATTTGCGATTGCACTTTTGCTGTGTTGTTTGGCCTTACTTACCATGTTCTTGGTCTTCAGGAATACCAACCAACTTCCTACCACTTCTCCGCCACAGTAACCAACAAACCCCACTAACGAGAAGGTAAGTCAATGGCCAGAGCATGGAAACCTTGGTCTATTTAGAGACCTACAACCACATTGTGGCGAGGAGCAGCGTTTTAGATGTCCATCCTGCACGTTGCAACTTCCAGATTTACAAAAATAGCACATCTTACAACGGCAGTCGATAGCATAAAGATCCACTGAGTAACAAAATTTTGAAGACCAAAAAATATCAATTATCTTCCAGCGACTCGATAGCAATGCAACACGTGCTGCTTCCCAAAATGGTTTTGACCTCTCTCATGTTGACCTTTCTATCTCTCGCTACGGCTACCACCACTGCCGACACATTGGGTAGTAGTCTTCTGTTAAGAAGAGATGACACTGTCGAAACATTATCCAAACTATGGGATTTCAAAGGCTGCGTAGATGGAGAAAAGCAGGCGATCAAGGATGCATTAACAGAAGCGAACAAAATTTTGTTAAGTCCCGGAACATCTGATATTGGGAGTCGCTGGGACGTAAGTTCATTCATCATCCATGTGAAAAGTTGGTGTTAGAAATTGTGACTGACGAGGGAGAATAATTTCAGGACTATTCTGTTGTGGAATTCTTCGGTCCTCCAGTCATGCTCGTACAATTCAGGGAGTTGATTAAAAGTAGGTGGATCGCTTGTATGTAATTTCGGTGACTAATTCGTGGACACAGCGAACTTTTGGAATGCTCGTAATTTTGTAGATCATTGGTGGAGTGGGAATCAAGTCCAAATATTTTGTCATACCAAACCAGATGCGGCTTCCTGTTCCAACTATCCTGGTAAGTCCCCTTCGTGCTATTTTATAAATTGTGGAGAGATTTGCACTTAAGAGCTGCAGATTTCATAGAATCGGCAATGTAAGAGAAATACACTAACAGCCTGGAAGGATTTATCAAAGTAGAGAGAGATGGTGGAACAGATGACAAGTTGGCAATGATCTTCTGCAGCAACTGGTTTGAGCTCGGAACCCTCGACGCAGTTTTTAGTGGCTCATCTACAGGACCCAACAAATATGACCTTGCGATGTATCACAACAGGGCTTTGCACTGGGTGGGCGCAATGATGCAAATGCCGACGATCAATTCCAGGAACGCCAAAAATATGCGCAACAACATCTTGAAATTTCCTACCGCAAATCCAGAAATGAATTCCAGGGAGTACGTTGTCGGGGTTGAGAGGGTTAAATATCTTGGTAAATTTTATGACAACCATTTACAAAGGATAACCATTCTTTCGAACATCGATACGTGGTCTTGGTATGCAATGGCCGCATATGTGCAGGATAAGCTTGGAGAGTATCCTCATAGGCCTCAAGTACCAAGCTCTCTGCCTTCAATGCAGACGGGCTATGTATCGCTTGGGAACCAGACCACAGACGTGGATATGCCTGAAGATCCGGTTTTGGTGGCATTGGAGGCTTCTTTAGGAGAGTAGATGTCGATTGCTCAGACTAGTTTATTTTTCATCAGCGGATATTCATCAGAGCTTTTTTCTCAAATATATATGCATAGTGAGAAATGTGGTCAACACTGGGAACTTTCAGTGGCGGGAGGCACGTTCAACTGACCAAAAAGAAGCTGCCAGTGACCTCATTGACTACTCGAAATGGTGCCTTGAAGACCTAGCAATTTTACTTCAGGACAGTCTGCTGGATTTTCGTAGAATGTTGCACCATATTGCTTAAGCACCTCACAATGGCCTTCCATGGTAGTCTCTTGGAACAGTTTCGTTCTCAACTCATCCTCTTCTAGCTCAGGGTCCGTCTCCTCTCCCTCGGCAACGCGATAGAAATAATCTATTTCATCGTCTATGCTTGTGTCATCAGTCAAAGGATGCTTTCGTATTTTATAGACCCAAACCCCTCCAGATTCAGGCCAACCCATTATCTGTCGCCTCGAAAAAAGATAATATGGATCCTTGCACGGTTCTTTCTCCCAGGGCGGTGTCGGATTTCGAAGCTTAGCACCGGCGCGCTTCATCAGCAAACAATGGTTTGATTCATCGATCGGATCATCTGGAATTGGTATGCAATCATGCGTGTGATTCCGATTTTTGTTCCCTGGGATTTTGACAAGTTGAGACTCCCAGTTCGATCCCAAGATGTACGATCGTATTGCGGGTGAAGACTGATGTATATGGAGCACCCAAGGAGCACTCTCGTTTTGGGATATGAATCCATAGATAGATTTGTCGCTCATATCAAAACGCACATCTGGCGGAGGATGTAGAGGATAGCCAATTGTGCATGGACCAAACGATGCTTGTAATTTCAGGCGTTCAGGATCCGTTTCGGTCGCTGGAGAGTTTAGAGATGCGACATATTCCCAAATTCTGAACAGCATATATCCAGCCATGATTCGGGAGCAAGTAAGGTTGAAAGATGGTCGAAACGGTAGTGGGAAAAGAACGAGTTTCGGTTGGAAATAGGATCTTGGAGTCTGAAGTTGCGCTCGTCCAGGTCTCCAACGACGGATTTTGTTGGTTGGTGCCTATTCTAGGAAGCGAGTGAGACAAAATCGATGCACCCCTCCCGTGTGGATAGCGGATTTGAGGATGTAACGAATACCTCGAATGACTTTTCGTCTCAAATAAACCAAAATCGCAAGCAAATTGTTTATTGTTTCGCAGTCAGCCACATGTCACACACTCATAAGTGTACCTAGGTATCCTGTGTAATTAGCGATTTTCCACCACTATACACGCCACTCCGTGCGTTTGTCCTCTGCAAGAAAACCGCCCAGTTGCCCCTCGAAATCTTGTTCCACTATAGCGCATAGAGTTCTGGAAAGTACTTAGAACCACCATAAATTAGGTGACTGGTACATTTCCGAATTTCTTATCGCCATTCAACCCCAAAGACAGATGTAGCAACAAAATAAGGGGGGAGCATGTCCATCAATATCAATCTGAGTTTTGGGAGGGGTATAATAACCTGAAGATAATAAGTAAAATATAAAAAGCTAGATATAGAACAGCTGAATATAATATCCCGAAAGAACCTGATGTGCGTTGGTAGCCATTCAGAAGACACCGCGAAGTGCAACTAATGGCAGAATTCTCCAGCATCGTCGCAAAACTCATATTCTTTAAGGGGCCGCTTTTTCAAATATAACCCAGTCCACGATTCGGTGAAAGGTTGAGGAAACTCACTGCAATGTGACAATAGAACCTTCTCACGTGTATTTTTTCACTTTTACTATCAATAAGCGATTCGCCAAAACTCGAGTGCCAATCTTCTGAAGAATTTAGTGTTTCTTTCTGCTCTAATTTGCGAACATGGAACTTTGTCAGCACCACTTTTTAGGATAGAGAACCACGCGGTCCGATTTGACACGTGATCACCCCCCCCCCCCCCCCCCCCGGCCGGGGGGGTGAATGAAAGATTGTTCCCTCACTTGTCCTAGGAAAAAACATGTTTACAAAACATCTGAAAGATACCAATTTCGACTACATAAAATATGACACAATCCCACGTCGATACCTCTTTCCTCTTGCCGAACCAAAACAACATACCCCCAACGGATCTACCCGTCCCCCGATCTCCCTCCCGCACTCCCGCCGCGCACCAATAAAACAAAATACACGTCACGTCCCTTATCCATCCAAACAGAACTCCCCACCATCTCACAATTCAATCTTTTGTTGCACATCGTACCGGCAGCGCGGGAGTTGGATTCCGGCAATGTGCTGCCTGTTTTGCGTTACTTTTCCCACGAGCGCGAAGCAAAAAAGCGTGAGGAATGGTGGGAGCGAGGGTCGGGGAGGAGGTTCCGGCGCATGCATGATGTTTTGGTGGTGGTGTTTTTGGTGATTCGGAAGGGCCGGTTTCGTAGGGGGTTAAGCGAGGGGGTGAGGCGTAAGTGGTGCGTAAGATTTGTGATAGGGAGGTGAGATAAGCTGGAAATTTGTGCTACAGATGAACACGGATTCTCTTTTTGTCTTCTGGATTTAGTATTTCTTGATTGCCTGATGCGATGGTATAAAGATGAGCGAAGGTTTTCGAAAGTTAATGGGACACGATGCGGTATATGTTTCTATTTCATCTGCTATGGCTTGACTTGTATGGTTTTTCTGTTTCCAAAAATAAGGCCCCGGATTCTCCAATACCTCCCTCAATTTCTAAAAAGGTCAATGGAGAAAGTGACGGGGGAAATGAAAAGTTGCATTATTTGGGCACATATGCCGAAGTGTACATAGCCTACATATTTCTTTCGCGGAGATTGTTCCTAAACTTCCACCCCAGTCCTTACTCTCCATCTTATGATTTTAGATTTGACACATCGTAACTACAGGACTGAGATAATTTGGGGTTTCAATGTTTCTCGCTGTTATTTGCGTTGGTGTCAACCTGACGCGTCCTTTGTCACCAATCACCACTTCCACTTGGAGAAAGACACATACCGGCAACGAAGATGAAGGACTCGGACACACACTTCTACTTTGTTCCGTACAAGACGACAATTAATTGTGGTTCATTAACAAATAAAACTGGACTGTAACATCCAGGGGGTTACATATAGTTTTTAAACTCACATTATTGCGTTGCACTTCGAACTCAACATCTCGAGTAAGCGCACTCAAAATAAGACAAAGTTTGCGATATCCTCCGAAAGATCATAATATGTGCTGATCTAGCATGGTATCTTTATACCTAGACTAACAGCACAAGATCTGAGAAACTCATAAATTAAAAAGAAAACTTCGTTCCTAACTAAAATTGGAAGAATCGTCAGGTCTGATCTTGTACATATTTTAGGATCTGAGACTCTCATTTTCTGCATACACACCAAGACACTCTCTGCTGACATCAGCACAACGATTATCTATTGTGGGTCAAACTCAACATGTATTCATTCCAACAGATATAAAAGACAAGGTGTTTATTTCTAGTCCACACTCTGTACATTGTGATCTCAGATTCAACGCCTGGCAACATAGAAAGGTCACTTGCAGGGAAGAGTAATATATGAATTATCTTTCGAATTCACAAAAGATTTGTCACGGAAAACATTTGTGACAATAGAAAGCTACAATTACTAATTTGCGTTAGCTCATTATGAATGCAAAGACAATAACCTTGAGAAATGGTGGCTAATTACCTCTCGAGTTTCATTTGAACTCCGTATCATGAAATTTAAGGTGGGTGGGAATTGGAATTTCCTCAGCAACTCGAAGAAGCACCCCATAGCCGTATCAAAATCTAAAATACAACTATACAGCTGCTTGCCATATAGAGTAAATGTGGTTATTCGTTGGAACGAATACAGCAAGCACAAACTGACCTCGATTTTAAATCGACATAGTGAAAGTGCTGACGGATCATTGGCTCCCATATAGATAAGATTCTGAGGTTAACTTGGAATAAACTCACCCTGTTCTACTCCAAATTAACAAATTTGATCTGGTGTAAAAACGAGATTGGCAGCAGCAATATATTCGGCAGCAAAGATTGCACAACGAATTACTACGAATGATATCCACGCATCGCGAGTAATACGTAGAAACATTCATCATCTACCACCTAAAAGGCAACCGGCATTTCCTGACTCTTCAGAGGCGAGAAGCCGTCCTTTACTGGGTCGAATATCTATTTCTGGGAACTGTTTTCTTATGGAAATATGGAAGCTGGATTGTTACTTAAATATGAAGGTTTCTTCTGAGAATTGAGTCAAGTATGAATTCGTTTTATGGAGGAGTACTGATGCAAGTTTATGACAAGATATATCATGCTAGGCCAACAACATTTGGCCATCAAATGTCAAATTTAAAATACACCGCAACAAACCCCTCGGTACTAAACACTCATCTATAACAACGATACTTGTCCCAAATTGGTTGTTACATTATGAAAAGAAAATCGACCAACCCTTTCTGTAACCTGCAATCCATATTCCAAATAATTTAACCACTATGTCACCGAGAGGACTCATTTTAGCAAATTTGAAAACCTAGAGCGCGATCTCTAATCTGTTGTTGGAAGACTGTACGGTAAGACCGGCCTTGAGTTTTGGACAGCATGACATTTCGGTGAAATATCTAAAGAATGTGGGAAGTCATGAAATTGACAGCAAATATACTTTCGAAGACAACAAAATCTCATATTTGTCTAAAAGGGTAGCCTGGCAAGCACACCTTCTGTAAAACTCAACATCATTTCAATGAGCATTAGTGGATTTGAGAAAAAAATGGAGAAGGAACTTTTGGTATTAGATAGCACCAAGCGAATTCTGCAGCTTTTTTCGCTCGATTCATTATTCTGTCACGAGATACTCATGGTCAGAAGGGTTAAAACACATCTCTCTGATATCAAATATTTTGATGGCTAAGTACATTAACTTTCAGCTTGAAATAAGGCGCTGACCTGAAAGCTTCCTGTAAGGAGATGGACAGTACTTAATCCACAGACGAAAAGATTTGTTGTCGACCGGCTGAACAACAGTGGCTTATTTTCAAGCATGTAAAATGCAAAACCTAACTAAATCATGTCTAAGTCATACACATAGAACTTCCTCAATGAAGTGAACGACTGTTATTTCGTATTCAAACAGCGAAACACCTCCTCCAAGTTCAACTAACCTATCACTTAGTGCAACCTGATGTAAATTTAGGTCACCAAATTGAAGCTAGTTTTTTCAGACTTCATAATATCAATCAACATCGATCGTCCTAGCCTCATGAGTCCCAACTATTCTCCCCTCCCTTCAAATCCAACTATTTCTCACATATCTGTCGACTTCATGTTGCCTAGCTTTCTACCCTAACCTTGCATATATACTCTGCAAACAGTAAACTCTGATTCCAGTAGAACATCAGAATTTCTTCCAGGAAATCACATGATGTAAATTCTCTTCTACTACGACCAGATTCAATTGGAAATGTCTGATTCAACCAGCCGATATAATTGTAGTCGGTATGAATCTGGATTTACTACCTACGCCCATAAAGATTAGCACGAAACCTGGAAATCGGTGACAATTATATTTTCGACGACACTAAGCGTTCAACCAAACAGTCCCAAAGTTTGCAGCCCGATTTCATTTTAAAGGAATACTTTGCTTTCTTCCTTCAAGAATCCAGCCAGTTTTGGTAAAGTTTAATAGCAACAATATTTTTCAAAGAAGGTTCATCGCTAAGCTGTAATTGACGTGCTTTCCTTACAGTTGCGAATTTGAGGAAGGATTTAACGAATTTTTGGGGCCGAATCTGTTATTTCCATCAGTCAGAAGGGGTCACAGATGAGAGTTAACTTGGAGAGCTTGGTATTTGTCCACACTCGGCGTCCAAATTTGAAAATACGAAAAGAATTAACAACTTCAAATCGATTTAGCAGTGATGAAAGTGCTACAATCAACTTTAGCTGCAAAAAAAATAGCCCATAACATGTTACTCTAGAGGATCAGAACCGTCTGTTAAATTGTCTAGCAAGATTATTTCCCCAGTGTCAATATAACCTCGGCATCATCAGTTGTGTAGTTCTTCTGTAATACGTCAATGCCTCGGTGCCTGGTCAAACTATATTAGATGGCTTGTATTCAAACTTGAACGAATTCGTTGTAAAAGGAAAGACTTGAATAGTAAAAATATTAGCTAGTCTTTGAGCCTTTTGTTTCTGAGACAAAGTGCACAACAAGATATGAGGGTGCATGAGAACATTTGACAAGTTTCGCTTATTTGTAAGGAAGAGCCACTTGCATGGGACACTCAGGATTCAGTTTCAGAAGAGCGTCCTTGGCAACTGAGTCGCAAGTTGCTCCAGCGACAATTGCGTAGAACTGTATTATGAGATCTCGAAGTCAGCATGCAATAGTAATAGTGAGAAAGTACTTGGAGTAACCAGTGGCGTGAATATATTCTCCAGAAGCACCACAAAAAGGCATGAAACCCTAAAGGTAAATAGTAACTATGACTGACCTGAAACCCGTCGTGTCTTCCGGAGAGAAAAGCACTGAGTGTCCCTCCTTGGTTGATGTTCTGTGCTTGTGGGATACAAGCAGCCCACGCACCATCTCCACCCTCATACGTGCTGGCGTACGGATATTCATCGCACTGGTAAGTGCTTCCAACCCCTGTGTTAAATCTCTCGTCAATACTTGGAGGAACTCAGGTTCTTAGAGCCACTGACCTGAACAGCAAGTACCCCCTTTGCATGGGCCTGCATCGCGTGCTGCATCTCCGATTCCGGGCCCTGAATATTGAAGCAACTGGTATTGAGTACCAATATTTTCAACCCCGGGTTTGAAAATCTGAGATCGTATTCCTGCCAACTGTGAGTTTCATGAGACTCGGAGGTTGTAAAGTTTAATCGTACCTAAACATGTGTTCTCACATAGCTGCAAATGAAGTATAAGTATTTTCTCTGTGCTAGGAAGGTTTTAATTATTCTTACTTCCAAGCCATGTCTCACATCATCCCACACTAGTCGTGCAGGTGAACACATACGATTTGGAGCGCATGTCGCGCCTTCGCCACAACCTTTACAAATGTTGATTTTATATCAAGAGAACGCAGCAGAGAGAGGTAACACTTACAGTACCCATCACAAGAAGTTTCATACTCGCGACAACACACTGATCCTCCTGCGGGTCCTGTGCCACACTTGAGTAGACTCCCATCATCATCCACATATGGGCAGCAGGAGTCTCCACAGCAGGTTGAGGTGACAGGACAGTTGAAAAGAGTGCCTTTGCAGCATTTCGTGCCCACCGAATGGCAAAAGCCTGGTGCGTCCGTACCGCAGCAGAGCGTACCGGCAGGACAATTGATAAGTTCGTTCTTGCAACAGACTGTGTTGGGTGGGTGACAAGCTCTTGGAGAGACAGAGCCGCAAGCTGTCATTCCGGTAGGACAGCATAAGCTAGGCTGGCACACAGGAAATGACGGGGTGCAACATGCTCTCGTGTTGCACTATCGAGGGTCAGCAAAATCTTTGTAGTGCTTTGTCCACGTGTTTGATACTCACACAAGTATTGCCAACAGGGCAGCAGAAAAGGCCAGGGCATGGCACTACATAAGTTTTATTTCATATGACTTGCTAAACATATAAACTATGAAGAGTATATTTAAACTCTTTCATGGATATCCTATAGGACATTGCTGTCGCTCAACTAATGATCGAGACTGGACTTCGTTATGAACTTGCAGGCTGAGGTCGCTGGGAGGTTTATTCGATGCAAGGGATTTGAGCTTGAGGTTTGTTTTTCCCCTGGTATGACCCGGAAGTGAAGGAAGTGGTTCACCTGCTTTCGAGTGGCCAATGAAGCAAAGAAGCCAGGCAAAAATAAGAAGGCAAATCATGATATTATACCAGTTTTGTATATGATTTTGGCGGAACTATCGTCTTCAGTTTACTATATCAAGCTCAGTATGAAGTTAAATAGCTATTGATATTTATTTCTGGATGCACTAACTATATAACCTTCTAGACAATGATCCCCTATGCTGAAATTAGTTTAGTCCGCAGGTTTTATTTGATAAGCGGGCTGTTTATCTTTCCGAATCAGGATCATAACTGTGCAATCACGGGAATCCAACGGCTGAACTCCTTTTTTCTTGGATCCTGTTCCGTGATACATTGATCGTCGCTTACTTTTAGTCGGGAGGATAAAAAGCCGTACCCCGCACTTTTGTTTTGGCCATCATATAGTGATGTGATGATATTGGATGAAAAACAATCAATTTAACATGACAAATTACATAATTTCTAGTTAATAAACCACACTACCTCCCCTAAAATATACACCCACCCTTTACTACGCTTACTATCGGGAGGTCCATCATGACAACGTCTTATAAAAAACACTCGCCTATCAAGACATGATTTTCGAGTCTAATGTCGTTACCAGTGATTTCATCTCTCACTTCGTTTGGCCACCCCTGTTCCTCCGGTCCCTAAACATTCTCCCAAATTCAACAACCCTAGAAATTAGATCATTCACGACATTAATCATCCTCAACTCTCTGTCCATACGCATTGTTGTCTTTCCAACAATTCGCCACATATTCTTGGGTAGGCGCTCTAATTGTAGAACTTCGGGTAACAAACTTTCAGTAGAAAAGAGGGGATGGCAATGAGTCGTATTAGTTAATTTGGTCTGATTTTAGAAAGTGAGATCTGTTGTGTGATGGGAGGTGTGCTGATGCTGAATGGAGTGATGCTGCTGATTTTGGTGAGATGTTTCGGGGTGTATGGGATGCGGGACTTTTGGGGGAGGGGGTGGGAGGTATGGATTGCTTAGGTTTTGGGTTTCGAGGGACATATATGAGAGAGGTTTATGATTCTGCTGTTGACTTCTATTAGGGAACTGATTTTACAAGAAGCTGGTATAACATAGTATTGTAGAATCATGTTTTGGTGGGAGAATGTGTTTTATAACATATCGTAATAGGATATTGTGAGTGTAGGATTAAGTTGAGTAATTCTTAGTATGTCTTTTAATATCTTAAATTATTGTATCATTTCATCTAAACTTATCCACACTTCTCTCCTGCCCCAATCCAAATCCTCAAAATTCCTCACTAAAAACCTATAAATTACCCCCTCTGGCCTCTGCTAATAGTCATCGACAATCTTTCGGACGAAGATCGACTAATTGCTTCTTGGTTGTAAGTCTTTTTTGTTGATATAGAAGACTGTTTTTGTGAATTTAGATTCTCATCTTTATTAAGTGATCGATGTTGTGCACTTGCTAAAATCTTGGAAAAAGGGGAGGAAAAGTGGGCAGGTGAGCGTTGTTGTCGAATTTGTTGCGACTGCCGATTTTAATACAGTGTTCGGGGGTGTGTGATCAGAGATGTAAAGACTTGGAACGGTGAAAATCGAGGGCATTTGTAAGACGTTAGAGGGTTGCGTGTAAGAATGTGGAAAGAGTGTAAAATACAAGATCTTTCATATCTCACGAAACTCATAATTCGTTTACTAATGTGTCAACCAAAGTAGGACATCCTCTTTCTGTCAAAACTATATAATCTACTATGGCAACAATCTCTCTTATAAAAACGTACTCTATAAACACCTACCACAAAACACATTTTTTAAGCTTCCTCTTTCTAAACTACATCTTATACCGAGTATGCGAAGTAAGCATTTCCTTGATAGATGCAAATCTCAGAATCAAAAACACCCTGGTTGACTAGTAGCTCCATCTTTGCGAAAAACCCCGTTCCGGAAAGAAGACATAGCGTGACGACTTTCTTCTCTCACATAGTGCCATGTGACTTCTGATAGACTCTAATTTTAGGGTTCGGGATTTTTTGATTAGGTTATACTCCTAATTAGAAGATTTAAAAACATTTCTTTCTAAAACTACTGTCGATGTAATTAATTATAAGAAGAAACAGTATAAACTAGGGTTATACGCTTAAGTTAGGGGTATTGCTTACTATTATAACTGAAAACATTTGTTAACAAGATTTAAAATCAGCGGGTAGGCTTAAAATTCAAAACTTAATCGCTCCTAGATATACCCCTAACGCCTTGAATTAATCTAAAATCTACTTTCTTCAGGTTTGTATTATTCCTTATATAGTATGTTTCCGCAGTAAACCGACTGCGATCTATACGTCGTGTAGTGAATGAAATAGCATTAGTCATCTAAGATGTTACTCCTTCGTGTCCTAATTCAGGCATCACGCAACCCTTTAAATCCCTAAGTATTTAAAACCTCGCCAGCCTTAAAAGCCATTAGTGACAATAAAGTTTTCGACAGCAGTATCCGTAATTCCAGCTACTTCATCCACTTTTCAAGTTCGTCACAAGCGCTTAATACGATGAATTTCAATGTATACAATTACCATCTAGCGCGCTACAAAAATGACATCAAGTAAAACTTATGTCTACCCCGAGAATGTAGTGACGTCAGCACAGCCTATCTTATTAAATTACATACATAATATTAAGTTTATATAAAATTGTTATAGTAGATTTAGTAGTCGAATTTTTCCTAATTTTAGGTTAAGAGATCCGATTCTTCTTTCGAAATCTTTTATGAATAATACCGTATTAGGATTTAAAAAATATTTAAAATAGAGTAGAATACAAAAGGAGGGAAATATAGCGAGACATTAATTGTTTTATTACACTAAATTCAATTATTCGTTAAGTTCGAGAGTTTCACGGGATGTCGTACACAAAAATCTCCCACAATCCTAATGTTTCTTAACCATCCCCCTCTTCCTCCTACTCACAACGAATATCCTTTCAAACTTTATACTCTTAAATATTCTCTTCCACCCTCTAAAACCTAACCCCTACACCAAAATTTCTCCCCGCCCCTGCTTCTCTTTTTACCAACTAAGCCATCCCAACCTTCTACAAAAATCCGCACCTCAATCAATTCTGATCTAGCAAGACATCAAAGCCTCGCCAGAATGCAATGGGGAGGGGTCGATGCTCTTCCCTTCTACTAAGATATTGTTCAATTAGATAAATCTTTCTTAAAATATAAGTAAATGTATTTTACTTTCCTAAGAAGAAACATTCACTCCAACATTGAAGTAAAATTAAAGTAGTAAAAAGCGGAATCGGTGACAGTCTGATTTTCGGTGACAACGAAACTCCTCTTTTCTTTCTAGCCAATGCCCTAAGAGAAAAGTCTCTCTCTCTTCCTCACTTAACTATTACCTACGTAAAGTGCCTTCCAATTCAATAATCACAATCTCCGTCGAACAAGACCCACAACCAGAATCCAATCAGTGTGCTCTTTGAGGTGTGGTTTTTAATCTCTAGAAGAGGATCCGGGCTTTTATATAACTAGATATGGCAATTAGTTTCAAGGTCGTGAGTTAGTTGTAGAATTGTTCAAATAGGTCGATGATGATTGTTCCAAGAGAAATTAACATGCCTTACTTACTATGATCTCAGTTACTTTAAAGTAATAAACTCTACTGCTCCTTAAAGGGGAGAGAAGATTTAAATTCTGTCTTATCATTACTTGATATATCCGTCGAGGGGCTCTCCAAGTAGGTGAAAACAAGTGTCACTTCGACTTAAATTTTGACACCTGTAGTGTTTGGTTCCATTCAGCCAGCGAAAACAAATTTACCTACACGAGGGTGAGATCAAGTGTTTGCATATTAAACAGTATTAATACTATATTTGATTTTTTCAACACTGAATCACATCACTAATCACCCCATTACATTTGCCCAAACCCCCCAAAATTCCACAACAAGCCGAAATCAGTAACAACTCACCCTTCGACAACAACAACACAATCCTCTAACACAGAATCCGCCCTCGAGTCAGCACACCAGAAAGGCGCTTTCCATCTTTCAAAAGCTTGCTCTGAATAGTCAGGTGCCCTAAACACAAAAACCTTTCGACATTTTGATGTACGTGTTTGCGCCGATGGATTCCCATTTCTTGAGGCTATCCTCCCAGAACACTCTCTCAGGGATGCTCTCAGGGTTGGCTCTAATAGCAGTCTCCAATCTTCTATCTATCAGGCAATGAGATCGGTCCTCTCTTATCAGGCCCGTCCTCTCCGTCTTCATCATCCTACTTAGCTTTCGTCCTCCTACATTTCTTGCCTTCTTTCCTTTCGTATTCAGCATGATGATTCCGTTGCATCATCGGTGTTAGTCTCCTTTATTCGCTTTCGGCTTCCTTCCGCTTCTACGGCTTTTCCTTTACCGCCCTTTTTGATTGGGGTTTTGGTTACTAAATCCTCCATCTCCTGCTGTATCTCGTCCGTTGTCATCGCATATGTTGTCTGAGACTGTGTCGGCTTGAAACCCTTTATACGGAAATGGACTACGCCCCTCCACGAGTTCTAGTTATGTTTTTAGATTCCGGATCCTGGGTAAGCGAGGGTGGAATCTATAGTCGAATTTACTATTCTATTTTGCGAAACCTTGCGGGGTCTGGTATGATGCGGAGAGAGTTTTGGGAGATAAATTAGATTTGTGTTTACAAATTCTCGCGTCTGAGATTGTTGGCGGAGGGGACAGCATGGTATGTAAATATAAACCGAATCTCACATTACAACACAAAACTTCTGTCACTTCGCACAAAATACCTAAATCCCTAAACTAAGTTTCAATATAAACAGTTATTGCCCTCACAATATCTTCCAACGAATTCCCTCTCAATTTCCCCACCTAAGTCACGATATAATCTCACAACACCACAACACCACCACTCTACGCTCTTTTTCATTTCCTCCTCTCCTGTCCTCTCCAAAACAATAAAATCCCCACTCCACCAAGATTAATCTGATTCTCAATTTCTGAACTCACATTCCGTTAAATCTAAACCTCATACCTCTCTTCCCAATTCCCCATGTCCATCCCCTCCCACCCTTTCATCACCTCATCAAATTCAAACCTCTCACTCAGAAGCCAAGCGCGCCGGCCATAGCCTCCCCGCAAATTCCATTGCAAGATTATTTCATTTCGTCATCTCTTATTCTCTTCCTTCTTTCTACGTTCCACGCCCCATTCTTCTTTCTCTCATCCCTCCCCCATTTCTCCATCCAGCGTTAATTCACCGAGGCTTCTTCCATCCTTCCTCTATTCCTCTAAGCCAGCTCGAACACTTCGGAACTTAAGCTCGTACCATAAACTCCAATACCTTACCCATCCATCACGCATTCCGCATCGGACTGGATGTCCACGAGAACAAGACCGCTAAGACATCACATGCCAGATGCTATCCCCGGATCCAGCGAAATCTAAGAATAAATCAATACACCGTTGGCGAGAGAGACATGTACTCAGGGTACAACGGTACATCGACCACGATACTCGGTGACATGGTCTATCCATTGTGACGTGGTATGTATACTTAATCCTACGGCTTCACCTAGCGTCCTCACCCCTACGGCCTCATACTTACCTTCCTAAACGGGTGGGGGCTGAACCTCTCCCCACGAGAAAGCCACGGGGGTGAGGCTGAAAGGCGAAGGATGAGTATTTCAGAGATGGGATGAGAAATTTCGCAATGAGGCTCCGAGGCAGATGGTGTGATTGGATTGGATTTTACGAGCTGTGAGATGGTAAGGGAGAGTGTGGAAGGTAGTGTAAGGAAAGGAAGAAGGTAAAGAGGTGGAGTTTGTTTAGGTTACATAAAGATTTCCATGGAATGATATCAAGTTGGAACGGAAATGTCGTAAAATTCGTAGCTCTGGAAATACCTTACTTACCAACGCACTCTCACAACCTCCTAAAAAAAATAAAAATCATCCCATCTTACCAATCCCCCCTCTTCCACAAGGCTAATCCCCATCCCCCACTCGATCGCACATCACCCAATCCTCCCCCCTATCCCCAACCTCAGCTGCATCCTCCTCGTAGCGCAATCACGTGCTAATCTCCAGATGTCCAACCAACAAACCCCATCCGACGCGGAATCTTCGCGGAGCGAACGGCCTTACTCTGATATTCCCACAGCCTTCCCTGGCTAGTACGCTATTGATCTACCGGGAGGAAGAAGAAGGGTATCGTAGATCAAAGAGGAACAAGAAGGTAGGTAGATCAAAGAAGGAAGAACCAAGCTAAATAAGCGAGAAATGGCAGAGAAGGATTCGAAACACCGATATTACATTCTCATCCTCCCCATCGACTTCATTCCTCTTTTCACAAGCGAAATGTTTTGTTTCTGTAAACGGAAGGACGTGTACGGGGGAGGCGAGCGGTGAAAAATTCACATGTGTAACTGTCGATATGGGATTCTGGTATCGATGTTTCGAGTTTCGTGATTGAAACGAAATTCCTCGATATGCAAGAGTAGATATGGGAGACGGGCTTCGGGATATTGTACCGATAATAACCTGAAGAGCTCAGGGGAGTAAATACTTTGGTAAGGGAAAGGGAGTACTGTAGGTTTGCCAGGAAGTCAAGCCGGGCGGTGAACTAATAACTCAGCGTACTAAGTTTCAAGAATCTGGTATAGCTAAATGCGCGAGTTGGTTCGCTGTGGCGAGTATACCAGCAAAACGGTGTGGCTGAAAGGTATTATGCGCGGAGTTGGTCTTGACGCTGAAGAAAGTTGGTTAGAGTTGTCGTTGTAGCTACTCGCAGTCGCAAGCTCGCAATTAGCGCCACGTACAACCAAAAGAACATACAATTAGACCCAGCGACGCGCCATCACTAAAGTATCTGATGTATATCGATTAGTTGGCCGATAAGTCACGACATATTCCATACAGAGCCGCCGGCCCCGGGCCTCCACGATTAACCTTTCTTTCCACGCAAGATACGCTGTAGACCGTCCTTGGCGGGTAATAAGAGCATGTCGATCTAAAGGTCTAGTTCGCTGAAGAAAAGAGTTCCCACGTTCAGTGATCAGCGGCTGGCTAGGCTAGGTCATTCTTCATGCAACCACTGTTAAAGCCAGATGATGCGCGTTGACATGGACCAATGAGTCGAGCGAGCGCTGGTGTTTCAGCTTAGCGAGGGAGATTGAGTGGTGCGTGCGGAGTGGGCGGTGCTTAAAATACATTTGCAGAAAGCACAGAAGAAGCGATGCGCTCGGGTAGGACGTTTTGATGACCGTCGACGACGACGAGTCGTTGCCGTGACTGGAGATTACATTGTAGATTCGCGAGCGGGTAGGTAATTTCGAGATGCAAGTGTTGCTGGAGAAGCGCATCGCTGTTGAGGTGGAGTTGTTCTTTGAGGGGAGATGTTGGGTTAAGCGCAGTGTTGTCGCCGACGACCTTTTGTGGGGGGTGGTGTATTCTGCGGGAAAATTGTAGAGTGCGCCGGCCATCTCCCGTAACCTTACAATCAATCGGATCAACATGATTACTTGGCTTATAGCCGGTGAGTTGGTTCTCCGGATTATTACACGACATCCCTTCTTCACCGCTTTGAACTGTCATGTCGACACGATGTCGGATTACTGACTGGTTGATGACCCGACGGATCATGAGGCAGAACCTTCGTCGTACAGTAACTTGCCTACACCGGCAGATAATCGACGATCTGATCTGGAAAAGAATCCTTCTGCGGTACAGGCTATTGATCACCTCGAGGGTTGAACCATTGAACAACACCAGGGACAGCGGGACGATCGAACATAGAAGCTTGCTCGCTCGCATAGTTAACCTTGTTGTCGGGCCTTTCTTTCACGATGCTCAGAATCGCACAGGCATGGAGAGATTCGCAGGCGAGTTTCAGCAGGATCATCAAACAGGCACGACAGCGGTGTCCCATGTCCCCAGCGGCCTGCTCCATGACATCCGATCACGTTCTTGCGTCCGAGATGCAGGTCCCATCACCAGCTTCCTTGCCTTGTGAATCGCATTATTATTTCCAGATGCTCCTCTCATCCTTCGAATGCCCCCTTTCAGAGCCGAGTAAACATTTGTGTTTCCTCTTTGTTTCTATTCATGAATTGTGTCAGTATGTTTCCTTGTGCAGCCGTGGAGGATGACCACGCCTGCGATGGTAGAGTAATCACATCAGGATCTGATAAACAATACTAGCTCGTTGAATTGCTGTGATGGCCTTGGGGGACAGTGTGCATACGAGTACGCCGCCGGCTCGCGCGAGTGATAGAAACCTGGTCGATGTGTGCCGTTTATTCACTTTGCAGTCAAAATACCGTCAAGACATCATGCATTGAAAATGATGGAAGTCATGCAAATGACCAATCCAACCAGAGATAGATCTGACATTTCATCACAATTGTGATCATGCCGTAAATTGAGGTCGAATGTTAGTAACAAAAGAAGTAAAGTTGATAGCGAGCAAGGTGTAGCCTCGAGCTGAACTTGTCGTTGACATCTCCCAGCGAAAAGGAGCGTCTCGTAAGCTGGAAAACCATTGCGCCTCCAAATTGCCAGCAAACGAATTTTCCTATTCGTTCCTCGCGATATCTTGGTTCACCAATAGAAGAGTAAACAATGATTATGCATTCTCGAAGGAACTAGTTTCAAGCACTCAACTTGCATAATCTCAACTTGTGATGAACATGTTTTCTTTTGCAGCCGTCTTGTTTTCGAGGTCCCAACGACCAAAGCGGTGTGCAGATGCGTGGTGCTGCTGCAAGGGCGGGGATCGGCCACAGCCTAGCAACTTCTGAAGCAAGCCGAGTTCTGCCCTACAGGCCTCAGCGGCGTTTCAAATTAATGCGATTTCTCAACTCCCGCTCATGGCGGACGACAGGACATGGAATATCACGGCAGCGCGGACGGGACCTGACCTGGATTCTGGATTCTGGACTCGATTTCGACTTCGATATGCACGACCTGGCAGGTTTCTGATGTTGACGACATACCGTCGGTGTGTTGTGGGACAAGGCGAAGTGATTTGGGATTCGGGACTTGTGAGTGAAGATGGAGATGTGGTGCCAGCTACGGAGCTTTGTCATGTACTTGGGGGCGTACGGAAGATTTGATGCAGCTTGAGCAGACGGCGCAGGCGAAGTCGTTGATATCAGGTTGACTTGGAGAAGCAAAGCTGGCAGCACAGCTGTCAATTCAAGGCTGTAACTGGATGCCTTTTCCTCACAAATCACCATTGGCGATAGGGTCATATCAGCAACATCCTCGCTCATACGACAGCTCCACCCCGCCATTGAGCATTCTCGAAGCCATATCCGCATCGATTCGCAGCTGGGTCCAGCCAGGAAATAGCCTGTTGACCACGAAAGTTTTGAGGATCATAACAGCGGTCATATCAAGGCATAACAGCAGCGTCGCTTGAGCGGTCGACCCAACAATCGTGTATGCTTTGACTAAAATCGCTGAGCATCTCGACCACTCACGACTCGGGGAAATGCGAGGAAGTGCAACTGACATTTTCCTCCGCGGTCTTTGATCTTGCCTCTTTCTGATCTTTCCCCGTGGTTCTCAGGGAGGGACCTGATTTCCTAATTCCGATTGAGGTCCGTCCCCTCCGGTGTGGGTTCTCATTTCTCTTCCCTACTCGGACAGTTGTGTGCCCGAGCGTAATTACCAGCTGCACGCATTTCTCAATTGTGCACGCAAAGTATGTTAATGTGGGGAAAGCAATGCACAATGGCACGGCGCGGGATGAGTGAACTAACTTGCGGTTGAGCTGACATATGTAAGGTACCATCGGGGAACTAATTGTGGTGGTGATGCTCCTCTTCGCCAACGGTACAAAGATACATTGACTTTGGTCGCCATCAAATCTCGCGTAGGCAGCCGAGATCCCACCGCTGTTTGAGAAGAAAGGGAAGAGACGAAAATACCACAAGCACGAGCAAATGACTAGCATTGTAAATGCGATTGCAGATAGTATTCGAATCAAGACCGTAAGATACTACAACTAGAAGAAAGGGATTCTTCTCGTTCGCAGCCACCACCTTAGATCAGCTTTATCTACTGGTACCCGATGATGAATCGCACTCGTCTCGAGCAGCAATTCGGTTCTGCTGGTGAGCTGATATCTTGGGCTCCTATTCTCGCTTCCACAGACAGCTGGCAGTAGGATCACGTCCGGACAGGCTGGCTTGAATGCCTTTTGAAAGTACTAACGACTAAACGAATACTATATCGATTCTGATACACGTACAAACCTCACGATCACTCGTAGCCTTACGGCAGTCAAAAGTAACTCCATCTTTACTCATCACGAGCTAGCAGCACAAGCAGACCCCTCGCTTCGAGCTCACCAGCCCCTCCACACCTCTGCCAACGACAAGTCGACGATGCGATATTCATGCCTCATTCGTCTGGCCAGCATACGTTTCCCTCCTCTTGGCACCTGTCACCCTGGCCAGAGGCTTCTTCTGCCGTCGTGTTTGAGATATTTTCAATCCGTCGACTTCCTAGTTGGGCGCGTGTTTCGGCTTGGTGGATGGTGGTGATTGGATGAGAGCGTTGCATCAGAATCCACCCGCCCCAAGACATGGATGTCGATTCGGCGCTGGCTCACCCAGTCTTTGCGCCCATCGGGACAACTGCAGAAAAGTGACAACCGAATCATCTGTTGCCAGTGAAGATGCAGCACGCGAGGCGTACAGCGCGGTTGTGAGTGGATGAGCTATTCGAATTGTCACGATGGAATACTCGCTACCCTTTTATGCTGCTTTGCACAGCCTTTGTATCTGGGAAATGTGAAGATTGTGCAGACGGTACGAGCAAGAGGATCAGGTCAGGTACTCCCGTAGCACGGCTGTCCCAAGCCCCCAAAAGTATTCGCAAAGAAGCGATCTGAGTTGTACAGAAGAACGAGCGCAACGCACGTACGCTCCCCTTTTCCGCTTCCGGCTGGGAAAACAACAACAACAACGACCGCAGGAGCAACAAACGATGGAGATTCCCCGAGAAGGCTCAAGAAGCATCCTACTCTAAAGTATGACATTTCCCCGTCCTCTGATCCTGCTGCCCTCTCGCCGCAGATACACGGGGTAGAAGGGGCATAAGGCTGTCGGGTTGATTAATTCTGGTTTGAGAAAGCTGATGTTTGCTGAGATGGCTATTTCGGAGTCCTTGATCGCGGATTCAGTCAGCTTTTTGTACCTTTGTATCGTTCATGAGTAAACATTGTTGAGTGTTACAGGTCCAATTTGGTCACTCGGCGCCGTCCGTCTCCTGATCTCCAGCAAGCGAGAAATTTTCTAATTATGATCCCCGTTGCTGGATACCTCTTCACAAGGGGTCTAGGATAGAATCAGGACAGAAGGGCTCTGTGCTCGTTGAAATGGACAGCAATTGTGATTCTACTGTATCCCCAAAGCGTTTAGTTTCTCCACGGACCGCAGATATCATTTCCATCCCCTTTCACCAGCATCAAAGACGTCCTTGCTGTCGTTGGAATGGCCCAATGAAGGCGGCCCATTCTGCCTTACTCTCTCCACTTGTAGCGATTTCGATCCTCTCCGAGACCTGCACGCTGTCTCTGCCACGCTTCCACTCTTTGGCCCCTAGCAAAAGAACTGATACTCTTCGTCCATCCTCCCTGTGTCCAACCTCACGACTCCCTCTGCTCACTCGTACAGATGCAATGATAACAGCCCAATCGAGGCAGCATTGTTCCTGAGGGCGATCCGTCGAAACATTGCGTGCGGGCATAATTATTATCCCATCCATCACCACCAGGGGTCGGGCTCGCCTGGCCTGGCAGCAGAGAGAATTGATCCCTGTGCAGAGTCCTGGCTGCTGTCCCTCCGGCCCCTGTCCCTCCCCAGCTCTTCGTCTTGCCCATCCACATCACCAGCAGCCGCGCTCCCTCACGGTCCAGGCATGCTCTTCCCTCCCTGCTGTTCTTCGCTTCCTGCACCAAAGAACCACAGAACCTCCGCCCACGCTTCGCTCCCGCTGTTCAACCACCAACTTCCACCACGACCCCTCCACCCTCCCATCGGCCCATCCACGACTCCACCCAGAACCCTCCCACACCTACCACCCGCTTACCACCGCTTGCCCACCCCTTCAGAGCTGCTCTCCTCTTAAATCTCCCCTTGTTCCGCTTTTCAAAACGCTTCTCACACTTTGCACTTTACGCTCTCTTTCTTGTCGCAGGTCCGTACCTCGAAAGCTTCATCGTCGCTCATCCCAGAAGCCAGGTTCCCTTTACTGTTCGCGCGACCTGTTCGAACCCCCCCCGACACGATAGATCAGATCAACAACACCCACGATCCGCTGGTAGACCACCCCGTCGCTCCAAACACGACACGCGTTGCACGGCTTGAGTCCTCAATTTGCCCATCACCACACCACCATCAAAACAGTGATTCTATCCTTCGTTCGGTCGCCTTACGCTCTTCTTCTTCGACGAGCCGACTCTAATAATCATCTTCCTCGCCCACCGCAGAAGCCGGTTCTTTGCATCCATCTTCCGAGTCGAGTTCCTGCTGGCCTCGAAACTCCTCGTTCTCGAACATTAACCGTTCCATCTGCCATTGCATTTTTGATCGGAGCAGGCTCCTTACGACACCTAGAGTCACATATCACATCGCTCGCTTCATCGTCCCTTTTACCGTCGCCCGTCACCTCTGCTTCATCGTCGTCGCCATCCGACCCGAGGCATCAACATCGGATCGTATACCATAATTTCTCATCCGGGTGCGCACCTTAGTTGTTTCAATCGGCCTCCGACGTGATTGGAATTCCGTCACATACGACTGCGATTGTTTCGACGCCTTCCATTGAATGGCGCATATGATGTATTCGCAACATCATGCCACGATGGCTCCGCCACAAAAACCAGAGACCTTCATGTTGAGCAGTGAAGCGCAGCAGAGTCTCCCACAAGATGCACAAGTTGCGTTACAGCAGGTCGATAATCGTATGTCGCTTCTGATCGCCTGATCGACAATGCTAACGATGTCTAGTTAAATATTTCTTAATATCAGCTCCCGTTGACTGGACGCAAGACCAGTACATCCGACGGTTCCTTCTCCCAACTGGTGAATACGTTTCCTGCGTGTTATGGTGAGTTATGATTATCATGAGCTATGGACCCTGCTAACACATCCAGGAATAACCTCTTTCACATCTCCGGTACCGATATCGTACGATGCCTTTCCTTCAGATTCCAAGCCTTTGGTCGACCGGTCAAGAACTCCAAGAAATTCGAGGAGGGTATCTTTTCGGATCTGCGAAACCTAAAGTCTGGCACCGATGCCTCGTTGGAAGAGCCAAAGTCTGCTTTTCTCGATTTCCTATACAAGAACAACTGCATTCGAACACAAAAGAAGCAAAAGGTCTTTTATTGGTATAGCGTTCCACATGATAGACTCTTCCTCGATGCTCTCGAAAGAGATTTGAAGAGGGAGAAGATGGGACAAGAGGCTACAACGATGGCGGTCAACGAACCGGCTTTGTCCTTTGAATTCGATTCCTCCCAATCACTCTTCGAGCAACTCACCAAAGCTCAACAAGCCAACACTTCATCCTTTTCCGCCCAACAACCTTCTTTTTCTCAAGCTCAGTCACAATCAACATCCCCAGTAATGCGAGCAATTGACTCCATGCCACCTCCTCAGATGATGCCACAACAGATGCAGCAGATGCCAGAGGAAATCCACCCAATGGCTTATCAGCAGATGACAATGGCTCCACAGATGGCACCAAGCATGGCACAGCAGGTGGTAAAGAGAGAGGCTGATTTCGGTCGCGTTCAATACAACCAGAATGGTGTCCCAATCACCCAGACACATCAGCGTCACTCTTCAATGCCCGCTTATGGTCTCGAGTACTCTCCAGCTCCATCTTTCGTATCATCGCATTATGAGGATTACAGCAACCGTGGTATCTCATTTGAACCAATCACCCCACCACAACAAGCTCTCGGAATGGGTGCTGAGCCAGCATACATTGCCAACGAAGAGACTGGTTTGTACACCGCAATCCCAGATCACATGGGTGGTGTCAATGGTCTTCACGGAATGATGCAGCTTCCTCCATCAAACCTCGCCGGACCACAATTCTCCCAAGGACGAGGATACGCTTCAAACAATGTCTACTCAGTCATTGAAGGATCCCCAACATACAAGCAAAGACGGAGACGTTCATCAATTCCACCAGGAGTTGCTGCAATCGTCGCTGCCACCGCTGCCAACCATCAACAGCACACCGCCCACCGACCATCAGATCTGAGAAGATCTGTCTCGACCTCAGTAGGGCCAGTCGCTGAGGGTGATGAGTCTGGAAACAATTCTCCACCTGGATTGAGCTACAGCAGTCAGATCCAACAAATGTCCCAGCAACACAAGGACCTCCTTGAGATGTCAAGACATGGAACCCCACTTTCCACCATCGAAGACAGCCCAGCCATGAACCCAATGTCATTACAGACTGATTTCAGTCACATGTCAAATGAGGATCTTTCTGGAGATGGATCCATCCATGACTCTCCCCAGCGAAGACATATGCAAGGACAAAATGGTGTCGTCAGAAGAGCCCGAAGTGCTACCATGATGGAACTTGGTCCTTATCCCCAAAAGTCACATTCTTGCCCAATCCCAACTTGTGGTCGTCTCTTCAAGCGTTTAGAACATCTTAAAAGGTATGGTTTATTTCTTTTTTACCGGCTCCATTACGCCGCTGACTTGTTACCCCTCCAGACACGTGAGAACACATACACAAGAAAGACCCTACATCTGCCCTCACTGCAACAAAGCATTCTCCCGATCCGATAACCTTGCACAGTACGTCCCTTCATCACATTGCACTTTTAGATTTCATTACTGACTTCCGCTAGACATCGTAGAACACACGATCGTGGTGATGGTTCAGATGGACCATATGGTCCATACTCTGGTGAAGAAGAAGAGTACGAAGGCGAAGACAACCTCGGTTCCCTCGAAGAAGCCTCACCAAACTCCGAGAATGGATACCTTCCAACAAGCATGTCACAAAGCTTCAGTGGACTTCAATCCATGGCCATGAACATGCCAGGTACCGGCATGGCAACACCTAGTCAACTCATCAACGCACAACATCTCATGCAACAGCCGATATAGAATCCCCTCCAATTCTCTGCGACAAACACAAAAGTCTTCAATTCCTTCACTTCTTTCTGGACCACTTTGGTCACTTTTTGGTTGATCCATCAGCCGACTTTTTTGTTAATATGAACCTTTTTTTGCATAGCATAGCCTTGCCGGATACTTTTTTTTTATTTTGTTGTCATGTCTGATACCCATTTTGTGTGTGTCATGACCCGCGCAGTACATGTGTGTTGTTTTTGGATCTCTTATGTTTTGAGGCGGATATCTAGGGGGTTGCGATTGGATGGTGTGAGGGGTGGGTTGGCTGTTTTTGGATTGGATTGGAAAGCGTAGGATTTTGGTTGATGACGTTTATGAGAGGGGACTTGCTTGGAATTTGTTCTTTGGTTTTGGTTTTTTAATCCTTTTGGTTGGAATGTGAGGGGGGTTTATATAGCGTTGTGGTGTGGGTTGAAGAGGTTCAAAGTTAGATTTTGTGGGTGGATGGCATGTAGTGTGCTCCCCTGAGAGTGGATGGGGTTGAGCTGCTGCTGCTGCTGCTGCTGCTGCTGCTTGTTGAGTTGGAATGGAATTAGATGGGAAGGGATGGGAATTCCCTTGTTTGTATAAATAAATATGAAAGATTGTTCAAATTGCTTTGAGTCCTACCTTTTTTTGGTGTTGTGATGTGAAATGAGGTGTGAGGTGTGACGTGAGCTGAGAGTTGTATGAGTTGTTGTGATGTGTGAGGTGTGAGGTGTGAGGTGTGAGATGTATGAGGTGTAGTGAGGTGTTGTGATTTGTGTTGTTTGGTGAGGGGTAGTAGATGTTCAGTAAAATATCTAAAACCACAATTATTGAAATGAGAAAAGACGTTAATTTATTCTTGATTGGGGCCGGGATTGGATAGGTGGTGTGCGGTGCTGTGATGTGATGTGATGTTAGGACTACGAAGTTAAGTTAGAGGATATTGGGATAATAAGTTGGAAATTTCAACAACTTTATCTATAAAAAAAATTAATAATAATCTAGATTGAAAGATCGCACTCTAGAATCATGTCCTTTCTTCCTGGCTAAGTTGAAAGTGTGAATAATATCTTTGTGGAATTATACGATATGTGATTTGAGGTGTGATTTGAGGTGGTGGGTGTTTATATCATTCTAGGGTTGTTGATGGAATCTGGGTATCCCCAATTTTCATGAATTCTTTGATGGTGTGTGTGAGGGGTTGTGGGGTTTTTGTGTGTAGGGAGGGTGAGAGGATAGGAGGGGATAGAATGTGTATAGGGTTTTCAGAGAAATATCGCCCTCTTACTTTATTTTTGAATGGTCGAAGCAGGGGTGTTGGGTCCTGTCGCCGAAAAGATGAGTACTACCATTTCATTTCGTCATCTTATATTATTAAAGTTCGAAACGAACGTTAAACTCCAAACACATCATATTCTATTAGGCTCAGTAAAGGAGGATATAACCTAGAACTATAAACGAAGTGTAAATTATTAACTCGCTATATATTTTCAGCGCTTCCGGCCGGAACTCGGTTTATTGTGTTAGAGCGGGGGAGGGGGGGTTTGTTATGGGATTAGGAGGGGAAGGGGGAAGGGGGAAGGGGGAGGGGGAAGGTGGATTTTTGGAGCTTTTGTGTTGTGGGAGAAGAAAGCTAAGGGGGATATTTAGTTAGGATAGAGATATAATAGATTTAATAATTACATCTCAGATATTAAATCATTATACCTCTTTCCCCTCTCCTCTCCTTCCTCGCTTATTAGGTACCCGTCCTTAAATCATCCAATCATCTCCCGTACATTACTAATCTATCCCTATTCGATGGATTTCTGTGGATCGTGTTGTTTTGTGCTCGGGAGGGGTAGGATAGGTTTAGGACGAGGTCTTGGGGGTGAGTGTGTAGGTTTAGAAGGGCGGGGTTCAAGGTGCTGTGTAAAAGGTGTCTAAGTGTTTAGTGTAAAATTTAAATGTCTCGTTGCTTCTTTCGGAGCTGCTTGAAATAGAGGATAAACCTCGATACTAATATTGCCAAGCAATACTGCTGGGAGTATGTCCTTTAGCTGAAATGTCTCATTTGCAAAAATCAAGAGTTAAGGAAATCGTATGGAAATAGCAGGGAGCATTTGTTGCCGAAAAAGATGCTGTTGCCGATTAGTGGCTAGTAGCAGAAGAGAGGTGGGGATTATAGTAAGTTAATACGATTACCGGGGGCAATAGATATTGTAGAATAGAGTGTTATTGAGTCATGTTACCCTTTTGACATAATTCTTATAGAGAAAGCCACATTTGAATGTGGTCCTTTACCATCGGGTTTGAATGATATTGTCCGTATAGAAAAGCGTGTTTCGATAAGAAGTTGCGCTTACTGAGAGAGAAGGGGGACTTTGTATACGGTAGTGTATTTGACATTTTCACGTGGAGAGTTTATTTAAGAGTTCGATAAGAGTATGATATACGTTATATGAAATGAAAATTAAAGAAATATAGAATTTCTAGAGTCGTTAACTAGAAGTAGAAAATATTAAATATAAATTTAGTTAAAGGATAACGCTTACGAAAGCTCCGATCTTACGTAAGAGTAATTTATCTCTACTCTATAATAGTACTAACAAATCATTGTTCTTTGTTTTAAGCTTAGATATCTAAGGACTTATAGAACCTCTACTTCTTAAAAATAGTATATTATATTAAAAATGCGAAAACTCACTAAAGGAGATCGAACTATAGATATACTAGAGTAGACAAAATTACGTACACTTAATCTCTTTTGCATTATCACAACTACTAACGCCTAAGACTCTTATAATCATAATTCAATTTAAATTGAAACGTACCTCCTATAAACCTTTACAAGAGAGATATATAATAATGTTGTCGCCGTGGAAAGTTTCATTACCGATTTGACATTTCATGGAGGTTTGAGCGTTATGGACTTATCCGAGTCGAAATTCAATCACGACAGTAAGTAACACGTTTGAATTAACGGGAAAACCCTGGTACCCTTGACTTGAAGACTCCTGCTAGCGACAATACGTCCCATTCTAAGATGTTGTTTTGTATGTTGGAGTTTGGACTAAGGGTTGGAAAGCCTGTTTTTATAATGCCATGCTATCTTGGGGAGTGTCTCTTTTAAATACTTGTGCGAAAACGGGTGTTGAAGTTTGTTAGATTTTTTCTGGGATTGTTTGCACAGTATTTGGATTTTGAGAACCGGATGTAAACCCAGCGAATAATCTTTAACATCCTTGGGTCATTCGAGGGTCGACTTATTAGTCGAGTCTTTTAGTTGTTCGAAGATTCTTGAGGCTGGAAAATTTGAGGTCTCAAAATAGGCTACAAAAGTCAGGCTTAATATACTTGAGGCAGCATCCTGCTTTATTGATATATAAGTTTTAGTTTTCATTCGATTGATTCCACTTCGTAGAGCTATCCGAAGAAGAACTTCGGGGCAACGGTGGATAATTTGTAACTTAGTTTAACTAGCTAAATTCGGACGGATGATTGCGTTGTAGAAAATTAATTTATGTGAGGCGTAAAATGCAGCATAACACATGTTTCGAGGCCCTCTCAATCATACTATCTTCACAGATCACGCACCCTTAGTTTAATTCATGGACTCAGACCACCAAAAAGGCATTTATGCTCGTTGGGTTGCCGAGTTGAGAGTATTGTCTATCACTATTAAGTATATTGAGGGTAGCAAAAATCGGATTGCCGATACATTTAGCCGAACTATCTTCGGGGCCAGTTCTGAGATTATCTGCTTCACTGTCACCGAATATATTTTTACTAGCGATTTCTCGACTTTCGACCTTATTATACAGATTTTCCATTAGTCTGTAGCTAAAATTTTACTATATTAAACTTAAAATACATAGAACGTCTGCGGATAATGCGTTATACACAACTCAATATAACACAGCTAACACACCAACTACCGTCAAAGCGCCATTTATTCTTGCCTGCTATTCTAGGCATGTTTGAGATATAAATGTGTTGGAGTGATGGTTGATATCGGGTCAGGGAAATGTCTGGGCTAGGTTCTGGATTTATTTTTACGTGGATTTGGGTCATGAGAGGGCAGGGGGACGTGAATCTTCCGGATATAGAGGAATTTAGTTTCAAGATAAAAGATTTGGGATATTTTCTGGATACTGAATTCAAATGGCGGTTGTGTAAGGATGTATAATTAGTGCTAGGTTTCTGATGTTGCATTTCAAGGTGGAACTTGAGATTCAGAATCAAGTTCCTTCCTTCCTGTCCCAAATTTGACTCTCGACACTCCTTGGAAATCATTCCACCGTGTGCTATAAACTTAATATTGAATACGTAAATTCTACAATAGAGAAACAAGAGCAGCTCATTCAACTTTAGCAGCGTTTGGATTCTTGTTTCTTTTTGCGCGTACAAGCGTGTAGCCTCAATTAGTTAGTGCCTATATAAGCCAATTCTCTTTAGATTCTGGTATAATAAGAGATTAAATGTGTAACACCTAAGGGAGATGATTATTGAGTGGTCTGTCGCCGAAGCTAATTTCATCACCGAAGCTATCTTCACTGGTTGGAAAGATAAGACTTCCGGATTTAGACTAGTCCTCTTAGTATATAGTGGCTAAATTAGTCCTACTTCACAAGCTACACCTTTCCACCGAAGCTTTGAATAATGGCTCAATGAGCTGCCCAAGAAACTTAAAAAGCACTTGTCAAATCGGTGTATGAGGGAGTCAGAAAAAAACTTCATGATTTTGACTGTACACGAGTCGAGTGTTGGTGGAATTCCTCTCGAGGATGAGAAGCTATAATGTGAGAAAATATTGTGTAGCAGCAGAGAAAGCGGACATTTGGTTTTGTTATGTGACAGAATTGTTTCTACCACTTGTTGAAGAAAGACTTCATTGTTAAGTGATATCTTCGAAAAAACTATAACGCAATTCGCAGCAACTTGCATATCTGAACGTTAACCCGTACAATATCAGAAGTCACAAAGTCATTGACCCTTTCAAAACACACAAAGTCTCATCCTTACGTGGTGCCACTGTACAGGTGATCATCGTCACAATCAATCCATGTCCAGGCGAAACAACAAACCATTCTGAGGCGGCACTCAATCTCGTCAGTAGACATGAAAGAGAAAAATCAACCTGCGCAGCATAGAACCCAAGATACTGTTTGGATGAGCGAGCACGAGAGGCTTTCGATTCATTGCAACTTCGTAATGCATCCGAAGAGATGCAGTTGAAAGGTTATTTCCAGGTACACGCCAACTCTCTAGCCACTTCTTCACCACTACATTGGCAGACTCCTTTTCTTGAGGCCGGAGTCAGAATTATACCTCCAGTAGTTCGAAGGGGTTCCGAGATTCGAATCGAGTGGACTGCAGGATACGAGCACATATCCCTAGTTAAACTCTCTGAACGCTCATTTCGCTGCCGTCGGGTGAAAAGGCTCTGGATATATCAAGAACTTGTCACTGTCTCGTAAAGAATAATCGGCCATTTTTCTTCTGTTTGAAAAATTTAGCTCTGTCATATTCTCATCGATGTTGTGTATTACTCCGAGCCATGCCACACACGACAGCTGTGTCACGATCATAACTAATGAAAACATGATGGCATAAATAACAATACATCTTACAAGTGAACAAACTTCGAGAGCCAAACTCGAGAGTTTCGCGATCACATTGCTCTGTTAAAAACCAGCTAAAACACGACGGCCATGAAATTTGTTAAAAACTTACTCATAAATCTTCAAATATGTGAATAGTTGAGTAAACAAAAAAGCGACGTCATTCGAGTGCAAAATATTCGAGAGTATTTTACTTCCGAAAAAGAACTTGCTGCCGATTACCAACGCCCGGCTTTTGGGTTCCGAGACCGAAAAGAATCGAGGTCTTGCGTCAAGGGCTTGAAAATTATATGCACTGTTGAAATGATTATTCGCAAAGAGGAATGTCTTTCTATTCATTGCGACTACAGCACTTCCCATATTATACCAGCATTGTAGCTCGCTACTGTTGGTTATCTTTCTTCAAATGGGGGGAAACGAAAAATAAATATGGTTGGTTCCGAAAAAGTGGGAAGACGTCGTTGATGCTTTTAGTGGTGGCCTTCGATACTCTAGCGTTTTCCTGACGGGTTTCGAGATTCTATCGGTCTCTTCGGAAGGCTCTGTGAGGTTGACTTTCTGAACAAGAATTTGATTATAAGTTCCGTGTATATTTTGGCTTCGTCCGATGAGAACAGTGAAAACGACTTAACTCACTTGAAAAAACATACGCTTTCGAATATAAGTGTAGTAAAGGAGGTAACGGGTTAAATAAGAAATGAAGTTGATCGAATAAGGAACTAGACGAGTTGGGGTTGCGAATGAATTTAGCCCCATACCCTTATCAACTCAACTGAACTCAGCTCATTTGATAAATTGAACAAGGATGACATGTAAAACATAGAGTAACCGAAACTCCGAAATAGTGACGAATGAAAGTGTAAAAGAAGAGTAGGAAACAAGTATCTGAAAAAGAGCATAGAATATCGTATGGTTCAAATTATCCAATTTGAACTTCCCAGGCGAAGATTGCGATTACTAGTCCCCTGGATCATAGCCGGGATATCCGCCTGTATCGCACACAAGTAAGGGATCAGACGCTATTGCAACATGTAACGTTGAAATAAAAGATGTGTATTTTGGAATCAAGTGCTTCGCAAATCGCTCGATGAAAAGAAAATGAAGCATGTCGCACCAGAATCCCAAGTCATCTTCTCGTTTGAAGTCACCCATTTATTTCAACTTTGCCAGCACGTCCGTCCAGTCCTCTAGCCTGATATAGTCTTCCCAGCTCGTCAACAAACAAGGAACCCCCAACTACGAACCTCGTTAGTATGCCTGTCCGAAATGAATTCAAATCTCTGTGACTTACATCTTCAGGAAGTACCACATTCTCTTCACCACCAGTATATCCAAATTCATCCATGAACAACCACATCTCTCCAATTTCTCTCCCAAGTCCAGGGACAGGTACGAGTTTCGAATACTCCTCAAGCGACATTTCATCAAGTCCACCGTACGGAAGACCCATCATATCACACCACGTCTTGAATTGATCTGGCCATGTAAGGTTCGCAGCAGTTCCAACTATGTTCTTTCCAGGTTCGGCTTCAAGCGCTGCATGTACAAGCGAGCCGGTATCTCGGTTGATATCAATTTGAGGCCGAAGAGAGTTCTGAGTGCCTTTTATAATGACTAAGCGGATGCTTCCGTCTTCGGCCTGGAAATTTTTAGCCAACATGAATTTGTTGTGCGATGGAAACATACCTTGCGGAGACGAAGATTTCCCTTCCAATTAGACATGTATGGTCCCATATGAATGACACTCATCTTCTTACTCAACCCAGGGTATGTCTCTTTCAAGTAGTCTATCCCATTTGCTTTACTATCAAAGTGATAAACCCACTTGTATTTCCCATTGCTCCATTTCGAGGCGTCACAAAGACCGCTAACGATCAATCGTTCTAACCCATCAACTTTGGCTGCTACATCAGCAATATTCTTCATTTGCTGCACTTCCTTTTGGAAGCAATAATCGTTGATGGTTTGACCAGGAGCGAGAAGCGATTGAATTGCAGGGTTGTAAAATGGATCCCAGAAGTTCGTATTGACAAAGATTGCTGTTGCTCCCGCGAAGACATCTTTCAATGTGGCGGGGTCATTGAAATCTGCTTGAGCAATCTCTACGCCTTTCTTGGCCCAGGTGAGACATGCTTCCGACTTCTCGTTACGGGCTATGCCTCTGACTTTCCATTCCGGTTTTTGCAGGAAGAAAGTTGCGACTGAACCACCCTAGTAATATCGTTAGTATGAAGGAATAGAAAACAATCAGCCAGTTGTAATAAGTACCTGATTTCCAGTGATTCCGAGTATAACAAGGAGCTTTGTCATGATTGGGAGGTGACGGGGAATCGGTGCGCTAGCCGAAGATCGTATCTAATTCTTGGATTGACGGTCAAAGCTGCGAAAGAAAATGCTAGACTGGACTGCCAGTGATGAGTTAGATAATAGGAGTACCGGCCGAGGGCCTAGGCTTTATACATGTTTTCACATTTGATGTTATTTCATGAAGGCCACGGGGAGTGGCCAAAAGCAGGCCACTTTTGACCCACATTCAGTCCAGATGCCATTCCTTCCCTTGAACAAAGGGCTGAAAATGATGCATAGCCAGGGTATCGGTGTTTAATGTTCCCCTTCATATTTACTTTGAAGGAGCAGAGTCGGTGGCTCGGATAAGACGACGCTCCGAACATTGTGTTGGTACGTGGGGGTTTACGTGAATAAGATTCTGCTCGAGCATACCGAATAGAGTTGCAGTTTGGAACTCGCACAATTGGATTAGCACTTAGGGCAAGTAGAAGAATTTATTGTAAAAAATAATCAGCTTTGGGAGCATCTGGGAGGTTAGTCACATGACCTTTGACCCCACCAAATTAGTGGGCTCATTCTAAGGGTCCAGGAAAATCCTCACGACGACTTCTATCTCGTCTCCACCCCCAGTGTTTGGATTGTTTCCATCTCATACCACATTACCAACTCACATCCTCTACTTCCAAACACATCCCTCAAGATGCCTGTCTCCAAGAAAATGAAGGTATGTACTAATGCGAACCTTGAGAAGTGAAAGAAAACGCGATCGCAAGCTGACGAAAAATATCTTCCAGGTCCAACGGGATCACAAGAAGGCAGAGGCTGCTGGAACGCGCGCGCCTGTTAAGGCAAATGGATTACCTGTCAAAGCCCCGAAACCAACATCTCTTGTACGTTGCTCAATCCAACACCCTTCAGTCGCGAGTGGAGAGAATTGCGACGATAGCAAGATACAAGCGAATGCCCTGGTTGAACATCTGCTGACATCCCGTGCTTAATTCAGTGCGCAAACTGTCGAAAAGAAATCGTCAACACCAATTTGAAACAGTTGGAAGTCCACGCCGAAACCCACGATCAGAAGCTCTGGCCAAAGGAGAAGTGCTGGCCTAAGGAGTTTCCGGGAACTGCTGCTTAAGATACCCCACCCTAGATCGCATTTTCGAATTCTACTTGTGGCATTTGGGAAATACACAGATAATGACGGCTGAGTCTCAGGAAGGGAAGTGGTGCATAAGGAGTTATTCGTGCGTTGGTCTTTATATGGCTATGGATTCCGAATCGATCATGATTACGAAAGCACTAGATCTGAAGCAAAGGCCTCAAGTGATATGTTGCTGCTGTACATTCCCTCTACTTTCCATACCGGCTTTCAAGTGAAATTGATGAAAGATTCCGGCAGGCCCGGTTGCAGAATGCAGATGGCGGCTCGAAAATCTTTGCGGGTCAGTTTGTTTACGCGTGGAAAATAAATCGCAGCTGTGTTGTTGCACGCCTGAAACTTTGTATCCTTGCTGTGCAAACACTTTGAATCCTCTAAACAAAGTGTTGTTAACAGACTGATGATTTGACGAAATAAACTGCGGGTTTTGTTACTTTTCTAGCCACTTTGTGGTATCGCAACGCCTAGTGGCCCGCATGATCACCAATCCTCTTCAGAAGATTCGTAGCTTGAGCTTTCCTTTTCCACATCCTTTTGTTCCTCGAGCAATCTTTGGAATGTCACCGCATTCTCCTGCTGCAGCAGCTCAACGTCAAGACCAAATTGTCCGCCATCGACGTTGTCTGGGACTCGGAGTGTCATATGTTCTAACTTACTTATTGCCGAGTTTGGCAGTAAGTCAGTGACTAGAACCTTGAATATAAGACTTTTGGCTACTTCCTCAAGCCCAATAATTCTACTCAGCAACTTCTCTCCATCTTCGTCTGACCCTGAGACTCGAGAAAACGAATCGACCAAAATGAAGACGACGTCAGAATCTGGTAATAGTTGTAGCAAGTGCGTAAATAGTAGCCATGCCGATTTTTTCTTTTGTTTTGTCGTTTGGGCATACTTTCTGTCCGCAAGAAATTCAAGATCGATGGCCTGCCTATTATGCAAGATAAATTCTAACAGTTGCGCGTTCAGACTTCTCAAAATTCCTAATGTGCCGGATACTTCTTCTTCTCTTGTGTCGTTTGTTTTCAATCCACAAAAGAAAGACAGTACGGGATGTTTCTGCGAGTGCGAAGTTGTTTTCGACAACAACGCTGTAACTGTTGATATAGGATTCATCAGGTCTTCTGGCGGTGTGTCTGCGGCAATCTCCAAAGTGCATGACTGTGTCTGAGCCAGCCACTCGTATAACTCATTCGATTGCATTATAAATAGCACCTTGTCTCTCAAAGCAAGACTTGAACCTGCCAGGTGCTTCAGATATTCTGCGATATACGAGGCACAGTCGTGGTTGGAATCTGGTAGCGCCTTTTGCCACTTGCTGACTAGTTCTTGATTTCTGTCAAGCAAAGATCTTGACGAGCTCTTGATTTCCTTTTGGCTGACTACGTCTTGATTGGCTGTTTTGGAACTGCATTAGATCCCAACAGGCTCACGACCTTGTACAAAAAATGTGACGTACCTTTGCCATCAATTGCATTAAATGCTGGGTCACTAGCAAAAAAGCGGTACATCATATTCCAAACTTCTGCTTGAAGTTTCTCTTGGGGGTTCTGGGCTCTCCCCGCTAAAAACTTTAGTTGATTTTCAATCGTTTTCTTGACTTCCTCTTGGCTGCTCGAGATTTCTACATTCGCAGAACAAGTCAGAAGTGCATGTTTAATTGTTATTTGAATTGCGACTCTCCCGAAGACTAGTCACTCTGATATGTCTTACCTTGAAGGCTTTTCTTGAATGAAGCTAATGCTGTATTCATTGAGTTGCCGTTGGTCTCGATTCTGCCTAATCTTTGTTGTGCACAAACCTCCACCTTTATTTGAAATCTGTTTATATTCTCATCGAGTGAAGTGAGCGCGTCTTCAAGGTCGCTACCGCGACCTTTTAGTTTGGCAGTGAGGTTTTCTGACTTGATTATCAACGACTCTTTGTCCAAATTTATGCTTTTCGGGACGGATCAAGGTCTGCTTACCACTGACATTCATTGATAATTTCTCTACAATCTTCTCGAGCACGACGAAAATTGCGAGCAGTACCGAATGAGCGCAGGTTTTGAGAGGCCAGGATTTCATGTGAAGATCAGTAAGGCGATGAACATTGCTCAGCTTTTGTGGTATGTCAGCAAGCGCTGCTTGAATTTCATTCCTCAGCTTTTGATGAGCCACGATTCCCTGAGAACATTAGCTTTCTGCTCCAGCAAAAAAAGGGCAATTAATTACGGTCATGACCAAGGTGAAGCCTCCGCAGATCATCGAGCCATACGCATCGCTTGGAACAAACGACAGAAGCGTTTTCAAGGCACCTTCATGTCGTTCAGCAGCTCTGAAGCACCTTCGAATTGTACCCATACAGCTCTTAGTGTTCTGCGGCCCTTCTTTTTTGTCGTACAATTCACGTGCTATTGAAAGAACATCAGAAAAAGTGTAGTCTGTCGGATCTTTAAGCTCTATGCCAAGCTTTTTGTCCACTTTTTGCCTTTTCAAAGTTTCGCAGAAGTTATTCAGTATGTCCTGAAACCTCTCTAATTGTTCAGTTGAATATTTGTAAATATTTGCATCGCTGGATCTGCTCAGCACTGAATATCGACGATCTTGTCTAGGCTTACTCGGGGATATCCTCCTTAGGTAAGAATTTATCGAGTTCACTGACGAATTCTGGTGCCATATCTTCAGCCTGGCCGTTTGCTCTTATCATTTGGTTCGCTATCGCGGGTCCTGCCCTGGTTTCCACGAACTCAGCAGCACTGTTACTCAACACTCTCGAGCGCAAAACAAAAGTCTGTTCCGTCATTGTCAATGGTTATGCGATGTTTTGAGCGCTTGTTAAAACAAGATTGTTACTTCCTAAGAGGGTGATGGAAGGGATCACTCGTTATTCTCACAGCCTGGTATGTACGCTTGTCGACAGCTCCAAAACGTTGTGCCTGCTCGTAATCTATATGTGAGGGCGGGAGGATGCAAAAGAGTCCAATCAGAGTTCTGTTCAAGAACTCTGTGGGTGTACAACATAATGTTGTATCTGACAGACGACGCAATTGGCTCAACAAAGTTGACGCCCAAGAGTGGCTTATCATGGATTACAGATCAAGGAGTGCCTGTTGCCTGCACTCTGATCAGGTATTCTGTTCAGAAGGAATTTTGTAGAAACATGACATTAGAAACGGAACATGTTCGATTATGGACCAGTACCCAGCCCATGGTACAAGCGACCTCCTTGCGTTTTAATACTTTCACATTTCTTTTGTATCACAGATCTATTACTTTTCAGCTTCCTGTACGAACCCTGCTACAAGTTGCATGTTGTTAGATTGGCTCTAGCCTTCTTCGCGGATTTCCATAAGGCACACTGTATCCCCCAACTTGTTGGAGCTGGCGTCAAACATTACAAATCCCATTTTAAACGACATACTTTTGATTGTTTACAGACTTTTTGTAAATCATTTCTTCGCCTATTCATTGCAAGCTTTGTAACAATGGCATCCGCATCCCAGAGTCAACATGCACCAGAAGAAGCACCCGATCATGCCAGTGCAGAGCCACCTTATACAATTAACTCTGAGGAAGTCTCAGCGCCTAATCGTTCAAAGACTACGGAGAAAGTTGCCATCTCTGTGTCGCAGCGCTCCTCTGTAGACAACTCACATCCAGGCACATCGGCAAGCATGATTAGTGGCACTATCCAAGCAGCATCAAACAGCACAATTGACAGTATGCACGCGTCAATAAACACTGCAAATGAGGACCGCAGTGATCTAGGATCGGACGAGATAGGGGACTCGAAAATAGATGATCCGCTTTCAGATGATGAGCCGGACGCTTCATATGACGCGAAATCTTACCAGGAGGACTATGAAAAATCTAGAAAGAATCTTTTGAGTAGCTTCGTTGATTTTACCCGAGCCACTGATGAACGCATCATTGCATTAGAAAACTTCGCTTCTCGCATTGACAGATATTCGTCAGGGAGCGAAAGCGACGACGATGTAGCTTCGAATGACTACGTGGATTCGGAAAGCCCAGAAAATGGAAAAGAGAAAAAACGTTTGAGGTGGCCAGATATCATTCTCACCGTCAAATTTTATGATGCTCATTGGGAGCTAAGCAGTCAAGGCTTGCCGGTATCAACGACCATGACGCGTGAAAGTTCATTCTCTACCTTTGGTGGGCCTCGGTACATCGTAAAGGTACTCTATAATCCCAGTCCAGGCTACCCACAGACAACGTCGCGTGAACACCGTCGAAATGATCAGCATGCTCCGTCAAAAGAGGAAATTGATATCGTAGCTATTAAAATAGCATCGGAGCCAGTCATCTCGCTTCTGGAGACCGAATTTGGGAATATCGCATACGATCGTTCTACCAAGAACTTTGTAGCGACCTTCACAAAGCCTTTTCGGCCACTTTTACGCCAGTTAAAGCTTTTAAAAGACCACATTGCAAGAGTTGAAGATGGCATAAGGTAAGTCCCTCATTGATTTGCCCAGACAAGCTCTGACAACGTGGCAGGTTTCCGCCGACGGGCAGCTCGAGCGAGACGCCTAGTTTTGCAGATAATGTTGTGACGCAGGAATCTAACAAGCTCAGTAAAAATGACGATGATTTCACAACGGATGCTTCCAGAACTGTTTCTCGGGGACCGCATGTTGGGCTGAGTGTCAGTCTCTCAGAAGAGTTGGAGCACTTTAGGATCGTGGTGACTTTCATCGAGTGTTATTTTGACAAACAAATCAATCTACATAAGAGAATTAGAGCAGGAAAAGAAGACAAAGTAGCCTTCGAGAACTTATGGATGCTTTTCGAGGCTGGCGATACTGTCTTTGCCCCCTCCACTGGCGGGGAGTCCATATATAACACTTACGATGCGTCTGGGAATCGCAGAGAAGCTACTTCTCAACAGGCCGCAGGAAGGCCGTCTGGCCCACCTATGTCCCAAGAGTTGCACGTTTCTGTACCGAGAGATGTCCCACAGGGATATCGTGTCTCAGCGGAAGCTGGGGGAATACCCCTTAGAAAAGCACTAGCCCCACATGGCTCCCTTACCATGGATGAGTATAATAACGAGGAGATAGCTTCCAATAAATCTCGCCGCACTCACGAGGTTTTAGCAGATCAGTCTGATGCACGATCAAGAGCCACATATACACCACTCTGCGTCTACTGCTTTTACATAGACTATAACGGCGAGAGGTATGGGACCGTATCCGAGGTTTTTATTTTCAAACAATTCGACGAAGAGATGGAAATAAGAAGTCTGGACATTTGCCCGCTATTCTATCTTGACGACCGTATGAAAAGTTTGTCTTGTGATCCCCATTCAACTCCACAGGCCATCAGAATACCAAACTATCATTCTAACATGTTGGAGGGACGTGGCAAGAAATTCATGACGGCAACGAGAGTGTCTCACATGAATTATGATGGGCTCACTGTGGGGAAGAGTAGGGAAGAGGTAAGCAGGATTTTCTCGCAAGTCCCTTCAACATAATGCCAAAGTCTCTGATGTTTCTCTAGATTAACACCGCTGTGATTGTCGACTTTAAATTAGCATTTAAGCAATACTGGAAGTCATTTGAAAATGGTGCGCCCAAATTCTCGCCCACCATACCTTTTTGGTACTACCTGGAGGGTGGCAAGGCCATCGAGATCTCCCCGGCATGCATTGACTGTTTGCGGAAGGGAATCTGTGACAATCTCATCCACAATCGAGATCTATTCTTGTTTCACCAGTACAACCAACTGAAAACTATTGAGTCAAAGCTGAGAGATTTCTTTGACGGCTTGGCACCCAGCAAGCTAGATCAAAACAATGCCGCCGATAAAATCGCTACTTTCATGGAAAAACATGATCTCGTGAAGCTGCTTCCAGGTGTCGCCCCTGCATTTGCATTGAGACATCGAAAATGGGGTAAGTTATAAAATAATCACTTTCTCAATCAATGTCGATAGGCGCTAACATCCACCAGTCATGCTAGATCTTAGCCTGTTGAGTCCCGTGGAGCTGGAAGATGGGTGGAAAGATCTCGTTCTTCCTAAAGGACATCGGGAAATGGTTCAGGCCATGGTAGAGACACATGTAAGCCTTTTAACAAATTCGAGCTAGAAACGTCATGGAAAATGTATTCAGTGGTATTCGTGTGACAAACTGCTTCATTGTATGTCACAAAATTCTGGTATAGCTTGCTGATGTTTGAGTAAAGGCAAAAGGCTCTAAATTCGATCTAGCCCAACCTCAAGGAAAACTCGCCATGGATCTTGTGCGAGGAAAAGGTAAGAAAAGTCTTACTTCAAAACTTTAAGGGCCGTTTGCTGATTAATGAGCTAGGTAGAGGATGTATTATTCTCCTTCACGGAGCTCCAGGTGTTGGCAAAACCTCAACCGCAGGTAAACAAGCATTTGATCTTTTCTCCTCATCCATCCAAGATGCTAATTTAGTTTTCTAGAGTGTGTCGCGGCATATACACAACGACCTTTGTATCCAATCACTTGCGGTAAGAATAGCACCCCCGAGGGATTGAAACGTCGACTTACTGTGGCAGGTGATATTGGTTACCTTCCTGAGCAAGTTGAAATGAACATGGAAAAACATTTCAAGCTGGCACATGAATGGGGTTGCGTTCTCTTGCTCGATGAAGCGGATGTCTTTCTGGCCAAAAGAAATGTGAGGAAATCCAAGATCATTTCCTGATATCTAATGCTAATAAAATCAATGTAGAAGGAGGATGTGAAGAGAAATGGGCTAGTGTCTGGTAAGCCTAACCTGAACGGTCTAAGTTATATCTCGGTTCAAGCTGATTAAATTCAGTATTTCTCCGAATACTGGAATATTACTCAGGCATTCTTTTTCTCACAACTAATCGGGTCGGAGCCATCGACGATGCATTTCGATCAAGACTTCATTTAACGCTCTATTATCCAAAATTAAGTAAGAAGCAAGCATTGAAGATCTGGGAGACAAATCTCAATCGAATGATATCAATCAATGAAGAAAGAGTTGTAAACGGGCTTCCTCCAGTTGAGTTCAATCACGATAAGATCATCAAATGGGTCAAGAAAAATCACCATCTATTACAGTGGAACGGGAGACAGATTAGAAATGCTTTCCAAACCGCTGTAGCTTTGGGAGAATTCAAGGCAAAAGACAAAGCCAAAGATGGGGAGACGCCAATACCAGTCATGGATATCAAGCACTTCAAGATCATCGGGAAGGCTTCTATGGAATTCAATCAATACTTGCTGGCGACACATGGATTTACTGAGGATAAAGCGGCAGCGAGAGAGCAGTTGCGAGCCCATGATGCAGCCGAGAACATGCAGAAAGCAAAAACAGAAGCGGCTCAAAGAGCTGTCTTTGACTCGGAAGAGGACAGTGATTCAAGTTCTAGCTCCGAAGAGGATGTGTCACAAGACGACGGGGCGTCGGGCTCGGAAAGCGATTCCAGTGATTCCCAAAAAGAGAAGAAAAAGAAGAGTAAAGATAAGAAGAAGAAGAAGAAAAATGACAAGGGAAAGGGTAAGCTGGGGAAGAAGTTTTGAAGATCAGAATGCATATCAGAAGTTGCATGAACAACGTTACTATTATTTGATTGATTGAAAATTTGGCTTCATCTTACATGCACACAGTATGTCTCTGACATCTCTTCGCTCGTACTATTGTCCATCATAGAGGTGGAGATGAAAACTGCCAAGTCTTCAGAAGGAAGTACGCGGTAGGCAACAACGACCTACTGAGTTGCTCTTGCCCGAAAATACGAAAGTCCTCCCATACTCCCAGACAAGTTTCACCCGACCGTTCCCAGACCCATCGCTCTCCAGCCTGCACCTATGTGGTAGTGGACAGAGAGTCAGCGGAGCGGCTTTCTCTCCCTTATTCATCTCCATTTTTACACCAGCAATTATTTTTTGTTGCAACACCATGGTTTCACTCCAATTATTACCAACCGAGATCTTAGAGTTGATCATTTTCAATTTTCAAGGCCCGCCAATACAATATGCCAATATTCTGAGTGCAAGACGTTCCTGCCGGGCCCTGGCGCAACCGTGTAGAGAGCTTCTTTACAGGGATATCGACTTCAACTTCCAAAGCGAAGATTGGCTTGCGGCTCAACTAATGCAAGTAAGATTAATTAGAGGTCTCTATTTGTAAGCTATGTCCAATGGCCTGGTGAGACACACGGTAATTGAAGCTTACACTACGTCAGAAAGAAAAGCAATGCGGCATTTATCAGAACGTTCAAGAATAAACCACATGATGTCTACAGCTGCTCCCTCGACGCAATTGGGCGTGTAACGATCACTTCAAACTGGCAGAACCTTGTTAAAACTGCCAAAAAGATGAAGCGCCTTACGGAAGCTTATATGACACCTAGTTTTCTGGCAGCCCAGATCATTGCGACAGCACCAAAATATAAAATCTTGAGAAAACTGACAGTGGCTCAGATCAGTCCTATGCTGCATATCTGGGACAACAGAACCACCCGTCTAACCACCCTTAGATGGGAGCTTGCAGATTCCATCGGAGAGGACTCAAACAGGTCTGGGTTTGACGATGTTGACTTCCTCATCGGAGTAGTTGAAGCAACATGTCCGGCGCTGATCAATTTCGATATCGTCATCCGCCCACCAAGTCAGACACATTGGCCAGATATTTCACCCCTCTCCTTGAACAGATGTACAGCAAACACCGAATCAATATACCGCTTACGTCCAGCATCTTCCCTAAAGTGTCTGCGGCATTTTGGACAGTACTATGATCTCATGCCTGGTACCGAATCATCTTTGATGATCGACTTCACGTCCATTTTTCATAGGTTTGTGGAGAAACATTGCAGTACGCTAAGCTCAGTGGTCGTCGCCGTTGGCTCTAATGGGGGATTGATCTCATTCAATCCTGCTCTCCAAGCTTGTCGATTGTTGCCCCGCCTGCAAACTTTATCTTTAGCGGTGAAAAGTCGATACGGATTAAGTACCCTATCTTTTCTCGAGAATGAGGATAGTAGTTTGACGCTCTTCCTCAGATCTCTATCAGTTTCAAACCGGTTCCTGCAACGGCTATCTATATCAAATGTTGGGGGTAGCTTTCATGCAGAGCTAGGAGCTCTTTTCGGGTATTTTGAAGGACTCAAGTCACTCCGTGTTGGGAATACAGATATGGCCATTGTATTGGCAGATCCTTTCGGACACCCATCACCTCAGGATTGTCAAGCATACAAATCGGTAATTATAGCACTCCTTATCACGATAAATTGTCTCACAAAGCTGAAAGTTGACAGGGAATTGTCGATTTCATCCATGCACTGCCAGAATCACTAGAGGAAGTCTACCTCGGAATTAATATCACTCAAAGTTCGTTCGCTTTTGATTACTTCTTCGTGCCACTGAATGATATTGGGCCAGAGGTTTTCACTTATGCACCTCGCCTTCGCCTTCATACTCTCGATCTACATTTGTGGCTCCATAATGAGTCAGTAAGGCTAGATCCAGGGGCAGGCGTGTTCTGTCGACGTCTTCCTCATCCTGTGGCACAGAAAGATAACGCAAGGCGCCTCTGGACGTCGGTGATGCATCTCCGATCATCAAATTTCACTTCTGGCTTCTACCTTATAAGCCATAGGTTCTCTGACCTGGAGCTGAAAAGTCAGAAGTTTCTAGGACATGACGCTCGGGGAATCTGGTTAGATGGGAGTGACGAGGCATATGAAAATTGGGGGCGTTGGCCAGGGTATCGCGACAAGATTTCTTCTTATCCACCATTTCAAAACCGGTACTGAATTAACCAGTCGGTTTGTGCGATCGTCATGTTATGACAACAAATTTCATTAGCTTAGAGTTGGCGAGACTTGAATATAGTGTTGATGCGCTGTCAGTCAGCAGTTCCTAAAATGATATCATTTTGATTACTGGAATGGCTACAATTGTCGATAACCAAAGTTGATGGTTCTTGCGGGTGCATATGAGGGCAGTTGATAACTGTACGATTGTTGAGTCCTTGTATCTGAAATCCCTGCTTTTTCAACCGCTAGCTGTGTGTCGAGCTAACAAATGAAAATCGATGGAAACAACGTCTGTGATCCAACTCTAATTGTGCTGACACAACAAGAAAAAGAAAGCACAGTTTCCAATTATCAGGTTTTTTTTTTGGTCTGATAAAGGGATTTTTCTACATCAAATTTCATGTTAAATGGCCTCATGCTATAGAGATTCGTTGTTCTCTGCTGCTGTACATGTATGATAGACCAGATGAGTAGTAGCATTTAAGCGAGCTCTTTCTCCCCTATTTTAGGGAGCAATTACAATGCGTGACGGCCAACTAATCGGCAATATATACTTCGAGTAAATCACCCGAGATCAAACCCTTTTTTTTTTGGAATGGAAACCTCGATAAATATAAATTCTCTTCAGACCAAAATAAAAGTGAGTGGAAATCTGATTTGCGGATTCTGACGTTTAAAGTCACGTGCCGATACAACCCCACCATCATCACCACGTCTTTGGTGGGGTAATAATATGCGAAATTTGATGGCAAGAGAAGCAAGCGCGTTTCTTCTTGAACCAGAATCAATCCTTTCTCTATATCATCCTCAATCTACAATTCCGACTATTCTATTCAGCCTTACGCCATGGAACACGACACCAAAACCCGTATTTGACCTCTGCCACCATTTGCTATCGTAGCCTCACTGACGACTCGATTAGCCCTCGCGTCGACGGCAGACAAGACCTCATTTGCATACATTTCCGCTAGAGATCGGTGGCCAGTTATTCTTGTGCGATTTCCTAGTCACAAAACGGTTCGCGGCTGATGGGAATAGACAGGCGCGATCGACGATGTTCACAGAGCCGTGTCGGAGGTGACGGAAGACGCGAAAAGGGACGAGGGAAAAAGAATTGTCGAGCAGCTGGCCAAGCTTAAGTACGAGCTTCAGCATGATCGCAAATTGACGTGAGCGGCCCGAAAGTAATTGAAGATGGGTGTTGATAAATCAGACCAATTCCAGACGACGGGCAACCTGATATCGAGGGATACAACAAGGAGCTCGAGGCTTTAGGAACACCATCATGGTTTAACATTCCTTGGCTGTACGCAGAATGCTACTTGTATCGGTAAGAACTCTCGTTTGCCCACTTATGCATCAGTTTCTAATGGAACTTCATAGCCGGGTAGCGTCGTCATTCGCCCTCTCCCAATACTGGAAAAGCTACGATGTCTTTGCGCGCCAGAAGATTTCTACATTTCGATCCTCTCGACCAGCGGTCCTCGAGCTCGCAGCTAGATACCATGAATTAGTAAAACAGATGGAGGAGAAGAATAACAAATCAGAAGAGGAAATAGATCAAGCCGAGAAGATTTTGTTCATGGAGATGTGTGAGATCTGTCTCTGGGGAAATGCTACCGACCTTTCGCTCCTCACCTCTTTAACGTACGAAGACATTCAAAAGTTACAGGGGTCGGAGGCACGGAAAGCATCTGAGAAGAACATAATTGTGAATGACCTCGAGGCAGCTTACGATGTTTTGAAGAAGGCCAAGCGGGAAGGAAAACAAAACAGACAAGTCGACATCGTACTGGATAACGCAGGCTTCGAACTCTACGTTGATTTGATCCTCGCCGGGTTTTTGCTCTCCGCTGGTCTAGCTACAAATGTCATCCTCCACCCAAAATCAATCCCTTGGTTTGTGTCGGATGTTTTGCCTGGAGACTTTGCTGCTCTCCTGAACGCATTAGCAGACCCCCAACCATTCTATTCTACACCCTCAGATGAAGAGAAGAACAACGAGGTTACACCGAAACAATTGACCCAGAAAGAGGTTGATGAGCTGTCTTTCTTATTCCAAAACTGGAGTGGCTTTCACCAGGAAGGCCAATTACGTTTACGCTCAAATCGATTCTGGACTGAAGGCGGTAGCTTCTGGCGATTACCGTCAACCGCTCCTCGATTACACGAAGATCTCAAGGAGAGCGAGTTGATAATTTTCAAGGGTGACCTGAACTACCGGAAATTAGTGGGAGATGTAAGCCAATTCCACTGCCATATTGTGGCCAATTTGCTAATTCATGACAGGCAACTTGGGACCCAACTACCCCATTCCCAAAGGCCATTGGTCCCTTAGGTCCAGGTTCAGGCGTCAATGTGCTTGCACTACGGACATGTAAAGCAGATGTAGTCGTCGGTCTTCCATCTGGCAAGGACGAGGAGCTTCGTGCGATGGAAGGCGGTGGCGGCGATAGTGGTGCTAGAAAATGGGCTTGGAGTGGGAAATGGGCGGTTGTGTCATTTTCAGCCGGAGCTTAATAGAATTTTATAGATAGAGGATATATAAGATTTCTTTGAATAGATCTCATTTAAGAAGTTATAATTCCGGAAGATCCCGCTTTGTACTAGACTTCGAGTTAGATAAGCGAAATCAAAGTCGAAATCACGATAAAATTTGCTTAGGATCGTTCAATTTAATAATAATATATCACGCACTTAAGCCACATTAAGAGTTTTCCGGTAAGTCTTGTCTAACCCGTCTCTTTCGCGTATCGTGTATGCGGCAGAAAACAGAGTCTTTATTACATATTAGTGGACTTTCGTGTCATTTCTTAGAAAAATGCCAGTTGACTGTAAGAAACTTACTTTCTTACTTAATTGAAGCAAATTGGTTCCCTATCTTAAACCTTACAATCTATTTTTTATTGCCACTATATTAGTGAATCGTTATGACCCAATCATATAGTCTAGCCAGAGGGAGTTGAAGATAAGTTCCAAATCCTGCTTTTGCTGCTTTTGGTAATGGGATTTTGTAAGTACTTTTGTGGGAATAAAGCGACTTTACAGCTGTTTGGTGTTAAAACAAAGACCTTTCAAGCCACCAGAAAGAATCGACCTTCTTAACTGAACAATTTCCCTCGTTTTACCCAGCGGTTTCTTTTTCACCCAAAAAGATTTCCAGGTTATCATTACGGGTGTCATCCCTCTATTTTACGCTCGACCTTTTGCAGAATCTATACCTACAACTCTTGGATTACTCCAGTTAATTCTGCAGTAGTTGTATGGACAATTGAGATGTCTCTTTAACGGTTTATTGTTCTTGAGACAACAGTTGTCTTGTTTTTCCCCACCACTGTCAACAAAGCCGCTCACACTCATAAAAGTAATGAAGTTACCACACTCGAATATTCCAGCATCGCGGCTCTCCCAGTTTCTTCCACTTCGGCACTTCATAACTACAAAATTTCTCTAAGGTTTGTAAGTTTCAATCGTATCTCGTTTTTCAATACAAGATTCTATAGATTTGGAGCATGTCTAAACGACCAATCTACATCGTCTCCTGCACCGTCCCCTCATCGCCCTCTCAATGGGGCCTCTGGATTCCCCGACTCTCTACAGAAACCTCCACCGAACAGCCCGTAGGAAAAATCATCCACGTAGCCGAAGATCTAATCGAAGGTTACCAACTCGAAATCATCAGAAACTACAACATCAACTGGCCTACAGGTGGTAGATCTATTAATTTCCTAGGCTTCACTAATGAGAGAAATATCGTAGATGGTCCCGACTCAGCAGGTGTGGTGTTCGATACCAAGGCTAGAGACTTTATTGAGATTTATGCTGCTGGCGTTGCGGTTCCTGCTCCTACTCTGAGACCCAGGGCGAGTATGAGTTCGCAGAGTTCAGGTAGTAGTGATTCTGATCTGGAAGGGCTAGTACGTCCTCAATGGGTTCAGAGCGAAAATTGCCAGACTTGGGTTCGTAAGCTTGTGGAGAGGTTGGTGCATGATGATGTTCTTCTCGCTGAAGCACTCGTGAATCTCAGCAGGGTCCCTCAAAACTAATTCATGTGATTGTTGAAGCTGGATTACGGCAACAGTCAATCAAGCTTGAGTTTTGGTACCTGCAAGTATATTGTCGGTACAGACACCCTTTAAAATCAAACTACAACGCTCATACATCAGCTTTCTGTGCACCCTATTATTCCTTCGTTTGCATTGCACATCGTGATTCGGTTGATTGAAGTTTGATGCTCCCGAATCATGATATAAAGCTTCCGTGAAATTGTGACATATAAGCAGCCTATAAGGATTGTATCCCCAGCAGATACCTGCAAACTACCGAGTTGGGAAGCTGACGTAACTTTCAGACTGGGGCGTATTCCCACAATTGAACAATAATGTTCTCTCTGCCATTCCCCTCGCCAACGACATTCCGTGTTCCGTATTATTTGTTATTTGCGCACAAGATCAAATGGCTAGCGATGAAGTACGCAGCGGACCTTACCTGTTACCATCACTCCTCCCGTCAGATGAAAACATAAGCTTCTTCGAGACAAAGTTTTTCGCTGACGGCCACCAATACCTACCAACACCAGCTGAGGTTCGGCTTGCCGCTGGGAAGCAGGAAAATCCCATTCGACCGCCGCCTGTGGTCTTTCCTTCACTAAAACTTATCGTCAAGTATGGTTATGCGATCAAAATTAGCGAAGGTCAGTGTCTGTGGGCAATTCGCAAATGATGTCCAAATGTGCCAGTTCCGGAGGTGTATGGTTGGCGTACAGACGAAGGACAAACATTCATATACATGGAAAACATCGATGCACGGACGTTGGAGACAGAGTGGCCAGGACTAGATGTGGAAGAAAAATATGAGATATGTGTGCAGTTACGCTTCATTATTGATGAATTGCGTCAACTTCGACAGGACCCTTCTAATACGTTCATTGGTGAGTGCAAATGGTTTCCAAAAGTGTTCTTGAGTCTAATCAGTTTGAACTACAGGAAGAATCAACCAAACGCCCTTAGGGGATGTCATTTTTGACTCTTGCAGGGCACTCACTGGTTACTTCTCAGAACTTCCTTCCTTTCACGACTGGTTTTCAGGTGTCAAGATGCCAGAACCGGGATCTATTGACTCAGACCCCTGGCGACCTCACCTGTTAGATGACGCATCCATCGTGTTTACTCACGCAGATTTACATCGCAGTAACATCCTGATGTCTTGGAATGAGGATGGTACACCCAAAGTGGCTGCGATCGTTGACTGGCATCAATCTGGATGGTATCCTGCGCCGTGGGAATTCTATAAGACGAGGTGGACTGCCAGGTTTCAGGAGCAGTGGGATTTGATTGATATACTTGAGTTCTTACAGGCATATAGAGGATATATACCGTGGGATTACTTTGTGCTTAAGAGGGGTTGCTAGTCGTAGAGTTTAGCTTCATAGTGGCCAATGCGATAGTAGTGAGAGCTTCTAGAAACAAAACAGAGGGTAGTGGAAGCAACTAGACGATTTACGGAATAGATACAGTGATTTTTAAACAGGAGCTGTCAAACCGCAAGTCCGTTAATGCACCAACCATAAGCAATTCAAGGATTTGTGACAAGGAACCAAAGATTGCTTAAGTCATTTGGCGCCGGCCATCCAGAATCAAGAAGATGGGTACACCGCTTCTTATACGACGCAAAGTTTGGTTGCCAAGCTTGGACTCACGCATATTCACAGCCAATGAATGTTGGATATGTTGTTCATCCAGGACTGAGAACATGGAGCTTACCGCTGGCCATACATGATTCAAATAATTGTGACTGGCTTGCTCGTAGAGGATGTAGTAAGTACAACAGGCCTTCCAATGAGGTACTTTAAAGGCAGCCCCCACGGAAAAGTCTGCGGAGAGAAATAAATTTAAAAATGGATCACAAAGTTCCGATCTTCGGAGCGTACTGCTCTGTTTCGAATTAACAACATGAAGCCGGATGGACTTCTAACTCTGACGATCGAGCACACACCAATGGAGAAGCAGCGTAGCGAAGCGCAACTTGTTGCCAGCTTGGATGCAGCAACCCGGGAAATCGACAAACACAGTTGCAACATATATGCACCGTTATATTCGGCATTTCGAAACCTTCTTTCCACATGAAATCCGCATGGTATTGGACCTGTGCTGCGGCTTTCAGCGAATGAATACCCAACAATGCCTAACTCTTTCAGCTTCGAAAACGTCTCCAGCATTTTTGCGATTGGAGCGGGATGGCATATCCAGTACCGTATGATCGGAACTACTGTCACTGATAATTGGACATCATGCACGACATCTTCGGCAGCTCGAGGGGCTAAAACAATCCTTCAACGACGTCCATTGATGTCAATATAACCCTCGAAGTCCCCAGGGCATAGAAAGGAATGTCAAAGAGCATAGTCTCCTCAAGTAATCAACCTTGACAGCGCCGATATAGCGAGCTTCTGGTACTGTGTGGTATAAAGCCATTGGCTCGAGTGCGCACGGAAGGGAAGGGAAGGGAAGGGAAGTGCGCTTGCTTATCCTCCTCCATATATGGTAACTGAGAAAAGATAGGAATAACGACAAGCAGCAAAGCAGAGGGAATGCGAGCAAACAATTCTGGAGGTAAGAAACTCGAAGAAACAATTTCAATAAAAGCGCAATGAGCATTCAGAGGCTCGTGGTGCCGTAACCTTAGGAAAGCGGATCCTCATTCACGACACGCGACTGCCGCCCCAGATCGTCAACCTTTCATCCATCCCATTCCATTCCTCAACCAATAAATGCGCTTCCTACCAATTCTAGCGTCCGCAGAATGAGGTAAGAAGATCATTTGAAGGCTATGTTCGTGGATATGGGGATGCAGTATCAGCACAACCTTCGTACGATTTGTGGCTACGGATCAGAACATCACAACAACTGCTGTCGTCTGACAGGTGATCAGCTCAGTGAGCATGAATCCTGTCCAGTACCTCCTTTCCATATCTTCCCTACGTTTTGTTTCTTTGTTCTTGCGCGTTCCTCCAGCTTCTTTTCCGCTGTGCTGTGTTCGAAGTCGAATGTAGAAGCTCGTCTTGTCGACGCGTCATGAATCGTTCTATTTTGGTGGCAGACGGTTAGGATTTGTTCTGTGGAGGCATGAGAAGCTTCTTACTGGCTCTGAATATTTTATTGGTTTGCAGTCAAGTTACGTTCTGTGTTTGTTGAGTTGTTGGTCAAATTGTTTTGTTGTGCAGTGCACGACGATCCGCGTTTTCGGTGGCCGAAAGAAGGCAAGCCATGGGCCGTCAAGCAAGCGAAAATCTGCACAGGTTCAAGCGTTTCCCACCAAATGTTGATGAGGTGACAGTAAGACGTGTCGCCAATGTCAGCAAGAAAAATCTGCCCCTAGCATTGAGCTTCTCGGTGTCGAAGGATCAACAAGCATACACTATCCGCAACTGGCATTTCCTTCCCTGTGGAATGGGAGGCTGTTCCAAACCGGGTGGCTTCGTGATGCAGGGTAGTTCATCTCACCATCTATGTCGCCTGGGCAGCAAACGCTGGGCCTGCACCGAGATATCTCTACTAGACAAGAGATTGCCTCGCTCTGAATTCTGCCTGAGAGATAGGACCACTCAGAATAACGGCCCCAATGCTCATGTGCAGTCGCCCACCAGTTATCCGATTTTTTTCTGCACCTCTTCATCGCCTCATCGCCTCGTCGGTTCCAGACTGGATGACTGTCCTTAAACCCTGCCCTTCTCATGGCAGCAGTTGCAAGGCTATCATCTTGAGGAAGAGCTTCACAATTGCTCGGATGCGTGAAAGATGATTGGGTGAAAGACAGCGCGTTGTTGATATGGTTTTTGGGGTGGATAGGCTTGCAATATGATCATAACCCTCTCTTTCTGTTTGGCATAGCTGTTGCAAAGCCTGTCCAGCACGACGTTAGAAATCTACAGCTCAGATTGACCCCCCAAACATAGACTCGGAAGCTGGGGCAAATCCTATCTACGTGGAGCTTGTCGCTTGGACCTGTTTTATGTCTCACTTATTCCTCATGGAGCCCATTACACCACACATACTTGGGCTCCAAAATTTGCCAGCCCTGCCATTGAATTGGGTATTATTGCGGCCGTGAAGTTTCTTTGCACAGTGACTACAGTATCGATTGATTGGTACGATTGGATGGAGAGAAGCTGCAAGTCTCCTTGAGGCGAACAATTCAGGCACTGGAGTGAAGATGATGTCCAGCATTCCCTGCTCGCCGTCGCCCTCCCCTCCCGCGAATTTGGAGGCCTGCTATAGGTTATGAAGGCATAAGCGGATATGTAGAGAAGACAATGAAATAAATGGAGCGTTCCAGCGCTTGGGACGACGAAAATCACCCTATGAGTGGATGGATTTGTCGTTGAATATGGCAAGTCATAATCCGACATGTGGATGTGCATCAACAACACACGCAGCATCGCCCATATTGTACTACCAGACTCGTTGGGTCACTTATAAACTAACAAAAACCCAACTTCTCTGGCATTTGCTGAATGCTATTTCATATTGCACTTTTTTTCCATGGCATCCTCCTCTAGAGGCGGGGTCCCTACCCGCTGTCCAGTGCCTGGCTGCCATGTAACTTGCCGAAAAGAGAATGACATTCCCAGGCATTTAAAGGAACAACACCAGGCAAAAAAGATATGCCCGAGAGAAGGCTGTGGGCAAACCGATCGGAGGATCAGTCGCTTGATTGAACGTTGTCAGAAAGAACATCCCTCCAAGCCGTTGACTCGAGGTAAATGTTTTCTACAATTCTGATAATTGTGCTTTTCTGATGACCTTAGATGAAGTCAACGCCCTGGAGGACATTCAGGACTATTGGTACCAAAAATTGCGACGAACACATGGTGGGCAGTACAGTAGGGAATCCTTCAGAGATACTAACCTTCTTCCAGGTCTTGATGGAACTGAGCCACAGCCTCCGGAAAGCACCGAAGATTTTAATGATATAAGAACCCGACAGCCTGGATATCCAAATGAGTTCTCACGTCAGTATCGATCTTAATCTCTGAATCAGATTAAGAGCTGACAATACTCCAGATTCGATGGAATCCCACGACGCCGTCAAATACCAAAATGAGCAAGGCTGGGACGCCGAGCTCGAGGACGAGCAACTACACGAAGATTCTTTCTTTAGCAGCTATGAGGAGACTCCAGGCCTGTCGACTAGAGATGGAGATGGGCTGGGTAATGGCTATTACCGCCAACAACATCAATACCGCCAGGAACCATACAGCCAGTCGGATTACCACCAAGGTTACTCAGACCCACAGCCCTCTCAGACGGCTTATGAAAGCGAGCTGAATGGCAGTGACCTGTCACACCATTATCCTTTCTCAGTCACACCAGCAGGGAGCAACTCCCCTGAGAACGACCAGCAAGATGAACCTGTAATCTCCAACATTACACTATCTCCAGAGAACGAGGCTGTTGTCTCTTACGACGATGGCTTTTCTGATTCTGTTCCTGAGTTTTACAACTCTTATCCCTATTGGCAACAATCACAGTCGACTCCAAATTTTTACGACCGCCTGGATCTCCAGCCGAACGAAAGCTGAACCCAATCACTCCCATCCTTGCTCGCTGAATTTCTTCTCGAACAACAACGAGGCTTTCCAATCCATCAATTTCTTTTTCAATTCGATGCAAGATTCTTCAACATGGTCTTCGCGTGTCTTTCAATACTCATTTTTCCCTTGGTCATTCACTTGTCGCATACCTTCATAACCTCAAAACTTTCATTTTCGGTGTGTCATCGTATTCTCCAAATGTCTTGATAGATCTCTTCTTATCCCAAACAGGAATTTCGGTCAAAGGTGACCAAGAACAACAGTACCCCGCTCTATAGACAGAAATTGGCGGCTGAGGCTTACAGAACTTCATTTGGATATCGGTTCGGCGTAGTATGGGTGGAGGTTGTCGATTATTACTATGTCGTTATATTTGTTTTATTATATTTCGATTCTCAATCAAAAAACCTGCTTTGTCAGACTCATTACTTTTGAAAATTTTATCGTGGTTGAAGAAAGACAAGCGCTGTGAATTTCTATTAGTTACCCATTTTTGCCCTTCAATAATCGAAGATTCAGTCGTTATCTAGGTTGACAAGATTACTTGCGTGGCTGCTGGTTTTTCTAAAGTATTGATACATTAGTGTTACTGACAATATTTTATGGCTTTTCCACAACCTGACCTACTCCACCGCCTTCGCGCTGCAGCCTGAATAGCGTCGCATTCCACGTCGTTGCCAAGTTGATCGCGAGCCTCGCGTTTCCTGGAGACTCGAAATCCATCCAGTCTCTTCGCTTCCACTAAAATGTCAAACTCAGCCCCAAGCCCACTTTGGTCTTTTATTTTCATTACAGTTCGAAGGATTCTTTCATCTTGTCAGATCTGCAGCGTTACTCCTCTTGTGCTTCATGGGGCTTGTCACTGGTGAAGGTGATGGCGTTGTGGTGACAGTGGTAGCTTGTTTTGGGGTAGTCACGAATGCTGACTCCTAAGATTATTATGGTGGTGACGAGCTTTAGAGAAGTTAAGGGGACAATGGGTGGCTGTGGTATTTCTTCGGGCTGGTGAGCTGTATGGGCTTCGGATGGTGATGGACGCACGGCTGGCGATTTGGTGAAAGAACGCCTTGTGTTACTGTCATCTCTGTTGAATGCGTTAGCGAGGTCTGCCTTTCAGGGACAGAGATTGATATTTGAAGTGACCATGCTACTTGACAAGGCTCGTTTGAACAAAGAAGCAGTTATGCAGTAAATTTGTGGGTAGACTTACTGAGTAGTAGTGTTGGAGATACCCGACACAAAGTGGATAGTAGAGGCACACGCATGCTCCTGGCTTGTGGCATCATTAGGTGGTGCAGACACTTTTCTTCCAAGGAAAGATAGAAACTGGAAAACGAAATTGCATTCATTTAATTTATAGTAGGTGTTCTACTTAGATTATACTTTGCGTGTTTGCTCTAGTAATACCTTTTGCCACTTCACACGGTTGACCTTCGACAAGATGCCTTGGAAATAATTAATAATTCGACAGAACTGAAAGTCGCAGTTGCCTGAGATCGTCCCATCAAATACAGCGCACTTTTGGGCCACGTATCTTATCCTTTTTCTTACCAACCATGGTTTGTTTTCAACCAAACATGAAAATAGTACTTAGAGACTCCGAATTCTAATTGAATACACACCAGAAGCAAAGTATGATTCACTATCTTTTATGCTAAAGCCATGACGAAGGTCATTTCTCTGTCATATTTTGTTTGGGTGAACTCACTACTAAGATATATCAAAAGGTGCACCACTAAAAAGCTTCAACACCCATGTGGAAATTGTATATTGTTCCCGAAGTTCAGATGTCCACAAGTTCGGACATCGAGATTTTCAAACCAGCAACGCGTTATAGAAGGTCCTCAGTCTTCGCTGTCACGCAGTTCCATGCCGAACTTCATTATAATTACACAAATGGCCGCTCATCACTTTTCAACGAGTTTTAAGAAAATTATAATTGATTCTTGTGTTGAATGAATTCGGTTACGGATATGGGTTCCGGGCAGGTCCAAGACTATCTCGTGTGGAAGACCTTCCGTCATTTGTCTCAGTCTTGGTTGACCAGCTACCTATCAACACTTCCTCAAGTCGTTTTAATCAAAAGTTTCTAGACTAGATTTTCATATCTAGCTTCTTCTAGAACGCATACCATCATATGCGTCTCAAATGATCGATGTTTCATTTGTAGATCTAGAAATCACGACTCGAGATGGATGTCAGCTGTTGCATATATTCAGGTCGATCATCCTATCACATGGCGTTCCGAAAATAAGTCAGTCAAGCCCTACCGAGACCGAACACAATACGTAATTAATAGTCCTCTGGGATATGAGTGTTCTTGAATTGAGATATATTTGACGTTGTCACAAAAGGATGTTGAGATCTTCTACCATTTTCCCATCACAGTGATGTTCTCCTGCAAATGACACCCCACTTGTGTATCACCACTACCCAAACTCCACCACCCAGCCCCTCATTCGTGCAACGCTTCAGCAACACATCCGCTATTTAGCCTATGTCGGTCCCGCATCAGAGCCTCCAGGACCCATTTCGTTTCACCTCTCACCACCACTCAACCGCGATTCTTCAATAAGTAAGCCATCTTGGGGTATTTCTAATATGCTCAACCAGCCAACGTGTTGAAGCGGAAGACAGGAGTACTGGTTCGCTTGCGGTTCTGGAACCTGCAGCAGTCTGGCATTGCGTGTTGGTTGGAACACTGCGTGTAGCCACTGACACGAAGTTGGGTTGAGTCGTGGTGGGTATAAGTGGAAACCTAAGCTGCAAGACAATTGAGGGTCTCGACTCTTCGATAAGGTGACTGACTCTTGCTGATGTGAGAGCTTTGTTGAGCGGGTATCGAAGCATCGCTAATATTTTCATCATAAATTTGCTTGTTGTTGTTATCATTGCCGTTGTTCTAGCTAGGTTCGGGGAATGAATACTTTTGAGATGGATTGGGACGAGGATATCAATATTGCAACACGCGACCGCGAATATTCTTCTTCTTCGGCTGGCTCTTTAGCATCAGTCAAAACGTCAGGTACTTTCGGAAATGTGGTGCGAGAAAAGCCTCGAGAGCTGCGCGCATCATACGATTCGACATTTTCAGCATCGCCGACGTGGTCGGGTGCTTCATCACAACTCTCCAGCCCGGTGCTTAGTCGCGAAGAGAGACTTAAGACTAGCTATTACGATATCGATGATGACTGCAATTCTTCTTCAGACTTAGATTTCTCAGAGGACGAGCACGCCGACCCATCGGATGCCTCTATTGAAGCAATAGCTCGATCATATTTACGCACTGCTCCGGCCACAGATGGCGCTGTTGGAATACGGAAAGTTGTCCTCGACATTTTCGAGTTGGTTCAATCTCAGAATTCTCATCTCTTCGACCGAGAAGAGAACCATGTACCATCAACCTGTGTGCCCCTAGATATGGAAATAGAAATATGTACAGCACTGTTGTTGCATTCCTCGCCATCCAGCAATCTGGAGAAGTATTGCGAAGATCATCTTGTAAGAATCGCTTCTGGAAAAGGGAGCATTATGAGCTCGGGCACTACCGAGTCTCATTTTGACGTCTGGCTCGAAGATGAGAACAGCCATCTGGTTTATGGGTGGCAAATCCATGCCCAGATATACCGATTAATGGCGCTCCGAGATACTCTACAAATTTATCTTGAATCTACAAGCAAAGCACTAGATGGAGCATCATTGAGTGTTGCGAGTGCTGTCCAAAGGAGAGAAGAATTCTTAAACGACGTTCTTAAAATACCGGTGGAGGTACTGCTCAAAGTTGAAATTGTAAGAAATATACTCAGACCTGTGGAGATTGGATGATGTAAATCGGGTCCAGAAGACAAGATATCATGAAGAGCTATAACTGGGCTGTGACGATAAGACATTCTCGTAAAAACAATACGGACAAACTGAAGGACCAAAGGGAACTATGAAGCAAGAGCTGCTAATCTCCCGCAAGGCATGACGACAATTCATGCTCGTGAATTAGCCTCAAGAAGTCATTTTCAAGTCGCCCAAGCCTGATACAGGGCCAAGCCTGATATTTTCGACGAGGTCACGATTTCCGTCCCGGGTAGTGAAAGACATTACTGGCATCCTATAGACTCTGCAAGTCGGCAAGTCCGTCGATCATTGTTGATAGCATCCTTATTTGTACTTAGCATAATGCCACCAACTTCGAACTTGCGACTCCTGAATAGAAACCAAGTTTTTCGTATATATTATAACTTCATAATGATAGTATTTATCTTTATATAAACAAAAGCACTAGAATGCATTTCTCTAGCTCGGTGATCAATACAAACCCAAGAATTACCTATCAAGCGCTTGGGATTGACACTATGAATACGGTCAGCAAACACCGCCACAACACTAGAAGAGCCAACTCACCATTTGGTAATACAACCCCCTCTGCCTCAACAATTCGAAATGATTCCCCTGCTCAACCACACGACCATCCCCAATAACGAATATAACATTAGCGTTTTGCACCGTGGCAAGTCTATGTGCAACCACAACCATCGTCCTTCCCTTGCCTGTTTTCTCAAAAACGGCTTGTACGCTTCTCTCAGTTTCAGAATCAAGATTAGAAGTTGCTTCGTCCAGTAATAAAACCCTTGGATTTCGAATCAAAGCCCTAGCAATCGCTATGCGTTGTTTCTGCCCCCCAGACAATGCAACACCTCTGGCCCCGACCATAGTATTATAGCCTTCTGGTAAAGAAGATATGAAGTCTTGAATCTCGGCATCACGACATATCTCAACCAGCCGTGAGTGAGATATTTCGTCCTCGTCAACACCTAATAAAATGTTTTCGGAAATCGTACCCTCAAACAAGGAGGCTTCCTGAGCCACGAGCGATATCGATTTTCTATAGTCGGGCAATGAGATATCCTCTATCTTTTTACCGTGGTAAAATATCTCGCCGGCTTGTATTTGGTAGAATCTGATAACGATGAGCGCGGGAGAGGAGATAACAATAGAACATAACAGACCTTTCTATCAGTGATATTATACTGGTCTTACCACTACCAGATGGACCGACAATTGCAGCGAATTGTCCCTTCTCGATCTTTTGAACTAGGTCAGCATTTTGAACACAGAATTAAATTTCAACCATGCTTACTGTCATATTCAGTCCATTCAACACTGGGATATCTCGAGTAGGATATTTGAAAACAACATTCTTAAACTCAATTTTCACGCCTTGTGGATCTTTTTCGTTACTCTCTGCTTCCTCGATATCGAATAACGTCGTTCGCTTCTCTGGTTTGTGGCGAGGTCTCATACCACGGATACGATTCGCAGCAGCGAAAGCTTGTGCGACATCTTGTGGAAAGTCAGTGATATGTCGGGTGAGGTGCATGTATATCGAGGGACTTACTTGGACCAAAGCTTAGCGATTGGCCTGCGCTTGTACTTCCTTGCACGACTGCTAAATATACGACCACTGTGAAACACTATTAGCCAGGTCTCGCACAAAACTTCAAGACTACCCACAGTAATTGAAAGGAGTATATTCATGGTCAGCAAGAAGCTGTCCGCCGTACCTGAGGCTGTCAGCTTTGAATAGAAGGATCATCATTAGAGCCAACTCACCATAGTACGAAAGCCATACATAACAAAGAAATACTATCGCTCATAGCAAAGACAAAAGTCGAGAATTTGGCCTTTTGGAAAGCTTCAGTTGTGTGATCATGCAACAATTTCTCGTAACGACCGACGATCTCAGACTCGAGAGTAAGTGAGGAGACAGTTCGGAATGCCCCAATGGATTCAGTAGCAAACTTTGCGCTCTGGGCAAACACCTCGTTGTTCATTTTCTCGAACTGGGTCTCGTAGCGGATTCGGAAGAACCCTGCCGCAAATATAATGGGCATAGATGTGAAGATGGTCAACAGCGTGAGCTTCCATCCAAAATAGAAAGAGATAGCTATGCTGCCAGCGACATTGAAGAATGAAATGATGACTATAGCCATATTTATACCAAGGAGTTGCTGAAGTTGTGTGGGATCCGTGGCCATTCTAGCCGTTAATGCACCACTTGAATTTTCTTCTTCATCATAGTAGGATATCGGTTTTTGAAGGACATTCTGGAAGTACTCTCGACGATAATTTGCTGTGATATTCTAGTCATGTTAGCACAATTGAGAATATTCCCTAGAAGTTGTGAGAGCAACCTACAAATGAGACTGCGTTTGAAGACCAACCCAGCGCGAAATAGCTCACACCTACGCCAAGAGCTAGGAATGTGAACATAAGGCACCAAAAGTTCGTTTGACTCTGCAGGTATTCTCCCCAGAAGTTGAAAAGAGATATGAGCTTCGCAAACAGGAATGCATGTAGGGGAAACGAAGCTGCAGCATGGATTAGCGCTTTTCAAGCCCAGCTTGCAAAGGAGTAGACTCACCACCAGCACCTAGACAACCAAGTAGCATCACGCTATACCAACTCCATTGTAGCTTTTGCTCCCAGAGGAAAAGCCAAAAGCTGCCAAGTAATCGCTCTTGCTTTGGTGTAGGCTCTTCGAAGAGAACTGGAGGGATGGTATTTCTATCAAATTTCTCTGCTGTTGACGGCACAATTTCCTCCGTCGGGAGACATTTCCCGGCAACTTCTTGGAAATCTTCGTGGCTGTTCAATCTTTGAGCATTTACAAGTGCTGCGTACTGCCCTTTCTCATCTGCTAGTAACTCCGCATGCGTTCCTTGCTGAACCACTCGCCCCTTCTTTAAAACAACGATATTATCCGCCTTAATGATCGTAGAAAGACGATGAGCGATGGTAACTGTAGTTCGGCCCTTCGAAACCCTATCCAGAGCTGCTTGTACTATTTTCTCGCTGCGCACATCAATCGCACTGGTCGCCTCATCAAGAATCAGAATCGCGGGTCGCTTGACAATGCTACGAGCAATAGCTATTCTCTGACGCTGGCCTCCACTCAGTTTTAAACCTGCTTCTCCAACTAGAGTATGCCAGCCCTGTATAGGTCAGAGAACTCAAAGAACAATTGCGACGGGATAAGACCGACCTCTGGGAGTTTTCGAATGAACTCGTCCGCAAACGCTTCCTCACAGGCACGTTTGACAAGCTTTCGCTTTTTCCCTATCGATGACTGTTCCCACTTGGTTCCTATTAATCCGTACGCGATATTGTTGAATATCGTGTCATTGAAAAGAAATGGTTCTTGTTGCACGAGTCCGATCTGTGATCTCCACCACTTAAGGTCTATTTCGTGCAGGGTCTGGCCACCAACCGTGATACTTCCATTACGAAAGAACAGTGTCTTGATAAACGGATTAGAAAATAATTATAGATTGCAAGAATGCAAAGCTTACAAGCATGTTGTCTGTCATATTGCCATCCATCTCGTACCATCTTTCTATCAGTCCAACAATTGTGCTCTTTCCTGAGCCAGATGGCCCCACAATTGCCGTCAATTTTCCAGCTGGAAAAGTCAGTGTTAAGTCATTGAGTACCTTGACATCAGCCCTCAACGGATATGCAAAGTTGACATTCTGCAGAACGATATCACCCTGCGCCGACACATCAGGCGCCCTCTTTCCTTCTGTTTGAGGTTGAGGAGCGTCGATGATAGAAAAGAAAATACTAGCTGCTCCAGCAGCCTGGCCAGCAGCAGTGATAGGACCTGCGATACTTCCGATGGACATTACAATGGTCATTATAGACATTAAAACACTGCTTCTGTTAATATGAAATAGAACTAAGGGGATAAACAATGCATACATAATTATAGTTGTGACATTAGATATTTGGTAAGTTTCATACATCTTAATGGCAACCCAAAAAGACAACGCAAAAGTTCTTCAGTAACTTATTAGCAGGGAAGAATAAGAATAAGATGGAAAATTTACGCATGAATTGCAAAGAAAACTGTAATGATTTAGCTTAAGCATATTTTTGCTCAAAGTTGGCATACCTGGTGATTGCTGAATTGCGACAAGGGGTGACATGAGAAGTCCCCGTCTACGAGATTCTTCTACCCAAGAAGAGTATTTCCTTGCCATCTTTCCTTCTGCCTCACAAGCTGCCACCATTCTAATGGAGGTGAACACCTCGCTGGCTACAGAGGAGGACATCCTGTCCGCGTGCTCTACATCCTTCATCATGTTGACAAGGCGCGGAATCGTAAAGTAATAGAACATCACAATGAACAGAAGCCCACAGCTGGTAACTAAAGTCAGGCTCCAGCTATAATGAAACGAGACTACCAGGGCAGTGATCACTAAAGAAATGCTTTGGAGAAGCATTGATAGCTTCTCAGAAATTCCGTTCTGGAGTGTGTTAGCGGTAATGGTTATTATGGCTGCTGTTTGTCCAGCAGGAAGACAATCCAAAACGGATATTGGCTGTTTGAAAAGCGCATCTAAGTACGCTAGACGAACAGCTGCGGAAACACGAAGGCTTGACATCCGGAAGCCGAGCTACATGATGGTCAGCTTGATTGATATAAAAATGTATAATTGTTGAGATTTTTACAGTGGAGACATAACCCAGCAAAAGTCTCCCAATGAACAAATATACAATGTATAAACTGCACACAACTATTAGCACTAGGACGGATTTTAGGATGATTTTCTTCATACACATTTTCGTCGATGGTATCGATGAATAGGTCAGCAGTTTCGCCTGAGTCTGGATCGTAAAAGGCACTAAACGTTCCCACAAGTTTCCCTTCGATATGTTTAGCAAGTCAAGGCGATCAACCCGGAATGGACTTACCAAATACCACATTCATCAACGGTAACGTGACGCCGGCGCATATTGATGAAAGCACAGCAACGAATAGCAATAACCGATCGCTCCATGTGGAATACGAATAAATCCGCTGAGTAAAGAATTAAGTTTAAGGTAGAGAGCAGAGAGACGCAACTCACAAGAAAATGGGAAAAAGCAATCTTGTATTCGGCACCACTGAAACTTGACTTTTTCTCCTCACTCGCCGCTGGTAAGGCATCGTCTGCTTCTTCATTGTGTTTCTTCTCTGCTTCCTCGGCCAGTAAAGGTGCCTCGACTGACTCTGAATATGTCGGCGATGGCGGTCTGTCAATCGGCGATGTTAATCTCTCAGAAGAAGCGTTGCTAGGACGTTCATGATTGGAATATTTCTGCATGTCAAACAAGATTCTTCGATTTGATTGCCGGTTGAATTTGATTGCGACTATTCTTGGAGTGCAGCAACTTCATGTACGACGTGGAAGCGGAATACTTCAAAGTGACCTCAATCAGGGTTTCCACGCTTGCTAATGCAGACTATTAAGATGACTATGAGCTGAAAAGATGAAATCACATAGAATAATGTCGAAATAGGAAAAACGACATCTGAAGTTGACGTTGATATGTCAAAACCCTTCAACAATCTTACCGTATAGCACACCAGTAGTCGATTGGGACTTGCTCTCTTGGTCGTGTTGGTCAAAACGCAAATAACGTGTTTCGCAAACAAGCTAGACGACAGGCCGCAGACCCTGACCTGAAGCCTGAGAGCCGCCGGGCCGCTGGGATACTAAAATGCAAAACATTCCAAGAACGTGCGGAAGGTTTCGAGTTTCTAAAGGCTGCGCTACCTGTACCTCACTAACAGTAGTGTTTTCGGCGTCATGGCTTCATTTGTGTGGGTGACTGGTGGCAAAGTCAAGATCGCGTCGAGATGTTGCCCCTGAACCTTGGCGTTCCAGGTTGAAAGGTATACTCACGTGACATACCTCCTCAGTGGCTGAGCTCGTAAAAATCTACCCCAGAATTATTACTTGAAAAACAAAATTGAAGAGGTGTGCAATAATTACAAGACAAGAACACCGATTCGGTGCTGTAGACACGTGAAGTAGTAGTTATCTTAAAAGACAATAGGGGACCTTGAATTATATGAAGTGTAAGTAAGCTCTTTCACTCCAACTAGTTTGGTCTATCTTGCTTGCTGTAAGTAATTCACCAGACCAAGGATACTGTGTCAAAATATTTCAAAAATATCGTGTTTCGACCGCCAATTCCAGTCAATCACAACCCCATCAAAGAAAACATATTTGGGTCCAAACCACCCAGTGCCCTGTGAGTGTAACCAAGCATAAATACAAAACTCTACATATGTACATGAAATATTCTATGACAATCTACAAAAAGGCGTTGCATAGATGAGATGTTTTGGTTTTGTGACCCAGCAAGCGAGTGTTGATGACGGATAGATGGGAAATTATAAATACATCAAGTCGTCCGGCGTGCTGATGTGAAGTTGCTATGCGAAAATGTATGCAACGGTTCGTTCTTTACATATTGGAAATCATAAGTCGTATAGTATCTCCCAGTTCTCGAATGGTATCTTTATCTCTGGGCAGAGTATGTCCTTTGGCGTGATCGAACAAGTATGCGTTGTCCATTTCGCAGATATTGTATAATGCCATTGACCCTGCGAGATATGGATCTAGAGATCCAACTATGGGTATGTCAGCATAGAATCGGGAACAAAGTTATATGGATTGACTAACTGATATGGCATGTTGGTATGGTAACTATCAGTTCAGACTCATCAGCAAGTACGATTGAGTCCAGCTCGGGTGTTAGTGGCGGCCATCCAGCGAAGAACAAAGCACATTTGAACATTGGCTCAATTCCCTCCTCCTCGAATCGCTTCTGCTCATGTAGCAATAATGTTGCCGCTACTGTGGCACCTTCAGAGTATCCGACAATTCCATCGAATGGGCCTTCCTCTTCCATGATATGATAAAGATAGTCAAGTGCTTCTTGTGCACTTTGATCTCCGCATTCGTTAATGGAAGAGGTGTCGGATTCAGAATCAACGTCGATACCTGAATCGGTATCTGACATTGAGCCAGAAAGCACACCGACACATGCCCCTCCCCTTAGCAACATACGCATCTGATCTTCTGGTGTTGCACCTTTTGGGAAATTTCGAATTCTGTCCAAGACATCACTCCCACCTTTCTCAGCAGCAGCTGGCTTAATGAACCGGTAATGAGGACCAGGCCCGAAGAAATCTTCAAATCCTTCAGGAGGGAAGGCATCGACTGGTCCGTTAACAAAGTGAAGTTCTGCAGTACCATCGCTCTCAAGTTCCTGTACTAAAGGAGCTGGACCAGAGTTAGTAAGTAATGCTTCAACACTGTCGCTCTTTCCACATACCCAACTGGACTTTGAACTTCTATCAAGAGGTCAGCATGAATGATCTGTCATGTTGAGCCGTCTTAACTTACATCGGCACTGCCATAAGCCCCGCAAAGACATAGAAATTTCATGATGATGAATGTTGAAGTATTACGGAGAAGGCAGTTAATAAAGAAGAAGCAAAGGCAATTGCAATGAGTGGACAAAAACAAATTAATAAAGATATAAAGAAATTGCTGACTCCAGGTCAATAAACAAAGTTACCACCTTTTGCAAAGAGCAGATCGAGAAAAGGACGACTGATATTTTCAGTACAGTCCCCAACGTCTTTCTTCAATGCTTCAGACCCGGCTCCACAAGCACGTGACTATGCTCTTGAAACCTCGAGAGCCTTCATGACATTACAGGGGCTTCTCCACGAACCTTATCCACGGCAGGCAGTCTTTGGAAAGCTTTCCGTATAACAAATACATGTCCTTGCGTACGAGTCGAAACATTTGATGGTTGAGCGAGGGGACAGCCAAGAATCGATCACCCACGCTACTGGGAGATCATAGCGTGGAGGCGAGGGTCTCGGGGCTCGCCCCACAATCTTTATTTCCACCACATGTTTAAGCTTACTTGGGAACATCTCGAGTCTGGGCTCTCGAGCTTCTGAGAATCCGCTCCATATCTTTTAGGCGTCCGAAAACTTATCGACCTCCTCCCTCGGACGTCTAAAATGTGTGTAGACCGTTTTCCCCCTGCTGGGCAGTGGGCAGTTTCATGCAGGCTCATGCGATTGTTCTACCCATTGGGCCCAAATTCACCGCGGCAGTGAGGTTGCCATTAGATTGAAGTTTAGAAGTGCTTTTCCTAACTTCAACACCTCTCTAGTTATTATCGTCAGTAGCTTCCACGACAACCTACTCCAATCAGCGTTGTTTGCGCTAAATTTCGGCTTGTGAAAGCGAATTCAAACAGTCGGAAGACACGGACCCTGTCATGACTAGAAAATGGTCGGACTGTGTTTCTACAATATCCCGATCGATCACCCCAGAAAACAATGTCGGCTTGGTGTTTCTTCTGTCAATGTCCGTTTCATGTTGCTTCCCTCTCTACTCTTGTGTGGATCGAGTCGAGACTTTGGTTGCCGTTGGCTATACCAGTCCGGTCAAATAGGAATGGTAGGTCTCAGAGCCGCATCTCTAATCAAGTACAGGGATATCTGAGTCTAACAAAGTGCAGAAGATTCTCATATCATAGCGTTGAGTGCGCCTTTAGTGTCGTCTGATTGGTAAACCGAAGCAAGCTTGTGTCTAGGATAATTTGTTTTCAGGTACTCGTGGAGCTCATGAGCTACCCGTTCATTCAGATCACACTAGAACACAATCATTTCCTTTTGAAAAGTAACACGCTTAACTCGACTATGCTCGGACGTGGTAAATTTGTCGCATACATTAAGTAGCGACCAGGCTCTTCGTTTGTTTTTTCAAAGAAGGAACGCGACAAGATACAACTCTTCTGGTACCAAGCCATACGCTCTACCTGTTTCTTTCTATTTCTTCTTCGCCAGGTTTTGCCGTTTCGATTTTAAAGTCGACATATTTCTTTTCAGTATACAGGTGGTACTGCTTTAATAAATTAATTATGGCACCCTCTGCCACAACTTGGACGCCACTAGATGAGAACTCGAGCGGCGAAGACACGACCGGCATCAAACAAAATGGCAGTGCGACGAAGGTGGCACATACTGTCTTGCTGAACTCACCCAACACGATATACAGCGACGCCTACACACATGGCTACACCGAGGGCTATATCAAAGCAGCCGAGGAACCACCTCAAAAGCAGATGCCAATCGCGATTGTCGGCATGTCATGCCGACTGCCTGGTAACGTCACAACCCCAGACGAGTTTTGGGAATTATGTTCGCGGGCTCGAACTGGATGGAGTGAGATACCAAAGGAGCGATTCGAAAATGCGAGTTTCCATCATCCTAATCCCGGGAAAGGTGGATGTTTTAATGCCGTTGGGGGAAACTTTTTGAAAGAGGACTTGGGATTATTTGATGCGCCGTTTTTCAGTCTTACTGCCCAGGAGGCAACCTCTATGGATCCACAGCAGAGGATCTTGCTGGAATGCACATTCGAAGCGCTCGATAGTGCGGGAATTCCAAAGCATGATATAATTGGGAAAAACATGGGCGTTTTTATTGGCGGATCTTTTTCGGAGTATGAATCGCAATTGTTCTCTGACACGGAGACGATCCAAATGCATCAGTCTACAGGTGAGTACAACTGTCTAGAAGATGGGGTTTTGAGCTTTGCTGACATTCTTAGGATGTGCATTTGCGATGCAATCTAATAGGCTTTCGCATTTCTTTGATTTGCGGGGCCCCAGCTTTACAATGGACACAGCTTGTTCATCGAGCTTAGTCGCCCTACACCAGGCTTGTCAGAGTCTGCGAAATGGGGAATCAGATTCTGCCTTAGTCGGTGGCTGTCATCTGAATATGCTTCCAGAATTCTGGATTTCCATGTCGAAGTCTCGGTAAGTGGAAGACAACCTTCCCACACAGAATATTTGAATGTTGAAAACTAACAATCATAGATTATTTTCAGACCAAGGACGATCTTTCTCCTTTGATAGCCGAGGTACAGGTTATGGAAGAGGAGAGGGCTGCGGAATGATCGTCTTAAAGCCACTCCACCAGGCTTTGAAGGACAACGACGTCATAAGATCCGTTATCCTCGGGAGTGGAATAAATCAGGACGGTAAAACACCTGGTATTACTATGCCAAATGGTTCTGCACAAGGTATGCTATGCCCTCCTTCTCCCAACGAATAATTCTGTTGACTCATTGTTCGCAGAGGCACTCATGAAGTCTGTCTATAAAAACGCAGGAATCGACCCCAAAGAGACTGGATATGTTGAAGCCCACGGAACCGGCACCAAAGTAGGCGATCCCATTGAAGCCGCTGCGTTGCATAATACATTCGGCGAGGGCCGTACAGCGCGAAATCCGCTCTTCATTGGGTCTGTGAAGTCCAATATTGGACATTTAGAAGCGGCTTCCGGGATCATTTCAGTCATCAAGACAGCGTTGATGCTTGAGAGAGGATTCATACTTCCTAATTATGACTTCAAGAAGCCAAATGAGAAGATCCCGTTCGCGCAATGGGGTTTGAAGGTAATTCTTGCCCCCCCCACGTGACCCATGAAACTCGCTAATTCGTTACTAGGTCCCAATCAGTCAACGACCATGGCCGCGACCAAAACGTTTTGCAAGTGTAAATAATTTCGGATTCGGTGGGACAAATGCCCATGTTGTCATGGAGCGAGCGCCATTTCAGCCCGATCTTCCTGAATCTGAAGACCATGGTCACGACAGGAAATTATTCGTGCTTTCCGCCAACGATAAGAATGCCCTCGAGACAATGATGAAGAAGATCGGTATTTATCTCGAACAGAGACCGGCTGTTTTCCAGAACGACTTGATGAGCAATGTTGCATACACTCTTGGAGAGCGACGATCCTTGATGCAATGGCGTGTCGCGATATCGACAACATCTTCTATCGACTTGATCCAGGCTTTGAATAGCGGAAAGGTTGTTCCATCAAGGGAAACAGAGTCACCAAGGATAGGATTTATCTTCACAGGTCAAGGCGCTCAATGGAATGCTATGGGCCGCGAGCTATACGAGCATTATCCTGTCTTCAAAACTACCCTTGATGCATGTAGCAAATTCTTGGAGTCTCTGGGATCACCGTTCTCCTTGATTGAAGAACTCCTCAAAGACGCCGAGACATCCCTCATAAACGAAGCATACATTAGTCAGCCCGCTTGCACCGCAATTCAGCTAGCTCTGGTGGACTTGCTACGAGCTTGGGGCATCACCCCGCATGCAGTCGCTGGTCATAGTAGTGGTGAAATTGGAGCTGCATATGCTGCAAACATCATACCCTTAGAGGCATGCATGACAATTGCATACTACAGAGGTATGGCTTCAATCGAGCTCAAGAAGAAGAACCCTGGCCTGAAAGGAACTATGATGGCTGTTGGCTGTACGAAGGAAGAAGTCGAACCACTCATCGCTAGTTTGACCACTGGTGAGGTGAAAATCGCTTGTTACAATAGCCCAACCAGCTTGACAATTTCCGGAGACGAAGCAGCCATTGATGAGCTTGGCAAGATAATGGAAGAGAAACAAATGTTCAACAGGAAGTTGCAAGTCGATATCGCATACCACTCGCATCATATGGAAAAGGTTGCCGACTACTACCGGCAATTCCTCAGCTCACTTCAAGCACCACAGTCAACAGACGTCAAATTCCACTCGTCACTCCTGGGGTGTATAGTAGATGGTCCACAACTCGAATCATCGTATTGGGTTGACAATCTGACCAAGTCAGTTCGATTTTCAGAGGCAGTAACAAGTATGTGCGAGCCTGCAGACGGAAACAAGACCGGAGTCAATATGCTTGTTGAAATTGGACCACACTCCGCTCTTGCTGGACCGATCAAGCAGATAGTGAAGGCATGCGGCCCTAATGCCACGAAGATTCCATACGTGTCAGCCCTTGTCAGAAAGAAGGATGCAGTCGAAACAGCACAAGAATTGGCCTCTACACTCTTTGTGAAGGGTGCAACTCTCGATATGGGTGCTGTCAACCTACCCAACCCAGGTAAACAGCCAGCACTACTCGTTGACATGCCTCGTTATCCGTGGAACCACCAAACCAAGTATTGGCACGAGTCCCGCATAATGCAAAAGCACAAGAATCGTTCTACCCCTCGCACGGATTTGCTAGGTACTATCGCAACATACTCCAATGATTTAGAGCCAACTTGGAGGAATATCTTGCGGATTGATGATCTTCCTTGGCTTCGACACCACAAGATTCAGGGCCTTACACTGTTCCCAATGTCAGGATTTGTCTCAATGGCGGTCGAAGCAGCAAGCCAACACGCAACTCAAAGAAATGTGAATTTCGAGACTTTCGAGCTTCGCGATGTGGCAGTGCATACACCGCTTATGGTAACGGACGAAGATATTGAGATGACACTTCAGCTACGGCCGAGCGAGACGAGCTCGTCAGAGACCTGGGATGAGTTCCTTGTTCATTCATGGACGTCAAATAAAGGCTGGACTGAGCACTGCAAGGGGTTGATTGCGGTCAAAACCGTTAACGCTGGTAATTTTGACACCAGCCGACAAGCTCAGATTACCGAAAGCTCGCTGCAATCTTCCATCTCGGAAGTCAAAGATGCTGCCAAAGAGGCTGTCGACAAGGCGAAATTATACGACTCGCTGTCAGCACTAGGCGTTGAATACGGACCAAGCTTCCAGGGGATGAACGACTGCAAATCTTGCGACAATGCATCTTCCGCAAATCTAGTTGTTGTCGATACAGCTCACGAGATGCCATCAGGATTCCAAACAAACTCAGTCATCCATCCGGCACTACTAGAACAGCTCATCGAGATGTACTGGCCTATCCTTGGCGCTGGGCGGAACTCAGTGGACACAATATATCTTCCGTCATCCATCGGCAGCATGACAATTTCTAAGAAAGTCACCGAGCTCACAAAGAAAGCCGGAGATAGTCTGAGTGCGTACTGCAAAGCCACGCCACCTTCGTCGAATCCAAAGCCCATTCAGGCGTCCATGTTCGCTATATCCACCAGTGACGACGTGAAAGAGTTGATCATTGGAATTGATGAGCTGACTGTTACTCCCATTCTGGATGGATCAGCCGGTTCGGAGAGTGATTCACACCGAGAGCTGTGTTATAAGATGGAATTGGAGCCGATCCTTGACCCTCTTCAGGATTCGGCTGTCGATGGCACATTGACGAATGGAGCTTCTGACCAGACAATTGAGGTCGGGAACAAGGCCTCTAAAATAGAGGGAGATATGGTTATCATCCACGAAGACTCATCTGCTCAACTTGAGCTTGCAACGCACCTGGCCTTCAAATTGGAGACCTTGACTGGAAGCAAACCAGTCACTGGCATTCTGTCCGATACTGACGCTACAGGCAAACTCTGCCTCATCATCACAGAGCTCGAAAATCCACTCCTCTCAACCCTCACATCGTTGCAGTTCTCATCACTTCAGAAGACCCTGACGACCGCACGCGGAGTTCTCTGGGTCGTTCGAGGCGCCTACACGAATTCCAAAACCCCAGATTACAACATGGTAACCGGTCTCAGCCGAAGCATCCGCTCAGAAACTCTTCTCAGATTCGCGACGTTAGACCTCGATGCCGAGTCTACGCTCAACCAAGAAGACACCGGCAAGGCAATCCTCAAAGTCTTTCGAGCAACATTCGAAACCTCATCATCCCCACAAGCTGAGCTAGAATTTATCGAGCGCAAAGGATCGTTCTTTACACCAAGAATTGTGAATGATGCGGAGATGAACGAGTACGTGCATAAGCAGACCAAGACTTCGATGCTTGAGCTCGCCTCGTTTGAAGATGAGGCGCGGCCGTTGCAGATTGAAATCGGTACACCTGGCGCTCTTGAGTCCTTGTACTTCGTTGATCAAACAAGGGAAGAGCGGTTGCTTGACGATGAGATTGAAATCAAAGTTAAGGCTATGGGACTCAACTCACGAGATGTGTGTGTAGCTATGGGACAGCTTGATTCGCAAAGCCTGGGCATGGAATGCAGTGGTGTTGTTAGCAATATTGGTAAGGACGTCACTAACGTTGCTGTCGGCGACCATGTCGCTGCTGTTTCTATCAACCAAGGCACCATCTCAACATATGCTCGCACCAAAGCAGCATTTGCCATGAAATTCGGGAACAAAATGTCGTTCGACGCTGCGGCTTCGATGCCTCTCGCCTTCTGCACAGCACAGTACGGTCTTGTTGATCTTGGTCGTCTAGAGAGTGAAACAAGAGTTCTGATTCATGGGGCATCAAACGCAGTTGGCCAAGCAGCTATCCGTTTAGCTCAAAGCATTGGTGCTGATGTTCATGCCACGGTGGATAGCGCTGAGAGTAAAGCACTGATACAGAAGATGTATGGATTGACGAGCGATCATATCTACTCCTCTAGCAACACTACTTCCATTCGCCAAGCAGCAGGCAAGGACGGTTTCGACATCGTGTTGAGCTGCGTATCTACAGACTCCGAGATGCTACGCGCTCTCTGGGACAGTCTCGACTCTTTTGGTCGCCTCGTCAACATAGCCGTCCAAGGCTCAAGCATGAAACTCGACACCACTCGTTCGCAGCAGAACAGGGCTTTCATGTCCGTCGACCTGATCGCCCTTGCTACCGAGAAACCAAAACTGATGAAGACTCTCGTTAACAAAGTCGCGAAACAACTAGAAGAATGCACAATATCGCCCATTTCCTCAACCGTCTTCCCAATCTCAGACATCGAAACCGCACTCAAGACTCTGCAAAGCGGGAACACAGATGGGAAAATTATCCTCTCAGTCCAGAAAGGTGACAAAGTCAACGCCACACCTTCAAGCAAAGGAGGCCAGCTTCTTTGTGTAGACGCTACATACATTCTAATCGGTGGCACGGGAGGACTAGGTCGAAGCATGGCTCGCTGGATGGTAGGCAAGGGCGCCAGAACCATCGTGCTAGTCTCCAGAAGTGGATCTGCGACAGGCAAAGTGAAGGAGTTGATCGGAGACCTCGCAACAAGCGGTGCCAACATTATCGTCAAGAAATGCGACGTCGCTGACCGCGAAGCCGTCGAGAACCTCATCAACAACGAGCTAACAGGTTTACCACCAGTTAGAGGCGTAATCCACGGCGCCATGGTCCTAAACGTAAGTCCCCTTCCCCCCTTTCACACTCACTCATTCTAACAACCCCAGGACGTCCTCTTCGAAAAAATGACCCACACCCAATACACAACCGTCCTCTCCTCCAAATACCACGGCGCTTGGAACTTCCACCACGCCCTCACCACCCAACCCCAACCCCTCGACTTCTTCATCGCCCTCTCCTCCGCCGCCGGCGCCGTCGGAAACCGCGGACAAGCAGCCTACGCCGCCGCAAACACCTTTCTCAACGCCTTCATCCAGCACCGACACTCCCTCGGCCTCCCAGGCTCCTCCATTGACCTGACAGCCGTCTCCGACGCCGGATACCTGTCCGAGAACGCGGCTGCCGCGGCGGAAGTGAGTAGGAATCTGGGGAGCGATACGATTTGCGAGGCGGAGGTGTTGGCGTTGATAAGTGCGGCGGTTGATGGGACGATGGCGAGAACTTGTGATGGACATGCGATTACGGGGATGCGTATGACGACTCCGCCGCCGTTTTGGATTAATGATGCGAAATTCAAGGGTTTGAGGCTTGCGTATGAAGAATCTACCTCGTCTGGGACGGATACGACGGCGCAGGTTTCCTTCAACGCGCTGCTCAAAGCCGCGACAACCCCTGAGGAGGCACAGGATGTAGTATGTCGTGGCTTATTAAATAAACTCCCATCCGTGCTCATGCTCGAGGCGGAAGACATGGATGTGACGCGCAGTCTATCGAATTACGCGCTTGATTCCCTAGTTGCGATCGAGGTGCGGAACTTCATTACCAGGGAGTTTGAGGCGAATTTGCAGGTTTTGGAGTTGTTGAGTAGTGGGAGTATTGAGAGTCTTGCGAAGGGGATTGTGGGGAAAAGTAAATTGGTAAACTTTTAGGAGAGGGAATGGGGCGTTGGATCATTGAATTGTAGATATTTTTGGTCGGGGGGTGGGGTTTATATAATATATTGACTTGGCGGGCCAAGGTAGATAGAATGTAATTTCATTGTCTCTATATGATCTTTCTCCTTTTAAGACTTTGGCGAACGGATATCGCATCAGAGAAGAGCCATGTTTTGCAAATTGATCTCTGTGTGTCGCTGGTACAACTTGCGTGCCCATTTCTGGTCGTATAGTTGATGCAGCTAAACGATCTTTCCTCTTTAGCGATAGAGAAAGGGGGATGGATCCGGCTGACGACATAAATCACTGTCCATACTTCATGGTTCCTTGGTCGGGATTAAGGAATTGCTGACTTTACGAGCATTCCTTTGATCGTGTTGGTTCAATTCAAGGGAAATCGCCCGTTCCTGACGGGTCAAAATTGCCTGGTAAATTGATTCTTCTGGCCCTTGGGTATGGCCTACATGTTGTTTTTGACAAACAATTGCTTTTCGCTAAGTCTCCGTCCTTTCGGCCACCACTTGTGTACACACTGCAAAAAATCTGCTCATGATGAAACGTGGACGCTCAAGCCCCACCTTTTTGTGGCAGATGGCTTTTAGCGTCCAGCCATCGAAATCCGGAGGAGCGCTAGGCAATTTAGAAGGCATGAAGGAAACACCTTCAGGTAAAGGGGCAACAGCTTAATGGTTGGAGTTACTGCTCTCCGAATGGGTAGTTGAATTTAAGCAACCCATTCAAGCCTCCCACCCAGCCATCATCATCCTCGGCTCTCGTTCCTCGCATCACACACGGGACGCCTCCCACCCAAGCCTGACCCCTTGAGATGTGTTCTCCATTAACTCGTACTTCCATGCCGACACCAACTCCAACGCTGCGCCTTCGTCCATCAATGCTCACTTCTAATTCTCTTCCACGGTTCTTCTCACTCAAACGTAACGTGATTGGGGTATTTGCAGGTAAAATCAACGGACGAAAAGATAAACTCCTTGGACAGATAGGCGTCATCAAGAGACTGCTGACCAGGGGGTGGATAATGCTGCCACCAGAGCTCAGACTGTATGCTGTGCTCCCCGTCGGTGTAGATATGATCATCCCATCTGCAACTGCCTCTGTTAGGAAGCGGCCACCAACGTAAATATCGATAATGGCCAGGTGTGCTTCCTTTCCGCGGTGAATTATCACCTCGTTCATCGCATGTACATCTCCTTCTGCACTTTCCGAACTATCATCCCCTATCACACGCTGACCTGCGGCGTCAAAAACTCCAACCTTTAATCGATTCCGAAGTAGCACTTTCGAGCTACGTGTTGGTCCCATGGATTTCCCTCTCACGCTCGACCACCCTGTAACAGCACCTTCTTTGACGTGTGGGTGCTTCTGATCTTGGAGTAGTGGTGACCCAGCTCCAGCACCCGACATGTACACTTCCCTAAATGCCCGCTTATATTCCTCAAACTTCCATTCCCCGAGAAATCCTAAACTTCCCATACTAAACGACAAAATTGGTGGTACGTGTAGCGTCGTCGCAAACAGCGAAGACGCGTGTAGTATTGTCCCATCACCTCCTAGCGTAGTGGTCATATCAACCTTCGAAGACAACGCGTGCGACGTGCTAGACGTGTAAATTGGAAATGAAAAGTGCTTGTGCATCTGGGCAGCGACTTTGGGTTCGAATATAAGAGCAACATCGTCGTAGTTGGAATGTATATGCCTCGCGAACTCGATGAGCGATTCCGTTACGTTTGGAGCGTGTTTCTTCTTGACTAGGAGAATGTTTCGTGGGGGCGAAGGCCATTGTAGGGAGAGTAGGTCACTTGTCTGGCTCTCTTATAAGATTTAGCAACGACGTAGCTAGGAATACCACTACGTACCTTGATAAGTAGGAATTATCCTGTTCGGCAGGCTTTCGGCATCCAAGATCTCTCTTCGGGATACGGTGGTACTGAAAGCTCGACGACCAAGCGCCAACCTGGGTTGCAAACATCGCAAGATCATTGTGGAGGGTGTTGTTGTGACAGAAACAGAGCTGTTTGGCTACTCAATATCATAGATCTTGCTGGGCAATGCTGCGTATGTAGGGAAACGCGTTTGCTAAGCAGATGATCATCATCATTTCCTGTCACGGACCAAGCAGCATCGACTTTCAACTGACGTTTCCGCAATGTCAACACAGTTGGTTGTTGAATCAAGCTCATCGTCAACTCCTAGTCGCCGCGCCAAGAATGTGGGTAATAACTTCATGCCCGGCAGATCCGGTACCTCAGGCCGACGCATGAAGCTATCGATAAGGAAATGCCATCACACGCACATTCGACTTTGTTGTAAAGAAACAAACACAACTCGATGATGGTAATATGGCAAATAGGAGTCTGAACACTATGTTGGCAGGTTGGGACAAGTTTCTGTAACCGCCACGGAGATCGTGAAAGACTTCACCTCATTCCAGGATACCGCTGCGTGCAGCCTACGAGTCACCACGCGACCCATTCACCAACGCACACGACCCTCTGCCTGCTCAGCCAAGGAACTCTTCAGCCTTCTTCGCGGAACACTACAAGTGATATATAACGGGCATAAGTCGCAGACTGAGGACTGGTGTCAACATCACCAAAGACATCATGGAGGGCGCTACCCTCACGCAAAGGAACGGCCCGAAGGCACCGGCAGCTCCCCAAAAAGTCGAGAAGGACAACACCGAGTATTCAAAGTCCCATCCCGCAGGCGCCGTCAAGCACAGTCCGGTTGTGCAGGTCTTGAGATTGTTAGGAGTTGTCTTTTACTTCTTCTTCACTTGTCTGTCGTAAGTTGTTCTGCTGGTCCTCACCACAAGCTGCGGCTAATAGCAAGCAGCATAGTAATTACCCAATTCCTCGGCGTACCATTGTACTGGATCAGCCGCGACTGGTACTATGCGTACATGTCCTTGACGAAAGAATCATTTGGTATCGCGGTTACAACGTTGACTCATTGGTGGGCGCCGACGGTGGTGAGGATTAGTGGGGATGCATCTGTGGCAGGAGAATTATTACAGACTGGGGATGGAAGAGTGGAATGCCGGTTTCCAGATCGGTTGATTATGATAGCAAACCACCAGGTATGTTGGGTAGAAGAAGGGGATGGGCGTGGCTAATATCGCTAGATATACACCGACTGGTTATATCTCTGGTGGGCCGCTTATACCAACCAACCTCACATGCACGGGCATATTTATATCATTTTAAAGCAGTCGCTAAAGCATATCCCAATTGTTGGATGGGGGATGCGATTTTACGGATTCATCTTCATGTCCCGAAAGATGGAGACGGATCGACCCAGACTGGCGCATAGGATGAATGTTTTGAAGCAGGTTCATTCAGGTCCTATGTCAGGGACACCAGGACTTGATCCGATGTGGCTTCTTCTCTTCCCAGAGGGTACGAACTTTACCAGAAATACGGCCAAAATCAGTGCACGCTTTTCCGAGAAAGCCAACATTCCTAATGTTGAAAATGCACTTTTACCACGTGGTACTGGTTTATACTTTTGCTTAAAGGAGCTGGAGGGTACGGTAGACTTTATATATGACTGCACTATTGCGTACGAGGGTGTCAAGTAAGTTTCTACCTCGTCTCCAGTTGTGATGAGACTGACAAATTACCAGAAAAGGACATTTTGGTGACGAGCTATATACGCTCCGCTCGATATACCTTCAAGGTCGCCCACCGCCATCAGTAAACATGCATTGGCGGAAATTCGCAATCGCGAAAATCCCTCTTGAAAATCAAGTGTTATTTGACAAATGGTTACAAGACCAATGGCATGAAAAGGATGCTCTTTTAGAAACATATTTAAACACAGGACGCTTTCCCGGCGAAGAAGCCGCGATACACGGCAGCGCTGTCAAAAGTCCAGAGGACAACTTCATCGAAACCGAGGTCAAGCTTGCGAACTGGTGGGAGCTGTTTAACGCGTATCGTATCCTTGCTACTTTTGGCATGATCTTTTGGCTTTTACCTAGACTTTGGTCTTCGAGATGAAGGTTTGCTGGTGGGAATTAGAGCTTCCTGCGAAAGGAAAGACATTGTAATGGGGTGGGCGCAATGGATATACCTTATCGACATGTACATCGATGATTTCGTGATTTTGGTGGCGGTTTGGTGTAGTGGCTGTACTGAGATACCCTGGATAGGCTTGGTGGGGAGAATGGTAAAGGGGCTTGGTGGTTTGGTTTACGCTGGGTTAGGGAATGACAACCAGATTTATTCAAAGCTGTGCTTCTGTATTTGGTGTTCATTCATGGTACTTGCTGACATATTAACTAGTGCTGTCGGTTCCACTACAGTTCAAGGTCTCCACGCTTTGTCAGAAAAATTCGAATTATTGATCAGTCCTACACCATTTTATCCACACCCACTCCTCTCCAGTAACCCCCTTTCACTGCCAAATCTTCACATCAAATTCCCCTCGATCAATATCCTATCCAATCTCACACCTTCCCCTCCCCCTCCCCACCCATCTCCAAATCCCTCCCCTCCTCACCCCCTCTCCCTCTACTCCTCACCTCCCAAACCCACCACCCCGCCAACGTAACAACCATCAACGGCACCGTAATCGCCAGATAAAACCACATATCAGTACTCACCCTCACACTAAGCCATCGCGCCGAGGAATCAACGTGAATGTAATCCATACCTAGGAATGTCTTTTCATATCTCAGTCTCTACTCGCCCTGACGTCTAGCTTACACGGGGAGGCTCGGGGGGTTGGGGATTGGGGGTTGGGGGTTGGGTTAAGAAGGGTAAGGGGAGAGATATACGCACAGAAGTAAACATGCCAGGTAAATAGACTAAGGTGACGAGGGTGATTGTTTTCATTGTTCGAGCGTCTCGGGTTGCTCGACCGCTTAGTTGTACCATCACTTTACTTTCTGACTCTGTGAGGCGGGCGAGATGTTTCATCGTCTCGTTATCACGGAGCGCTATCGCGTCGTGTGACTACTCTCCTTTAGCCCCCCCTTCCTCTCAACCCGTCTTCGTGTCAAAGAAAGAAAGGATAAGATTATGTCCACAAGGTCTAGGGAAGACTGTTGTGGACTGCGAATTTGAATATCACCAAGGGGTGCGTTAATTCATTGGACAGCTTAGGTAATATAATTTGGGCTTATTACCTAGACCGTCACAAAATTGTAATTTGTGTTTTAATCAGATTGTAGCCTCAAGTCTTGGCGTTAACTCTGCCTATTTAGAAATTGTAAATTCTTTCGTTGTGTTTGGGTTTTTGACAAATTACTGCGGTTGTCAAATGAAATAGCGCACCCCCTGGTGTACAATAAACCGAATTGGGTTAAGTATAACTAGATTGAGGTCAAATCACTGCCAATCCTGTTATACTGCAGTCTACGGAAACATTGCTCGAGTCATCAGAGGTACATATTCACATGGTGAGCGGGACACAAATGCTTAATCATATCCTCGCATGTAAGCACGGCTAGGCGTCATACATAGGAAGCCTGTGTTCTCAAATCTAGTCTACCTTTCCGCCTTCGTAGACCTCGACGACCGTTCGAAGTCCGAATAAAAATCAGTGATTCTTGACTCCCAGGAAGCGCGACCTGCGATAAAACGATTGCTTCTGAGTGTTCTTTGATTATCTTAGAATAGCGTCGTAAACTATAGTTGAAGTTGGTTATCGTTGCAAACTTGGGAGTGGGAAAATAACCCACGGTTTGAGAACTCTGTTCACCCACTGGTCAGTATCTTGGGTCGAGTATATGCTGTTAATGACCATTCGTCGATCTAGGTCAAAGCAATATTTGACAGCTTCCTTGTATTTTCGAGATCTCTCGCTGACTCTGGAAAGGAGACGCATCTCGCTCAAGGTCTCTGTTAAAGGCCCTTGATCTGTTTCTTTCTCCGTTTCAAACACTCCCTCGGTTTCACTTCGTTCGTCAAATCTTGTTGTAACGCGAAAAGACGGTGCGTTGTCTAAAATGAGTTCCGCTAGGGTTGTTCCTAAGAGAAGGAAGGTATGTCGTCTTAAGTCATCGCCGTTGCGTTGGTGGGTGGTGCAATTCCTTGGTCGCCTTAAGCTAAGTACGGAGGTTCGGAATGATTCTTCACAGATAGCAAGATCGACAAGACATGTGCAGAGGTTCGTTGCCCAAACGGTTTCCACTAGCGGAAAGGTCCAGGTGGCCAGGCCAAGCGCGGCTTCTGATCTTTCCTTCTTTAGAGAATTCCACGTTGTTGGTCTAAGGCTCAATGATGACCTAAATGGTCTTCTCGAGACTCCAAGATATTTCGGATGTGTAGTCATCTCATCAAGGAACATTTGAGGAACTTGAGGAGTTTGCCGACTGTATACGAGCGATGCAATCCAGTGGCTTGATTCTTCCCGCTTATTTTCAACAAGAAAATCGACGGATATGTCAGCTTCATCCGGTATAATGCCCTCTTCGTCAGCTTGAGTCTTGAGCAAAAGACTCCAGGAGTCAGATCCTGATGGGCCCATTCGGTCTAACTGTTCATTGAGCCTATTCATCCAGGAAGAAAATTCAACTCTTCCGTCCCTAAGATGCAGAAGTCGAACTAAATGGTCGTCGGCTGCTTGGTCTCGAGGATGCAGCTGTTCGAATGCTATGGTTGAAGCGGCGTTCAGGTCATCGACCATTTTGCTGAGCCTGTCTATTCGGTCCCGAAAGCCTGCGCTTGTGACAAACGCGAACAGTAATTTTGAGGAAATATTCGTTTCTCTCAGAATCTTACGATTTAAGTCTTTGAGCATTGTTTGGAGGTCTTCGAGCCGTTGCTGGATCCCCCGGAAGCCCTCTTGTCCCCAAAAGTGGATGCAATCGACATCAGGCCTGGGGTCCCGGAGATCACCAAGCCATTGTTTTGACCAAATCTCAACCTTCATGCTGTAGGTATGCAAAAGATTGCGGTAGTTTCTTTGCCGTATATCGGCGTCAACATATTCGCGCTGCTTGTCAGCAAGGGTCCCTAAAGTGCTGGCGAAGAAGCCTAATATCGTCACCACAGTCATGCCAAGTCCAATGGCTGAAGCAGCCACGCTGAACGGCTCAGGCATGCTTTGCACAAAGGTGATTTCGTGTAGAGCCCTCGGTGGTTCCGAAGGTAAGACGTCTGAAGCAAAATATTGGAAGTCCAATGCACGAAACATATTGGTTTGGAGGTCTTCCATGAGGCTGAGCGGTGGGGTTATCGTGCCAATCAATCGCAGCTGCAGGCCGCAACCTCGAGGTCCCGTTCACCAACCACTGCTGTACGTTCTGCGTAATACCCCGCTTCACACACCACATCTTCCATTATTCATACTTATCGGCGAACCAAATATGATAAGGTTTTCACAAGAGTCTCGACTCGAAATGAAAACATACTTTTCCTAAATGATCCACTGAAATGGCCGACACAGTCGAGCAAATGCAAGAGCTCGTCCCTGCGACTAGCCAACTGGTTGCGATTTTCCTCAAGGATCCTCAGTTGCAGCAGCTATTTCCTGAAGTAATGGAAAAGCAGGCTGATACGGAACACTTTGCTAGATACTTTCCTCGCCTACTTAGAATCTTTGGTGATGATCTTACGATTGAAGCGCAGGAACAAGCGCAGAAGGTCGCAGCACGTTATATCAAATCGGAAGCATCTCATGTCACTGGTTTGCTCCAAGAAAAATACGGAGATGGGAGCACGGTTTCGAATCTCGGTGTTCAGGCGCAGGAGATCACTTTAGATAATAGTGATGAGGAGTTTCCGGAAGAAGAGGCTCTGGACGACCTCGAGCCGGTGAGGAAATGGATCATCGAAAGCATGGCTTTTAGCTGGTTACGCGAAGCCCTGAAATCTTTTGTTCTGCGCCCATCCTCTATTGTTGTGGGCAAGAGTTCTGAAGGAACTAATGCAATTCAGGGCTCTGAGCATAGTAGGAGCGGTCAGAAGGAAGTCGGACCTGGGGCCTTGCAAGAGCAATACGAAGACGTTATAGATATGATTGAAGTTGCCCTAGGGAAGAGCGAGAACTATGCCTGGCATCCGCAAGTAGCAGTAGCTTTGGATGAGACTCTATTACGATTGGAGATTTGGGAAGATGAGATTACTTCTGAAGGGGAGCCGAAGTTAGATGGGATACTTCGAATAGCTGGAAAGGAGTACCGCGAGCTCAGTAACACAGCATGTGAGGCTCTTGCAATCCTTCAAAATCGAATTACTGCAGTTCTTGGGTGGCAAGAGAGGTTTGCAGAAGCTCTAGAAGAGTAAGTGGCTGTTACGCTTTCGTGATCGTCCAAAGTTCACACGTGGAAAACATTTACTGATTTGATTCGAACATCTTAGAGAACCTCATCTAAATATTTCGCGCAAATCATCTGCGACGAAGATCAGCGCTGGTTTCACAGGTGCTCCTTTAAACAGCCCTACTCCTAACAACGCCATTGTGTCTACTACACTAGTTCCCGTAAAGGAATTATTAAATAACTTAGTAGAAGCTCTAAAAGACTTCGTCAATTCGACAGATTTCATCGCATCTTTGGTAGAGAGTAGAACCTTGTCACGGCGAATTATGAGCATTCTGCCTGATAAAGAGAAGGACTTACCGGGTTCGCAGCCGAGACAGAAAGCTGCCACACCTCGACTACCGACGACAAGAGATACAGCAAGCGCGACCACACGACCAGGAGACTATCTCCTCGCAGCAGCTCATGAAGTCACCTGTATCTCCCATCAGATTCGGAAGAGGATTTATCACCATGCAGTAAGAAAAGATGGCAACTCTGCCAATGGCTCTGACACGAACTTGCTCTTTCCTTTTAGTATCACAAGACGTATTGTAACGGAAACAGTGCTACTGGAAGCGGTATTAATATGTGGCTGTATCCTTTGCGAGCAGTGTAACGGTAGTGCCGCAGTATTTGACGAGGAGACTGTGAGAGCGATTCTTGCGTCTTCAAATCTGCATACAACAATTATCATCATGGTTTCCATGGGAGCAACCTTCGCCATCCACTCATTTCTGGAGAACGGTCTTCTCAACGAGAATCATGACATCGGACAACTTGAATACGTTCGCGCAAGCACTACCGCTCTATTTCGGGACCTCAAAGCCGGACTATTTCCAAATGGGAGCGTAAAACCCCAGTTTATGGCACTTTCGAAATTCAATACGAAGTCAATTCTGCAACTTCAGGATGAGCTATGCGAAACGTATAGGTACACATCCAACTTGTTTAGACCACCAGAAATGGGGAAGGGCATGTGCGATACACTGCCTAGGGAAGCAAACCTTCCCTTCATCAAGGAGCGAGATCTCGACGAGACCAGAAGCCACCTGTTGCATATCAAGAAGCTGGAGATTCATACTGAATATCTTGCCCGGAGAATACAGGTACGTGTATTTTGATACCAAAACAAATTTCATAGTGGCCGCTCCCAGGCTATTCACGGGTACATCTTCGAGAAATTAGGGTTAGTCGCAAGCTCCCAGTTACTTTGTAGACATTATCTGTCAAAAGTCCGCGGTGCCCTACGCATTCCCTCATTTCTCCTCTGGTATATAAGTGCTAACTTGGCGGCAAAAGAACGACATAACATACCAAGACAACAAGGAATTTGTCAGAAAGAAGCTATATATAAGGAAGGCCTCAGATGTACAGAGCCGCCTCGCCGTACAAGACGAATTAGATCTCCTTCTTCTCCTGGCACGAGAAGAGAATCATCACCCCAAAATCATCAAAATGTTTTTTGCATTTAAAATGTACGAGGGCGAAACCGAAATCATTAATCTCATCTTTCCCAAATATCCCGGCAGCCTCGAAGAAATACTGGATGAGAATCTTCCATTCGAGCCTCCAGGTTACTCGCCTGACTCTTCAGTATTTCGAGGTTGCCCTATCAATCACTGGCTGTGGGGCGAGGTAGTTGATTTGTTAGAGGGAGTACAGTTTCTGCACGAAAAGCTCATTTGGCACAATGAGTTTCAATCTGCCGGTGAACGTGGCGGACGAGCCGTGATAATGGGCCACTTTGATCTCAAGCCAGCGAACATACTGATCGATCGTCAAGGACACCTCATCATCACCGATTTTGGCCTAGCTCAGATGAAGGCTTTGGAGAGTGGGAGCGCAAAATCTACTGGTCTACAAAACAGATCTGGGACTCTCAGCTACTCCGCACCCGAGTCCACTGCAACGGATCGGGTTAGCCTTTCTAGGAGTTACGATGTTTGGTCCATGGCATGTGTAATTCTGGAGGTTGCAGTGTTCATCCTCCCAGGGGCACTTTGGGAATCTGCCAAGAAAGAAAAGCACAAACAAATGCAACCGCTTCTATCGTCCCCATCCTTAAAGGGTGGGAAACTTGCTGTTGAAAAGTTTACGATAGACCGAATTGCTGAAGGCAGAGCTCACCACAAGGAACCCTGTTTCTGGATGATAGATGGCAAAAGCAAAATGCTGAAAACATGTGTCAAAAGCAAAATTATCGTTCTGGAGAATTCTGACGACCATTACCTCTCGTCGGTGGGTGACACACTACAGGAAATGTTTCGTATAGACCCAAAATCATACCCTGGCCGCCCAACTGCCGAAGTATGTCGCCAAATGCTCTTGAGACAAACACAAATTCATCCGCCGGAGGGGGAAGGAGAACCAGAGCTGATCGAGCTATGTGGTGATCACACTGCAAGACCCTTTAGCAGAATGTTCGGCAGCCCCTTCCATCTTATTTAAGTCAACTTAGCCCCAGATGGATACTAATGAGAACTGATTGATTAGGCGCGTGTTAGTGTCCAAATCTGCCATGGCTCCGGCAATACCCTGCCGACTTCAGATAAGTCAAACGAGAGCCGGCGGTAAACATCCTAAAACGAAGCTCATTGTGCATAGTCAACTGAGAGGAAGGAACTCTCCGGATCCAGACATATGTGAGCCACTTACTAATTGCTAGTTTGGCACAACTTGCAGCGCTCATGCATTCTAGGGTTTATTTCAGAAGAGGAACTCATCCCACTCAGAATTTATGGTAAACAAAACCCCAACACAATGGAGGCTTGCAAATTTCTGCATTTACACCCTGGTAAAACCTTCAAGTTCGAGTCAGTCACAGGTCAGTTGCATCAATCGATGAACAAACTTGTTTGCTAAAATTCAATTGAAAGATTTCTACACGTTCCAATCGGCACTTACTCGACAGCAGGTTCGTGGAATAGCTGAAAACATGACACATCCACAGAATCCGGTCGATAGCCTCGCCAACTATTGTATTCCCATCAAACAGTGTTGGTACCAGCCATCTGGGATTTTCAAGTTGAATCCGAAGAAAATTGTCGCGACGGGAGTGATTCAGTTCTGGCAAGAATTACCACCGAAAGCACACTTGGTACGTATCTAGAAGCAGGCCTTGTTGCATAGACACTGAAATTTATGCAGCAAAAATATATGTTGGATACTCGCACTGGCGGATCGCAACTAAGCTCAGGTTCCTCGACAGGCCAACCTCGTCTTGGGATATCTAGCCAGGCTCTCAATGGATCCCAAAGCCAATTGAACAGAAAATTATCCACCTTTACCCACTCTTCTGCCCTAAATACAAAATCACGGGACGAAAATTACCAAGATGCATGCCGACTTGCCATACAGCTGGCGTCGCCTACTGGCACACTCATTACAGTGGACTGTAAGTTCTCTGACCTTCTCCTTAACACGAGCTAATACATGGTAGTGGCTCAAGGAGATGCATATTTGGACGAACCCGAATACATTCAACGTGAAACGTCTTGCGGCCCGTGTATTTTATTTAGGGCTGCCTCCAGAAACTTTGAAATTGGATTATTTGAAGAAGGCATCAAAGATAGTCCAAGGACATACTCGGCCCTGAAGCCGCCTGGCATACCTTTGGATCCGAACGTCCTCCGAGAACGAGAAACTACGAAAGTCAAGTGGCTTGAATTGGAATTTGAGAATAAAGATGGTTCGTTGCTTATATACTGTTTCGCGATGGTTGAGTTACTAACGCTCTTTACGTGAATTAGCACGAGCGTCATTTGACAGACTTTACAAGAAGACATTCGGTGGATGAACTCATCTTCTCTTCTATGTCAATCAAGTATATCTTTCGAACGCTTGCGCTTTGAACCGTCATCGTATTTCTTCGATACGCCAAAACAAATAATGTCAAGTTGCGCCACTTCTACTCACGGCATGGCTCAGTCGCGGATCAATCCAAAGATTACTCAGAGTGCAGTTATTTTAAAAGACTACCATTCTTGCGACTGGTTCATGTCCTAAGTATCTAGTACTTTAACATTCAAGGAAGGAGAGTTGCCCTTTCAACAGCTACGGATATCTTTAGTCTGCGGTTCCAACCTACGCTCTACAGCACAGCTTAATTGATTAGATAGCACAGTCGACCATAGCGTCAAGGGTTTAGGGACTCCAATTATTGCAGCCAGTATCAACAAATATGGGGCGGATACAAATTCGGTCGAAAGAAGTTTGGTTTTGTCCTCAAACCTCTGGTGGAGTTCGCTTCGCATTTGCTCCTCGCCACTGCAAGACACAGGTCATACTCCTTTGAGCTGCAAACGTTTCAGAGGACGTTTTCCCGGAATTGAAGCAGACGATCATGCAAGGCTCATGCAAGGCTCTAGGTTTTGAGTAAAATCTAGGTTTTGCACCGAGGTAATATTTGAAGTCACCTACCTATGTTCTGGGAAATATGATTTTCTATGTCGTTGACCACCCTAGCAGAAATAAATGTCAGTCACCTGTCCGCTAATTCTTTAGACTCAATTAGTTAACTTTGAGTAGAGCTTCAAAAGTTTCATTTACTTGTTTTGACTGCTACTTATTTTGTCCGTCGCGAAGTTGTCTAGCAAATCGATTAGTTCTGATCCTACTGGGTCCCTACTGGAGCTTCAAGCTACCAACAAAAACATCTTATCGTACTCACAAGGCTTGAGAAGCAGACCTCCCCAGATCATTCCGCGGGATTCAACTTCTCAATTGGTAGATTATCCCATAGCATTTATATACGTCAAGTGCGATTTTATATCATTGACCAAATCTGTTGATGTCGGCGTCAACATGTCCGTGGTATACGCAGCATCTGCAGCAGCCTTTGCAAACTTCATTCCTATTGGGCAAGATTCACCTCGTAAAGGGGATATTGTTGGAAACTAACCAAGCGCCCCTGTAAATTGTGGGGCTTGCACCCCAGCATAGGGAGTGGAAGTGGGATTTCAAAAGGCCGTATCAGGGGTCCTATTGCAACTCTGTTGGGCGGGGCCGATGAATAGAAAAGTGAGGATTTGAGATCACCTTTTCTTATCTTCCTTCCTTCTCCTTCAGTATCGTTGGCCCTCGCTTTGGCTGAATTTTCGACTGACCATCAGATCTTGAGCGTCGAGATGATGAACCTTATAGCCTGGGCCTTTTTTGGGTCAATTCTCCTCTTTGCTTTGAAAACTTACCGCAATTTACAAATCAACATCGCAAAGGCGAAGAGGACTGGACTACCATATATTATCAACCGTAAGCTTTACCCTTCTTGTCGCAATACTTCGGTGAAAAAACTTCTCTATTGACAACAAATTGCGGCAGCTTATTGGGGAGTCGGTGCTCTTTCTTTCATCGTTAATAAATTATTTACGCCTCTATTGCGCGCTCTTCCATTTACCAAACACTTGCCATGGCTGCAGTGAGTTGCCCACAATCTTTCAAAATAAGCAGCATACATATTCGAACAGGATCATAGAAAAAGGCATGTCCTGGACAAAGCTTCGCTACGCAGAAGAAACCTATGGAGACACCTTTCTCTTAATTTCACCATTCCTCTGCTATCTCAAAACATCCAACGCCGAACTCATCACTCAAATCACTTCTCGACGCTCTGATTTCGTAAAACCGGTCACCAATTACAAAGTTATCGATATCCTTGGTGGATCCATCGTCACGGCTGAGGGTCACGAGTGGAAACGTCACAAAAAGATCGTAGGTCCAAGTTTCAGTGAAAAGAGTAACAAGATGGTTTTTGAGGAGAGTCTGAGGCAAACTAATGGTATGTTGGAGACTTGGAGAAGAGGTGATGGTAATACTATGAGTGATTTCCGGGTCGAGAACTCGAATGTTGGAACAGCGACTTTGAGTTTACATGTCATTTGCGCGGCTGGTTTTGGTGTACCTCAGCTTTGGCCATGGGAGAGCGAGGAAAAATTGAATGGGAAAGAATTATCTGGATATTCTGGGGATAAACTACTGGCGCATCACACAATGAGTATGAAAGACGCATTAACATCTTTGTTGAAAGATATATATTGGTTTGCTATTCCTTCCTCGCCATCACAATTAAGTATGCACCCTGTAACGTCCAAATTGTACCTCCTAACATTATCAGAATATCTTCCATTCTCCGCACCAAAACGCGCTTTGAAAGCCTTCAACGAATGCAAAGCCTACTTCACCGAACTTGTCGAAATCAAAAAGAAGGAACTTTATCTTGGTGAGTCCGAAAAAGGAACTATGGATCTCCTGGGACCGATGCTACGTGCCTCCACAGAAGGTTCCCCAGATCTACAACTTCCTGATCCACAGTCCTACCTTACCAAAGAAGAAATCATCGGAAACTCCTTCATCTTCCTCTTCGCCGGCCACGAAACAAGCGCGAACAGCATTCACTTCACCCTGCTCTTCCTCGCCATCTCCCTCGCAACACAACGCAAAGTACAAGCAGATATCGATGCCATCGTCGGCGACCTACCAGCCGAAAGATGGGACTACCATACGCACATGCCAAAACTATACAACTCCATGGTCGGCGCATCCTTAAACGAACAAATGCGCCTCGTCCCCGCAATCTGCAGCATCCCTAAAATCTCAAGCGGTGATCAAAACGTCAGAGTCGATGGAAGAGACTTCGTGATCCCAGATGACACATTCATACATATCAACGTCGTAGGCACGAACCGTAATCCGCGGTACTGGCCTAAATTCAAGAGTCAAATCACCGGCAAGGAACATGATATGGATGATTTCGTGCCCGAACGCTGGCTAAACGGCGCAAAACGCGAAAGCAGCGATAAGCTCGTCGATGGCCTTGAGACTGCATCTTTCGAAACGAGCACTGCAACCTCGCTTCGCGGGCCCGAGAAAGGGGCGTTCATGACTTTCTCCGACGGTCCGCGCGCATGTCCGGGAAGACGATTTGCTCAGGTCGAGATCACAGCTGTTTTGGCGGCGATATTTCAGCGGTATAGTGTCGAGCTTGATGTTGGGGAGTGGGCTAGTGAGAAGGAGCTCAAGGACATGGGGAAGGTGGAGAGGAAGGCGTTGTATGATGTTGCGATTCAAAGTGCGAGGGAGAAGATTCGGAGGAGTAGGCAGAATATCACGTTGCAGTTGGCACGGGGGGATAGGATTCCGTTGAGGTTTGTGAGGAAGGGTGGAGAGAGGTTTGGGTTGTGAGGGAGGAAGTCGGTGCGGGAGGTTGGATGGGGGGATACGCAGAGTTGGGGTTGTTGGAATGGGAAGTCCTGTCGTAATGAATAATGTTGGAATTTCTGTTCGTTTGGCTGTGATGGAATACATGCTGACATGTATAGTTCTATTAGACTGTCAAGAGCAGTGTTCCGAATTTGGTAAGGTATACCAAGGTACCTACCTTTTTTAATTTTTTTTGGTACCTAACTACTGTTTTTAGGAATAACGTGACTCGGAAAGGTACCTAAAACTCCTCGGCCCGTACTTTTGTATACGGGTAACCTTGGTACCTACCTAAATTATTTTTTTGGTTACCTTACCGGAGTAGATTATAAAAGGTAAGGTAGGTACCTACCTACCTAGTATAGCTCTAGGTATATACCTTGGTCACTAAATTCGGAACACTGGTCAAGAGACTAGACTTTACAAAATCTAATACCATAATGTATTTAATCAAACCACATCCTCAGCTTTTACGACTTCGCATGCGGTGGCCGAGCTACGCCTTCTCCCTCCGCGAGGGGGTGTGCGCAGAAGTAGGTACAAATGCTCGGTTGAGAACGCTGAATTGTGTTACAGGAAATGGATCTTTTATCCTAGTACTCGCACCAAGTATGAGTATTATCTCTCTTTGCAACACAATCAATGATACTTCACACACAAATACTTTTCCTTTGTAAAATCCATATACCCCGCTCTCGATTCGCACCTGGTCACCTAAACGTCACACTTCTCCCTAGATTCATGATACTGAGGTGAGTCTGTAGAAGTAAATCAAGAATCGAAGATCGTCAAATAGAGAATTTGAATCCATACCTGTTAATTTGAGTATACATGATTATTTGGCTTGGCAACTAGGCACACCGAATTTGGAAGTGGATCACCACATTTCCAAGATTCTCCCTGGGTCAATCTTCTCAGAATTTTACTATCACATGTCTATCAGCAGTGACCTTTTTTCTTTCGCCATTGAGTTTTCTGCATCTAGCTGTCTAGTCAGCGATGGGGACGCGGGATTTAAGTATTGACATGATCGAAATATGGTCCTGGGCGCTGGGAATAGACGAGCGCTTTCAGTCGTCACCGCATGATATATATGTAGGCACGACGATATCGAGGAATGGATGTCTATGAGTTAGTTGTAAATATCTGGCTTATCTCTTGCTAGACTTCACAAACTTTCGCCACCTACGATCCTCGCGTCATCCCATCTCACGAAACAACCAAAAAACCCCTACATTCAAGAAACACCCCGTTGAAAACGCAATCCTCAACCAACCCATCAAACCCTCCTCACATTGGACCCAAAACGCCCTTCGCGTTTCAAAACGAATTGGTGAGAAATGGCAAATAGATCATCGCCGACGGAGCTCCTTTTGTCCAATCTAACATGTATCACAAGACGTACAGAGACGGGACGCTTGACTATTTTGTATGCAGTCTCAAAAAGTTCGAACTACTGCAGGTACGTGTTTTGTCGGGTGACTTCCTAAGTATTCTCCTATTTGCTAGACTAGGTAGCTGGATTTCGCTAAGCGAGAGCTGCCTGTTTGGGTTATGAGATTTGTGGTATTTAATTGGGGATGTCATCGCGTTTTGGAACCCCATTATTTATCAATCTCATTTTGACTTCTCGGATATTGAATTGGATTCCTCCCCTAATTTGTAATATTCGATCCAAACATTATCATGTTCTCGTACATCAAATCAATTTTCGGGCTCGGCCAAACAACTCTAGTGCTGGATTCAACACCAGCATCAAACCAATTCCAAAATTGGCTTAAAGTATTCAACAAGATCGATAGGCAGGATCTGATTGATTACCATACCGGCAGCGCATTCCCCTACTCTGCTGCCACTGGCGCATTTGCAACACCACTCGACGAATACCGAATGGCGCATATGTCTAGTGGCTATGAAATCATGTCTCTCGAACCCGACACCACGCCATCGAGATTGACCATCCTTCTACGTGAAAAGTCGATGAAAAGATTCGTTCGTGCTACCATAGAAGTCAACACCTCCACGCCCGCCAACACAGTCACAAAATTCGAAGTCATCCCCGTCGTCACGCCGTTAGATCACATTCCAGCCAACGATCCAAGACGAGCAATGTTTGAGAAAGCTCTACAACCACTTACTCCTGAACTACGCAAGAAGATCGTTTATGAAATTGTACAGCTAGTTAACTCACGATATCCCCATCCCGAGACTTCAGACACGATCACAACCACCCTGGAAACTCACCTTCAAAGCGGGAGCTATGACACTTTCACCACAAGCGCAGCATTCTCTCATCGACTGTCACAAGATATCAAAGCCACCACCAACGACTCTTCCCTGTGGATCTCCTTCACTGAACCCCCACCCCAATCTTTACCGTCCAAAAACATGGGTTTCGACTCTTTCAGAAGCAGCGAGACGGGACTTGGTCAACCTACCTTTAAAAACACATCTAAGAAGAAGATCATCGCTACTTTGCCGATTTCTGAGTTTCTGGAAGCTGAGAATTCTGATACACTTGCGAAAACAAGCGAGATCATAAGTCGAGTCGCGGATGCAGACCTGCTTGTCCTCAATATCCGCGGGGCAAGCGGACGGAATTTTAGGAAAGCGGCGTGGATATTGTCGTTTTTGATGGTAGATACGACGATTGAATTACTGCGACTTGTTGATAAAGCCGGGAATGTGGTTGAAACTATATCCACCACTGCTTTATCCAACCTCCCTCCCAATGCCAAAATCTATGGGGGTACGAAGCCGATTTTCATTGTTACTGATGTCAAGACGTGCTCGGCGGGGGAGTTTATGGTCTATGTGTTGAAAGGGAAAAGGAATGGGGTGAAGGTTATTGGGGATGGGAATGAGACTACGATGGGAGATGGGGCGGTGATGACGCATCCGGAGTTTGTGTGTGCGGAGACTTTTGGGGAAATGTGGTGGTTGGCTGCCGTGCCTGATCGAAAGGTTGAGGGGGATGAGTGGGAGGGGGGTGTGGTGAGTGATGTTATTGTGGAGGAGGGGAGGAGGGTTGAGGATGTGGTTGCTGAGATGGGTGAGAGGTTATTAGATGGGTATTGAGGAGAAGGCGATGGGATATGTGTTTTGGGGGATAGGGCCAGGGAAAGGGTTGAGACTGTGCTTTTATTATGCTAGGGTTGTTGAAATTAACCTTAACCTACGAAAAGAAGACCAAGTAAACAGGGCTAGGAACTAGAATGGGTTGCATTTGTAACAACTTGATGAAAATTTTGATCCCCAATTCCGTGAATTGAAACAGCGATTAACCACCAACCAGCTGAGTCAAAATAACAGCCTAGGGCACGCCCCCCAACTAATCATATTGCTCCGCCAGTATTACATGAGGCTTTTTCTCGCCTCTTCCCATGCTTGCCATGTGGAACTTTCCTGCATAGGGTTCGCACTTGGAGAAAGCTGGCCGATACCAAAAGGTCCAACTTCCCGGGTGCTGTAATCTACATCGTTCCCAAGCTCGTAATACTGGAGCAAGCTTACAGGAAACTAAGTCCCTATATCTCTGGGTCTCCATATCTGGTGAAAGTCTCTCCCAAAGTGGCTCTAATAGCTCAATACTCCCGTCCTGTGCCAAGTTGCCGTTGAGCCAAACTTCCGCCCACCATGGATAATACCCAGCATACTCCCAGTCGATAATTTCTGTTATCTTATTATGTTCTGGATCAACCATAATATTCCCAAGTGTCAAATCTCCATGGGTTAGAATGTATGGCTCCGAATCCGGGAAGTTATCTTTAAGTTTCTGGAACTCTTTCTCAATAACTATAGCGTCTGTTGTCTCGTGAACCTTGGATAGTCCTACTAACAGCTCTTCTTTAACACTCTCGAGCCACTCCTCTGTCGTATTCCCTATTTGCTTACAGTTCGGTCGAGACCTACCACAGGCGCCAATGATACAGTCGTCGATTAACCTGCCGTCAACAGTCTGTGCAATAGGAGATGTAAATTGGCGAAGCTCTCGAAGATAAATAAACATCTGTTCCCGGAGATCATTCTTTTTCTCGTCCGACAGGGTATGCCACATAGCCTCAAGGGGTATCCCTTTTGATCGACTCATGAGTAAGAGGTAGGTCTTATCGCCAGGCTCGTTTAATAGCTCCATTCTTTTAAGTAGAGGGATACTCAGGCCAGGCTGGTTTCGTAGAAATTGTTGGGTAACAAAATCGCTTCCGGGAGAGTGGCCATCGTTTGGAATATCCTTAAGAAGTAACTGCGATCCTAAAGCCCACATCCCAGTGTTTGCCCGGTCCTGGAGAAATCGTATTCGAGGCCCATAGTTAGAAGTCCTTTGATTGTAGGAGGTCCACCCACAAAACCAGCAGAGTTCATGGTTCTCATCATTCTCGTAATCATAATTCTCGATATCTAAGCCACGACGTGACTCTTCGAACCCTTCTGGAGGTTCCTCTCCTTCAGGCACATACACGAGTCCCTTGTAGCATAGTTCTGGGTGTTCAACGTTTTCTGGGGGGAAATCCATTGCTAAGATCGTAATAGTAGAGCTTAGCGACAAGTAGGACGAAGCAGTAAAGCTGGTCTATAAACAAGAAAATGCATACTTGAAGACGGTCTTTTATGCTTTTTTCTACCCCTTCATAAGAGCATAAACAAAGCACATTACGCCGATGGGGCACGGTTGTTTTTTAAAACGCTAAAAACGTTCAGAATCCTCTCATCAGACAAAGAAACAGATGACGAGGTAGAAAAAGGAATTTACATCCAGACGTCAGTGGCGGTAGTCAATTTTCTCTGCAGACAAAAAGAGTCATATCGAGGATCCTAGAAACTAACTGTTTTCATGTCCTAATAAAGAAAGACTTGAGAGCATAGTAGCATACTCGAAAACTATTTTCGCGTCGCAAATAAAGGAAAGATGGCGGACTCGTACGAACACAGAACAGCCTGAAAATGGATTTTCTGAGAACAGAGAGAGTCCAGAGATGCCATGACAAGAAACCCTTCGAGGATCCTAACCGTTTTCGTCTAGTAAATAAAGAAAGACCCAGGAGGATACTTAGAAACTGTTTTCGCGTCGGAATAAAGAAAAAATGATGGACTCGTGGGAACTCAGAACAGCATTTTCCTGAGAACAAAGAGCCCAAGATACGAAGTCAGTGGGAGAAGAACTTGAATTTGGGAAAAACGCTTTTCTCACTAATATTCTGAAAACCAAGCTCAGGCTTTGCTTTATCTTGGTGTTATGAGATTGCTGAGAAAGTTTGGTTGAACAAAAGGAAGTACCAAGAGGGAAACAAGCACGGTGCGCGAGCGGACCGAAGCTCGGGCCGATTCCCCGAGTGGAGTGTAATCTAACAATAACCATAAAAGGGGCACGGGTACCGGTTACCCTCGTAAGATCTCCTACAAGTACTTCCATTCCATCACGAGGGTAAGCGGATATTATGTTCTCTTCTATATTTTATCTAAAAAGTACGAACTTTTACTTTTCATTACTCAAGGTTCTGGACTCCTTGAGGTTATTATAGCTATCTTTACTTCAAGGTGGTCAATGCGACAAAATCTGCCACTTCCTGCTCGTGGAGAACTCCTGGCGTATGCTGCGCTGCATTGACATTTTCTGCGGCCTAGGCCGAATGAGTACTTTAGCGTCGGAAATCCTCATGACAACGACAATAAAACACAAAGTTTCTAAGGGTATAGTAGTACTAGAAAACGGAGGAAAACGAGAGGGTATTTCTTACTACTAACTCTATAAATTGTTGTTTTTAGACCTTCGAAAAAGCCTCGGGATAACTTTCGTTATTACATATATTGTCAAAGCTCCTCAGCCTCTAGTACTAATTTGGTTCGGCGGATACCCCATTTACGAAGTATTTATCCTCGCCGTATAATATTGACGCTATGAAAAGTACCGTAGCATGGCAGAGGAGTTATCCGCTAAGCCTCTCCAACCGCGCCGACCAAGAAACTATCCACAGTAAGCATAAAGTTCTTTAAAGTTACGATCTACCCAATAGAATTACACCCTCTTAGGGGTGCACCTAATCACTTTCCCATCGACGAGGGGAGAGTACTCCTACTTCGTGTTGCGACTGGCTTTGAAATCGTGGAACAGTTCAAGGGTTCTAACGATCCGTGGAAAGGTGTAGGATAATTGGGATCTGGCGCCCTAGATTCTACGTTCCCCAAATCCGCCAAGTTGGATTATATCGTGAAGTACCTCACGTAGAGTGGCAGTGAAGATGCAATTTGGATTTGGTGAGTGAGAATAGTTCATTTGCTTGGAGATAGAATAACTATAAAGTCTGCCGAAGACATTGCTTTGTTCTTTCTTGCATCAATCAAACGCACTCGCACTCACACACTCATACAATCATACCCTCGAAAGCAGCTCGCTCAATTCACCCAATTCACTCTGTAACTCACCAGTACCTTTAAAATCGCTCCTCAAAATGCAATTCTTCACCACCATCCAAATTCTTGCTCTCCTCACCACTAGTGCTCTTGCCGGTACCATCAGTCCCAACGCCCGCAACGCTCTCATGGAGCGTGGTGGGTGTGAGGGTAACAGTAAGTAATAACAGATCTTCTTTGCACAGTTCTAGTACATTGGCCTTTCGTACTGACTTCTGGATCTAGTGCCACTTTGCGCTAACAGCAAGTACGTTGGTACCACTAAGTGCCGCTGCGAAGGTCAAAAGGGAACGTGTGAAGCCTGGTATTGCGGCGAGAACGTTAACGATGGTATCAACATCGTAAGTCGTCCTTGTTCCCCTCTCTGCTGCTACAAAGCTTTCTCTGTGGACATTCCTCTTGCCCCCATCTCTCTGAAGCCTGAGAATGGAAGCCCGCTAACGACGACCTTGTATAGATGTCCTGTGGTGGAGAGAATACCGGATGTGCTTGGTTGTAGGCTATCTATGGAGCCTTCAATGGTTCGCATGTACAATGGCTCGTCTTGCAGCCAGAAGTACATGTCGCACAAACTGTTACAAATTTTCACTTCTCTCAGCTCGGTTATTTTCATGGTTAAGGCGCAATTGGTTTTCTGGTTAAGGAGTTCATGGGCAATAGTACATAGAGGAGTCACTTTTAAGAAAGGAATGGGAACTTGGTCATGCTTTATACAATTCATACAATTCATACTCCACGAAAAGTCCCCTCCCTTCCCCCCACACCACCCGCACATCTAATTAATAGGCCCACATTCAATCCCAAACTGCGGACTGAAGTTCTAATCCCCCCAGATTCACATTAGCCTAGCCAACCTTCGCCTCCAAGATAGGGAGGCGAGGAGGGGACATACACTGTTGCAACAAGCTTCTTGCTTCCATGTATCGAGACAACACCGGTTTCCGGGTCGGAGGCAGAGGTCGGCACCTACGCCTGCGTGGTGTGTCAGTGGGTTGGGGAGGTAGGGGTGGAAAGGAGGGTGGAAAGAGGGAGAGGAGGAAGGGAGGTGGTGGTATAGAAAGACTTACAACCGCCGCCGTACCTTAGACCATTCGGCGCGACAACAAAGCCATTACAGCATTTCGGCTGGTTGTAAATCGTACTCGAACAATAATACGCCGTTGCTGCCGAGCCGAACCAGAGTAGAATTACGAGAGTGTCTCGCATTTGAGGGGTTGAATAAGTAAATTGTTCTGTTTTTGGTGAGGGAGCTGCGATGAAGGGCGAAGGGAATGGGCTTTTGAAGTGTGAAGTTGAGAATCGGAAGACAGCCGAGAGTTGATATGCAGGTGGGTTACGCCACCAATTAATATATGCAGGATCGGATCCCGTCACTTCCAATCACATCTCCCTTCTTGATATTACATGGAAAAGAAGGGGGTTTTAGCGAGGGTGAAGAGGATATTTTGAACATGTACGGTCGCGCGTATGGGTTTTGGTATTTTCGAAGTTGGGGATTGGGGGCTGGGAGGGCATGCTGGAGGGTTAGTTGTGTTTGGCTTGCGTGGTCGTAGAATAGTTTGGAGGTAGTTGTGAGGAAGCGATGATTAATTGACTCCTCCATACTAGCACGGTACGGTGTTTATGTTTTATATCACAGTTATTACAAACTCTACCTAACTTCAAAAAGTAATACCGCCCGTCTATTTTGGCGCCCGGTGCGTTTTAACAGGACTGCACAGCCGTCTGTTGATACTTCTCCATTGCTCCATTTAATGTTTTTTGCGTGGAGTCTTGTTCCATAAACCACTAGAGGTGAGACTTAGTAGTGTCGATAACTTATACATTACGCACTTGTTCCGACTCTGTAACTTCACACTTTATCGATTTGTCCAATTTATCTTCGGAAGAGGGTAGCCCTAGACGTTCGGCTAAATTTGAATAACAGTATCTGACACAAGACATTCAGATAACTCAGACCGGGAGTTGTTGAACGGGTATCTGATAATAGTGATTTTGGCGATTCCGACTCCACGTAATGATCGCACTGGTACAGCTCTTCATGGACGTAATGTAGACTTTAATTTTAAGTTTCAGATATAGACTAATAGATTTAAACGTAAGATAAAGTCTGACACACTTTCCTGGCGAACTGAAGAACGCAAACACAACACAGGCAAAATGTGATTGATAATATATGAAATCCGTATGATATAAAGGTTAAAGATGTTACTTAAAGAAGTCTTAGGAACAAAATTAATGCCAGATGGAAGTAAAGATAGAAGTAAAAACTAAGTTAACCTCGCGTACTTACATACTTGCGCCTCTTTTCGGTTACAGTATTAGAATGTTCGGTGAAGACATTGATGAGAAATAGCTAGATTTCATTTATGTAGCAAAGACATCTACTTATCACGTGATCCATCGTGCGAATAATCACGCTCTTTTGATCAAGGTTTTACATGAAAATACGGGGAGAATTTCAATGAAGGGTTATGGGTTTAAAGAGGTGTTTTGTCTGTTTAGTGGAGATTGTGAAAGAGGTAGGCTGGAAAAGAGGTAGGCTGGAATATACTAGTGTGTACGCTCGGGACGACTATAGGCTAGAAGAATTGATTACGCAAGCTAGGGATGTTTGTTACGAGGGAGAGGAAGGGTGGGAAATGCGATGTATATGAGGAGTTCGAGATCAAATCCAGAAGTAATCTATGTACTTGGATCGTCGGCTTGTAGATGAAGTAAGCTGGTGTTATCGAGCTAGAGTAGCGGAACATCTCGTTTAGTTTAGGAATAGTGATCTCGTTTATACCCGAGCACTAGAGAGTACCTAGTCTAGCTTCCAGTTCTAGCTTCATGACTGCCACAAATGTATTGACGACCTGAAAAGAGGGGCACGTGAGGGGTCAAACTCAGAGGGCAAGCTAGTGAATACGTGATAACAAACAAGACATGTGCGAACAGCGTGCGCGATTTGGGCATCTGACCCGAGAATTAAGAAGTACTTGTTTTGGCATCTTGAAACTAGTACTCGGAAATCAGGGATCAAAATGTAATAGTTCGAAATTCAATGTGGTATACCAAATAAAAGAGGGTATGGTATAGTATCAACCTGAAAAACACCCCACGCGTAATTTTGCCAGTCTCGCTTTCCCAGTGTCATTTCAACTGGAAAAGAAAACCAAAAGAAAATACCCATCAATACCCACTCCGAATTCTCCATACTCCAAATTACTAACCATATCCAAACCCGAAACCGTGATTCCTTCGCTATTCGATACAGGGGTATTATCTTTTCCAAAAATTCCAAAAGCAGATGTGCGTTCCAATCAAGGCAACTCAAACGCCCCATCCGGCCTCGCTTTCTGATTCGAATCCATCTCGCTGTACGTCGGTTTCTCGTCGTACTGCGGTAGTGGCTGGTGTTGTTGCTGTTCGTGTTTATATGACATCTGCGACGTCTGCGGTGACCATTGTGGCGGACATTGTAGGGCGGGATGTTGATGATGATGTACCGCACCATAGGCAGATGGATCGTATGGATGCTTTGGAAAGGTACCGGACGGTGGTGGAGAGACTGGAAAACCCGCGGATGGAGGTGGAGATCCGGGGTATTGCTGTTGGCTGAACTGGCTTACACCGCTTTGATGGCTTAGGCGGAGAGGCTGGAGGTGCATTGTTGGAGGGGAGAGAGGTGGGGAGTTTGGTGGAGAGTGCGGTCCTGATGAGACGGATTGGTTTGAGTAGGAGTGTTGCGAGTATGATTGATTTGTACTTTGCGTAAGACGTTTGTTCTTTTCGGCGGCCTCTTGGAGTTGTGTTTTGACGACCAACCGCGCGACTAGTGTTGAGAGACAATCCTTCAATGTCTTGCGGACGAATCTTGTCATCAAGAAGTTGCACTTCATTTCGACGTCTTCGCGAATGTAAAGACCAGATATAGGTGCGCCGATACCCAGTTCGACTGGTTGAATAGGCTCGTGTGGTTCATTTCCTCCCAATGTCCATTTCTCTTTGATGTCCAATCCCATCGGCGCATAACAATGTGTTTGTAATCCATAAGGCAGGTCGTGAAAACATGCTTTAAATGAGACTTTGCCCTTGTAGCCGGGAAAATATGATATCTTATCGGTGATCTCGTACCAGGTGCAATGGTACTCTTCAGGTGTAGATTCAGGTGGAGGCTTTATTTGGACGCGCGAGGTATGGGCTGGGTTGAGATCGATCATTTCGAGATGATCGTGAAGGGTGGCCATGGCCGTTTCTCTCGATACCCCGGCTGGCAGCGGGGTTATCGTCGTAAAGGTTGTGCGCTTCGACATGTTGATACTTTGGTGGTTTGGATTCGTCTGAGGTCAGAGAAGGCGCAATCAAAAGACCACTTTGCAAAATCCGGCTCGCGGTGTTGGTGAATGTGAAAGAGGGGAGGTTGAAATTTGGCCGCGATACGGGAAAGGTAGCCTTACTATGTCAATTACCAGAAGCTGACCGACACGCCATCAGCGCAAAATGGGTATTGACCTGTGGTCAGCATTGGCAGAGGTTGGCTAGCTCGAAGCTCAAAACGGCATTTTGTCATCCGGGAGTATCGGTTGTTGCCAATGACGAGGCTCTGCGCTTTTGATGGCTGTGTTTGGTTGTCGACATAATTGGTACAATTGATTGTCGATATATCACTCAATCTGGTTCTGCTTTTACCCAGCCGAATGTCAATTGTTGTTTCACAGAGAGAAAGACCAATGACGATGATGAGAAAGATTGACACGACAGGAATAGTGGGTCCGGATCACGGGTTGTGGCATTAGCTCAGCCCTGGGGAGGTTCGGCGATAAGAGCTAAGCTCAGATAAGGTTCAGCGATGATCGTTACGAGATTGAGGAAATGAAATGCATGATATATTGATTTGATTCCATTTCTTGCTTTCTTTTGCGCCAAAAAATCCAGAGAGGAATGCAAGATGCAGGTACGGTAAGAAAGTCCAAACACAAGTAATAGTTGACTAGAGCATCCGCCCGTTTCTCCTGGGCACAACACCAAAAGATCGTCGCCTCCCGGCTGTACCCCATCCGAGCGCCAGGAAGCTTGGGGTTTGGTGACCTCATGGTTTTGACGTATGGGGTACGTACAGATACGGGATGCTGTGGACAATGTTCTACAGTACAAGGTCAGTTGGATATTTTTCTAATCGCTCGATTTTCTTTCAGACGATACTGACGATGGTGACAGTTGAATCGATGTATAATATGGGCAACTGATTTTGCACTTGAATCTTCGAGGCTAGTGTCATGAGAATGCCGTTTGTATGACAGCAAGAACGCAGGTTTGATTGTTTCTATCAAGTTGGATCTCATTTCTACACAATTATTTTTCGAAATCCCGGGATTAATGTCAGTCCCCACCCAGCAAGCCAGCTTCCTACAACTCCAACTCCTCCAACCACAATCGTTTTCACGACGCCACCCGCTTCCCACCCATCCAAAGCATACTGAATCGTTATACAGACTGGCTGATGGACCAAGAACGCCGCATATGAATATTCGCCGATGTTGCTCCATTTCTTCGTGGCCCAAGAACTCTTCCTGAAAGTATCCAGCACCACGCTCGCTATCACGGCTCCCGTCGTTTCATTCCACATAGCATATGCCAATGCAAGCCAGTTCCACCCGCCATTCATTGACGAAAGTGGATAGGAACGAACTAAAACCAACATCGATACTCCTGATGCGATTGAAGCACCAAGTAGAGTCTTCATCTGTCGGCGAGTGAGCAATGACGGTGTATCTCCAGTTGGTATAGGTGTGATCGTTCCCAACAGATACGAGATGATATACTGTGGCAGATATCCTGGCTGCACATTCAGCGGAGCGAGAGTCGTCCCGGTGGGATACTTAAGTCGCAAGAGAAAGGCAGCGAGGATGTTCAGTGACATCGCAGGACCGAATGACAGGCGTGGGACTTTCGGCATAATCGTATACAAAGTATCAAAGACCATCAAGACAGCAGGATACCAGACCGAACCCTTCACCCCAGTCAAACCCTTCAGGTGTGTGACAAGAATATCCCAACCCACGACCTTCCCCTCAAACAGCCTCTGTATAGCAGTCTGAAAAGGCGGACCTAGCAAACTACTCACCACAACAGGAATCCCAAGCTTCATCCACTTAGTCCTCAAAAACTCCTCCGTCCAACGCCGACGGAGAGAAGTCGAAGACATGATCCCAGACAGGAAAAAGAAGGATCCCATGAAGAAGCTCTGATTGACGGCGTTGAATACGACGAGACTTGGAGATGAGCCAGTATTGTGAAAGCGAGATTGATATGGCCATAATCCGAGACCACCGTAGGGGACGGAGACGTGATGGAGAATCACTAGGCCGGTGAGTGAAGTGCGGAGATTGTCGAGATGATAGAGTCGATGCGGTGATGATGTTGTTGGTGGAAGCGAGCTTCTTTTGGGAGGGCTTTCATCTGGCATTTTGAGTCAATTCGGTTGAAGTCAACCAGACTAATCGCTTTGTTGTGTGGATCTAAAATTGGCTGAGAGGAAAAGGACTCCAGCTTTTCAGTAACCCCAAGGATGGATAGGTGATTATCGACGATCATAATCATCCATGTCGAGGGCGTCACTTCATTCTTAAATGACTTGCCAAGCTCACATTTCGCTATCTTGTTACTATTTCGACATTCTGATAGGAAGTCATATCTATATTGCTTGTGGGTCTGGATTAGCTAATCTTTCTGCTACAAATGCTGAGATAAGCAGTGTGCTTTCTACGCAAGAATGGGGGAGTTACGACATCCCAGATCAGCTCTTACGCGTGCTAGTCGTCTGTCAAGATACCAAATATGGAAGCCTAACATGGTTGTGCTGAAAAGATTGTGGCTTCACTTGCTAGTAAATAAGATGCTGACACGCTTCAACCTTACGTTGGCTTCCGATCTATAATACTAATTTGAAAGTAATCTCATCCCATGGACGTCTAACTGATTAAACAATACTGGTATCCTTGTTAACATAATTAGTTATTTTAAACTAAATTTCTAGCTAGGAAATACGATGCATATACATATAGATATTACAATATGTATATATATATATATATATAACAACACGCTAAACACAACATACACAGAACTTACACACAAATTCACCCTATCACTTTCAGTCTTCATCAAAAATCAGAAATCAAACCCCCATACCTCAATCATCTAAACCTTCAATACCAATCTCATCCACGAATCCAAAAAGAAAGCCTCGCCAAGAACGCCATCTGCACATCCAACCACTCAAATCCCAACCAAAAACAGCACATCCCGCATCAAGAGTCCATATGCCCACTTAAAATGCTTTCTTACCGCCACAAGAGCTCATATCCCATTTCAGAAGTTCATGTTCCGCTCGCGTACCGCTCACAACCCCCGCTTTCAGCCTCAACGTCCCATCTATACGGGAACTCTCTCCAGCTGAACGACCGCCAAACATGCGAGCCAAACAGTAGATAGAGGAATAAGGCTACGGTGGGGTGGGCTGGGAGTTGCCGAAGTTTATGGATGGAAGATGGGGGTCTAGACTTCAAGGCTAGAGAATCGATGAAGTTTACGAGCTGGGGTTCGATCGATATAAGAGACCCTCGCACCCGCAATCTTCAACCACTTTGCGAAGTCATTCAGATCAAAATGGACAAAAAAACCACCTTCCACATCGTCTCGCAACCCCTCCAACACACCCTCCCCCCAACCTACACCTGGCACCCCTCCTTCTTCGGCCGGCTCCCCTGGCTCGGCCTCCTCGCCCTCACCACAGCCATATCCAGCGCCGTCGCCTGCGCAGTCATAATCAGCGTCTCCGACCAACGGCCCGCCGACTGGCGCTTCGAGCCCTCGGTCGTGCTCGCCCTGCTCTCGGCCATCGCGACAGGCCTCCTGTTCGTCGTGCTGCACGCCGGCGTGACGATCACATGGTGGCGCGCGGTGTCGCATCCCAAAGGCACGTCGTTGGCGACACTCCATCACATCTGGAACCACGGCGGCGGCGGGGGACTCAGCGCGGCGTTTCTCGCGGGCCGGAACGTGAATAAAGTCGCGGTGGCGAGCGTCTTGATCTGCGTGGCGAGCATCGTGTACAACCCGCTCTTGCAGCGGGCGTCGCATACGCGCTCCACGCTGTTGAGTCTGAACGTGACGAAGAGTCTGGATATCGGGCGGACGTTCCCGGATGGGCTCGGGGGCACGAATGGCGATGATGGGGAGGTGGTGATTGATATCCAGTTTTTGACGGCGATTCAGAGGTGGTATGCGGATTGGACGATGGCGACGTGGGAGATTGAGAGTCAGTATTGTAATGGGACGTGTAAGGGGTATGTGCCGACGATTGGGATTATGGGCGAGGAGTGCACGCAGACGAGGGATCCGATGGATGTGCAGAAGGCGGCGGATCGAGGGGACTTTGTGTTTGCGATTAATTTCACGGCGTATGAGCAGGGCGGGGTGCCGACGTTGGAGTTGGCTGTGAAGGGGTTGACGGAGGTCGATAGGAATTGTATGGGTGTCTTTGTGACGAATACTTGTAAGATCCATGTTGGGTTGGTGGGATATCCGGTTGTGATTGAGGGGACGAATATGACTTTCGATACGGATCGTGATCGGTTGTATTTGTCGCAACCGATGACTTTCGAGGGTGATTTGATGTCGGCAGCACCTGGAAGTAACGCGGGCCCTCTTGGTGCGCTTCGTTGGTTTGGAAATTCATACTTCAAGGCGAATGCGACGATTGGTTTTGATGCTGCGAGCAATAGCTATGTCGCTGAGCCGGTTGGAACCATGGCGCAGCAGTATTACAACACCAATGCTTCTACTGACGAGTATATTGATTGCAGGTTTGAGTGGACTGATCCAACAGCCGATATCATTCAAGCTTTCAGTCATGTCTTGTTCCGCGCCATCTACTACGGATCTTCAAACGATACCCGTCAACAGTTTCCTGCGACTCAACTCCGGCCAACTTTGGTATACGAATCAAACTTTTTGTATCTTGAGATTGGATCGGCTCTACTCTTCCTCGCAGTTCTGGCTGTCTCGTCAACTCTTTGGGGTTGGTGGGAACTTGGTCGACATGTGTCTCTCAGTCCTTTGGAGACGGGCAAAGCATTGGGTCTTTTGCATTTTCCTGAGAATTCCGTTGTTCCTCCAGATGCAGATACGCTTGTGGGTGTGGTAGGAGAGACGAAAGTCAGATATGGCGAAACGACTGTGCTGGGAGTTGACGGATATGAGAAATCTGCTCTTGGAATTCGACCTTTGGGAGTTGGAATGGATCCTGCAGCTCCGAGACGGGCTAGAACGAGTTATGTTTGAAATGCTTGTCTATCTTTATTGTTGGATTCATTTTTCTTGAATAAATTCGACTTGGCCTTCATAATTGCTGTATCTTTTCCAAGTATATAGCGCGATTGGATGAGCCAGATATGGCAAGCACCTGTGTGAATTTGAGTTGTGGTATATGATAATACTCCTGGTATACTTTGACCCAGTTTGGCCTCGGTGCAAATATAATCTCGATTTTGCTTCTTGTTCCGCTGAGTTAAGAAAAAACTTCGTGAGGAAAGTCCTCAATGGAATAGTAAGTAGTAAGGTCGGGTGCAGGGAGCAGAGGTGGATATAGACACTATGAAACGATGCTTATACCAAATGAATGACGAATAGTTGTGTCTGGCAGAGTAAAAGTATCGCACCGTTCAATGTGACAATTACAAATCAATCCAAGATCAACCTAGCACATAGCAATGGAAGGATGAAAACTCGCCCTATATCTTGACTCAGCTTATAGACGACATTAATCGTATGCACTCGAATTCTCGAGTCAAAACGCACTCCAATGCTAAACAAAAACCCAAACTCCGCCCCAACCCACAAATCCACTTACACCTACGCCTCCACTTACCATTCCACCCCACTAATGCAAAACCCCACGATAAAACTTCCCCAACAACCTCCTCAAAATCCTCAAAAAAATCAACCTAATAGATTCCACCTCATCTCTCTTCCCACACCTCCCGCACCTCCCACACCTCCCACACCTCCCCGACCCACCCTTCCTTCTTCCACGTCTACATTAATTAGCATTCCCCCCTATTTCAACGGCCGGGTGAGAACTTACTCTTTCACCGGATACGGACTCCTCCTCCTCGAATGATGAGCTTTTCTTCCTTGTTTCTCGTTTGTTGTACGTGACTCTTTGGCGGGCGTGGTTTTGGTGATTAAAGGATCGCGATCTTCATGCCGTTTTTCCTCATAGCGGACGTGAGTATCTGGCCTCACGGCGTCAGAGTTCTTGCTGTCTTTTCGCGCAGCGTGGTAGCCTTCGCGGTGGACACGGTGACGACGTTCGCTTTCGGGCGTGTGATTGCGACTGTGACTTCTAGAACGTCGATGTTTAGTTTCGAGCACTGGGGATACGGATGCGTTTTCATTCGGAAGTTTGATGGCTTCTTGTTCTATGTGATGTGCCTTTTCGCTCTTCGCAAGCCCTGATAAGCGAATTTTTGAAGGTTGTTGTCCGCTTTCGGTCCTAAGAACTACCGGCGTGTACTTGCTGGGTTGTTGTAGCGATGACTTTTCAATGAGATGTGCTTTCTCGTTATTTGAAAGTGGACTGGACGATTTGAGTTCAGTGATTCGATCTCGACGAGTTGGCGCGGCTGGTTTGATGTATGGAAGTGGCGATTCTGAGCGATAGCCGAAAGCGTCCTTGTACCATCCCATTGTGACTGATGCTGGCATAATGGGAGAGTTTGATATAAGTGGGCGATTTGGTGCTGGTATGGCCTTTGTAATTTGTAGTGAGTGGTCACTGTAAGGAAATGATGAGAGAATGATAGAAACACAAAATCGGAATCGCTAAAGAAATGTTCGCAAGATACTATGCATGTTATAGACTTCCGATATGGTTTGACTTGTTTCTTTTTTTGGTTGACGAAAAGAGCGTAGTAAAACATTGGTTGGCTTGTAACCGCCTGGCCGAACCAACATTGTCACAGAAAGTTGGCCCATTTCGGGCCAACAACACTTCATGCAACTCAACCCTTGCCGAAGATGGGGCAAATTAACTCTTTTACATGACGAAGAAGCATTGGAATTTCCAAAAATGAAAAATGTCAGGCGATGACAAACATGAAAATAGAACTGAGTATTCGAACGTCTCAGTACCGGGCGAGTGTCGTCTCAGTTGTGGTGGGATTTGATATCGTGAAAAGACCCAGATGGGGATTTGCCCCCAACACGATTTTAAGAGTACCCCATCTACCAGTAACCTAGCAGCCAATCAATGATATCAATGAAGAACTTTAGTCTGTTGCAGAAAGACAAGCGAATCAAATCATGAAACAAAAATTAGACCTCCATACTGACCAGAAATCGAATCACAGCCATAAATCGAAAGGGCAAAAATGTTGGTGTTTCGGCAGCTTCATATTCTGAGAAATACGCGCCCTCGCGGATTGAAGCGCGCGCTCATCGGAATTATGCGCTGAATTCGTCCTCAAGCCGAAAGAATGAAGAAGGTAGTAAACGCTTTCGGGTATTAAACTCAATGTCGATGAAGGTAGATACATAGGGTTGGGACGGACTTTTCAAGTTGCGAAGCTAAAGCGGAGAGCGGATTATGTCAAAACGCGAATGTCTTCCTGTCTGCGCCCAATGAGGTCTGCGCCGATAATCACATTCCAACTATTTCTTGCGCATTGCCAACATAATTCAACACAAAATGATTGCATTTAGCCAAAGTTACGAATGTAACTCCCGAACTTTAAGAGCATGGGTATAGAAACCACAAACAGCGTGGCCATCACATGGATGTCGTTGCCCTGGGATTGCCAAGCAGTCCCAAAAGGTATCGAGTCCTCGTAACGCCGTCTCCTGCTGCCGCCACCACTGGGCTGAATATGTTTGAAATCATACCGCAGGCCAGTCTAGAAAAACAGGAACTGAAAAATAGATCAAATTTTTAACGTAGAATGGCATATTAACGGAGAAACAGAAACACAGAAGCAAGAGCAGATCTGACTACCTACTCGCGTATAACGACGTGTAGGATGCTGTGCTCATTCGAGCTCAAAGTCCGCAATGCATGTAGCTATATCAATCAGCTCGATAAGCTTCATATCTGTGACCCATGCTGAGCTCTCATGAGCGAATTCTCTGTCCCTAGCAAACGTATCCTTCTCTCAACAGGCCTCCTCGCGGTTGTCGTTGGTATTCGTGTATCTTGAACTGTCATATTGCGTGTTTGTGTGACCGTCATACCGAATGAAACATGTCCAACGAAACGAGACATATCCATCCCATTGTATCTTTGTTTGCGTGAGACTTGGGGACAAAGTAATGTTCAATTCCACAGCTTCTATTGAAGAAGCATCCAATCAACAAGCCTCATTTTTGCCGGCAAACGCATTCTCGGCTAGTGTTGTTCTCGTAGTCCGGTACCGAAAGACCGTGGACTGGGAACCTGGAAGAGCTGATTCAAATGTTTATGCGTTCAAGGTGAGCCAGTCAACAAACACATTGAGAGCTCTACGCGAGGCTTGATCGTGATATCGAACGATATATAGGTGGTATTTCCTACTTCCAAGGATCGAAACAGAAGGGGCCTTGTTCTTCCTTCTCGAATGATCATTGTTATTGTTGTTGTCATTGCTTGATTGATTGATAAGGTTTGTTGTAGTGGGGAAAATATCTTGAATAAAGTTCGCCGGACTCCTGGTGGTGCTGTTGTCGCGGGTGGTGGATCTATTTTTGAGTTGCTGTGCCGACCAAGATCTTACGAGGACGATTCCACCAGCCTACTGCACCGTCTGCACGGCCGATCACAACGCATTTCAGATCTCGCCGCTGATGCGTTTCTGAAGTCGCAATCATTACTTCATTTATCCCAGAATTCATACACGCTCGTTGGCGCTTGACGCGCAAATATCTCTATGTACATCAACTTATCTCACACAGGTCTTGGTGATGGAAAGCGCTTGTGTCTCAACCCTTGATAGTTGTTGCGATATCGTGGAACCATGGTAAGGAAATTGAAATAGCTCTTATGGTCTTATTACAACTCCCTTCAAAGCGCATTGCATCCCCCTTCACAAAGTTCCCAAAACAACAAGACTAATGTACAAAATGCTTTAGACCATGGCCCCTCTCGATCCCGAACCACCAGACGAGGATCATGATCCATCTACTACCCACCCCGCCAAAAGAAAGACAACCGCGAATGGCACTCCGCGACGAGCCTCTGCTGCAAAAGGAGATAGCAATGGCATTTCTCCCAAACCATCCAGCGGCACGACAACCCCAATGCGAAAAGCCTCGGCGCAAAATAAAACCAAAACACCAAACACAGCTCCGGCTCGCGCGCGGACTGGAGCGAAGAAAGCGGAGCCTACACTGCTTGGTGACTTTCTGCTAGGAAGACCGAGTCCTACACGAAATCGAAGGAAAAGTGTTGATGTTGTCAAAGCTGAGATGCGGGAGAATCTTGTAGGCAAAGTGCAGCCACCGGGAGCAGTAAAAGACAGAGTCAAGACATGGCAGAAGGCGAACGCTGCTGCCATAATCATTGATCCTCTGGCGGACGCGGCTAGCCAACCAGATGACGTTGGAGGATGGGAGAATGAAGACGACACAAGTGTGGATGAAGAAGAAAGATTACGCATCAAATTTAGAGAAGCGAAGAAAACCAATGCTAGAAGGAAAAGCAAGGAAGGACCAGAGATACCGAAGCACATACCTAATGCCGCTCCGCCAAAGCGAGTCATTAGCGATTCACATTGGATGAAGCAGAAAAAGAAGAGCCCGCCTAGGTCCGGAGCAGCACTTCCAAAGAACTTTTTGCAAACAACTTCGGCGAATCCGACTGTAGACAAGAAAATATCCGACTGGGTCAAGAGAACGGAGAGTGAGGACTCTGGTGTAGAAAAGCCGAAAGAGAAACCACGGAGTAGGAAAACATCCAGAATAGACCTGCTCGGAAACGAAAATCGGACAAAATCCCCGCGCGACACTACACTCGACGACGGTATTAGAATTAAACCCTCGCCAGGACACTCACATGACGATGGTATTCGGATAAGAGCTGGTGGGAACAGCCCGGCAGACGATGGAATCAGGGTGACGCCCTCTAAGCGAAGGCCAAGGTCAAAGGAAACCCAAGACGATAGCGAAAAGGAAGATTTTCAACATTCGGCGTCGAGATCACGCTCCAAGGGTCGACGATCGAATAGGTCGGAAGATGATGGTCTTCGTGTGCAGCCTAAGAATGATGCTCAACATGACGGAATACGTGTCAAGCCCTTACGAGCAGACTCGGTGGACGACGGGATTCGGGTGAAACCATTGCGACAGAAGAGTGCTCATGGATCGACAAGGAAAGATCATTTGGATGACTCTTCGAGCTCAGGGAAGCGGACTGGACAAAATCTCAGAATACCCTCGGACGCTACTACAAAACGGAAAACGAGCTCCCATGTTGTAAGCGAGTCGAACGTGCCGGAAGACCAGTCCTCGATCGTGTCAAAGAGCCCTTCAAGAAATCTACGGTATCAAAAGCAAACGGCTCAGACTCCGCCGGAGTCGTTAGCTGATATCCCGTTTGGAAATTCGGCGTTTAGTGTTGTCGAATTGCCCCTTGGTGCCGAAGCAGGCAACACTGTAAAAAGGCCTCCGCCGAAACGCAATCCAAGCTTTGGCGGGGTGCCAAAGGCATTAAAAAAGGTGTTCAATGAGGGTATGAAGATTGCTCACGATACAGTGGAACCACCGAGAGGTGGACAAAATCATCCCCCTAGCATCGAGTCATGGCTGAAAGGTACCTCTGACCCCTTTGTTGATAAGCCTGGTTCGCCAAAGTCAACATTAGACGTTCCCGACTCTTCCTCAACTTCCTCGCGAAAAGTCAGCTACAACAAGGATGATCTGTCCGAAAAAGGCTTTACAATAAACCACGACATAAAAAAACCAAGAAATCGCAGAGAGCAAGAATCCGACGGAGGAACCGAGGTCTCAGCCGACGATGTCTCTCCAATTGAGACCAGAAAGACTCGGGAGACCCTGCCTAGCATGGCTCCAGTCTCACCACTAGCATCACCGGGTGGGTTAAAAAGGACACCAGCTACTCGAAATACTTCCTCGCCGAAGACTGCTAAGAAAGTGCCACTCAAAGACGCATTCATGGATGCGTTTCGAGGAGAGTCCTCCACTTCACATCCAAGAAAGATGTCAAATCCCTTCCTGGACATTACGGGCCTTCGAGAGAGAGAAGTTGTGACAAATCCCCGGACTGCTGATCAAAGGATCGCTCGAGACTTTGGCGACGAAGCATTGGATGAGACACCAACCAAACGTAGCCCAAAACTCGAGAGAGCAGCATCTGAAGAAGTGAAAAGAGAGAAGCCACTTCCGGCATTTGCTAGAAGGACAGCTCCAACTACCGGCACCCACAGGCTATCAACTATTCTGTCTGAAGTATCATATAGCACATCCTCGTCAGCTACAGGGACAGATACCGGGTCAGAGGTATCTCAGACCACAGTCACACAGGACACAGTACTTACAGGTCCTACCACTTCGAGCTTGTCGCGCAGTACACATAGGAGCAATAAGTCAGGTCTCAAGAGACGGTTAACAAAGCACTCAGATCTGGTATCAATGTTGTCTTTACCTGATGCCGTTGAGCCCGCAAGAAAGCAAAGCATCAGGTCAGCAAGAAGCATCCGAACCACAAGAAATCACCTCGAAACAGCAACCGTCCAAGACCTAATGCGAGAGCTGGTTGAGGATGAGACCAAGTATAAGCGAGAACTCAAGACCTTGGTTGATGGTGTAATTCCCGTATTATTGACCTGTGTTCTGTCAAAATCGGATTCTGCTCTCGCTGCTGGGCTTTTCAATCCGCACCGTGACCCATCTCAAGACAGCGCAATCACCAAGCCTATTGTGGATATGGGTGTTGCCTTGGAACGATTGAAGAGTCTCCATAACCGTATTCCTCTAGCAGATGCGGACGCGTTTATTTCATGGGCACAATCAGCGCATAGAACCTATGAAGACTACCTTTCGGCTTGGCGTGCTGGCTTTCAAGACGTAGTCGTCAACCTTGAGCCAGCCACCTCTGACAAGCAACTTGCGATAGATGAGATTGAGCGAGACGAGAATGGAGATGCGGTTGGTGCTAATGGCGAAAGGGCTGATGTGGCTTATTTCTTGAAAAGGCCTCTTGTACGAGTCAAATTCCTCGCTCGAACAACAAAGGTATGGTTAAATCTTCGGCCTCGAATTTGATGCTAACAAGAATACAGGGCCTCTCTAACCTTATGAAAACCGCTAAATCACAGAAGGTTGAGGAACAGTATCAGGAACTTGCCCAGACCGCTCGGCGACGGCATAAAGAAGAGAGCGCGAGACTCGAGGACGAAAAAGCAAACAATACCGATCCGACTCGAGCTCGCGACCCCAGAACTCTAGATTTGGTCGATGGTGTAAAGATCGATCGAACAAGACAGGTCTGTGCCAAGGATATCTTTCATCTTGACCTAGAACATTCAACCGGCCAGCGTGTAGGCTGTCGAGTTGAGCTCGTTCTACGTGATAAGCCCGATGATGAAGGCGATGTCCTCATTTGCGAGATGGACGAATTGAGGCGTTTCCTACTTTTTCCACCAATTGCTAAAAGCTCCATCTCTGCTCGACTTGGTGACGGAAAAGATCAAGTCATCATCATGATTAGAGGCGTGGTTGACAATAAAGAGTGGCATGAGCTGTTACTTCTCGAGGCCGACGACCCTGAGGCAGCCGAAGAATGGGTGGAATTGCTGGGGTCGGTTCCATTGCCTCCGCCAATTGAGACAATCATCGACAGTGGTCAACAACTTGATGCCCTAGTCTCATCGGTTGGCATATGGCAGGACAGAAGACAACACCTCATGTCTGGGGGCTTGGGTCTCAAAGACATACAAATACCAATTGGTGAAAGACTTCGACGTGGGGAAGAGGAGATAGCTGAACCATCCACTCCTGATCGTAAGCGAGTGTCTCAGCGACGAGCTCCGGCTTCATTTGGATCCTTGCCAACGTCCATCACAGAAGAGTCACTTCTATCGGAGCCGGTTGTAGATTTGAATGATGCCATGAACAAAGCTGGGTCCCTAAGCACGCCAAAACGACCAAGAGCAGCCAGGTACCATGACAGATCCAGTCCCATAAGGCCGTCGACTCCTAAAGATTCAGCCGATTTGAGTTCGGAGCATTCCACGCCAACTCAATCACGAGAAGACATGAAGTCACTGGAAGCATCTCAAAGGGATCAGGATCGTTTTGGCCCTCGAGAAGTGAACGTCCCCAAGATACGTGCTTCAAGTACTCCGGCAAGCCCAGAGACTGCAAAGTCAAGCACCCCTCTTAAGGAATATATGCGACCCCAATCTTCACCTACCACGCCGACTCAGCAGGACAGCCCGCCTCCGCCTCCTCCTCATAGGAGCCCAACACCGAAGGCACTTAAGAAAGCCCCAGTCTTGGACACAAAGGCTGCCCGTAATCTCAACAGAAGGACCTCTTCACCACTTAAGCATGAATATCAACCCTCGGATGCATCTGGGACCTCATCTGCCGAAGATTCTGACTCTGAAACTGATAGTACTGGATCGTATTCAGAGTCATCTGATGATGAAGAGCTTGAGTCCGTTCAAGAAGCTGGGCCTGTTCCTATATATGGTAAGCGTGTATCGCCTTCAGGATCCATTTACAGCCTTCCCAACACAACTTTGGCGCCATCCAACTCAGCTTCTCAAGGCCCATACCGTAAAGCACCTGTTCAATGTGATGCCAAGGACACAGAACGTCACACCGTGATGAGTCTGTCATACTGGAACGAAAAAGGTCAATGGGTCGACATTTATTCAGGACCCTGTTCTTTGATTATCGGTCCAGGCTGGCTCCGCGCATATAAAATGGACGACTACCATTCCAATCCTTACCAAGATCGCCCTTACTCATCTTCTGGAAGTGCTGATGTTGATCATCGAAGTGACGCAGCTACACCATTACCGCTCATTGCTCAAGAGCTCACGCCAAATGTCTTTATGCAAAGACACACAATCGACATTCATGTTAGGTCTCCTCCAATGGCGGAGTCGACTTTGAAATGTAAGGGAACTACGGTGCGGTATCATATGTTGACACCTGTTGCTTGTGTTCAACTCTACCAGTCGCTTTATGAGTCAAGTAAGAACAATATGACTTACAATAAACTTGAAGAAGAAAGAAGGATCAATGCCTATGGGACATATGGAGCAGCAGTTCCTAACAATAGGCGCAACTCGTGGTTTGGTCGTCGAAACAGCTATCGTGCTTCAGCTCGTGCCCCCTCAGAGATGGTATCAGAGCAAAGCGGTCGATCCTCCCAGTCGAGAATGTCTGCACTTAGACTTCGGTTAAGTGGTGGAAGCATCTTTAATATAGCCAAATCCTCCATCGACGTCTCTCAAGGGGGTAACCGCTCAGGCACAAACAGCCTAGGCTCCTCTGAATACTCCGGCATCACTCCCCCTCGCACACCCACCAGCATGTTCTCAGGCAGCGGCGGCGCAAACATAGCCGACCTAGGCTCCGAAAACATCCGCGTTCGTCTCTACCAGCTAGCCACAACCTCTAAATGGGAAGACAAACGCTACGCCTACCTCACCGTTACCCCACCACCTCCTGGTCGTCGTCCGAACTCCACGCTCCGCCACGGCATCGAGAAACACATCATCGTCACCCGTCGCGAACACAATCACCGCGACGGCCCCGGCGAGGTCATCATCGATGAGGTCCTCGGCGCGAATTGCTTCCAGATGGTCGGTGTTAAGGGTGTTATGGTTACGATTTGGGATGATATACGCGGGCCTAATGGCGAGATTGGGCAGATTGGCGCGAGTGGGGGTGTTGCTGGTCGTCAGCGCAAATTTTTGTTTCAGACTAGCTGGGTGGCGCATGCGAATTGGATTTTTGGGATTTGTTCGGCGGGAAGGTAGGGAGAATCATTTGTGGGGAGAAGTGTTGGAAGAGGGGGGGCAGGCGATGATGTTATGATGTTTTACGAATTTTCTTTTTTGTGATTGCATTTAAGAAGGGGGAGCAAGCGAGGAATCTTTTTTGATATGTAATTTGATTTGTATTTTAGGGTGGATGATCTTTTAATGGTATGTATAGTGCATTGGGAGTTCTTTTAGATGGGGTAAGGTGGTGCATTTTTTGTGTTGGGGACCTTGAGTTAGGGTGAGGGCTTGTGATGTTGGGGAGGTTGAAATAGCGGTGGAGGAGGGGATGTGTATAGTTGAATTATAATTGAGTATTTGAAACTTATCTTTAAGTCTTCTTGTAGACGTAGTGGTTTTTGCGACAATCAAAACTCAAAGAAGTCCATGATCCTATAACTGCCTGTATAAAAAATCAAGTACATCCCATCCATACATTTTCATATTTGAAATTTTTAGCATTTCGACATAATCTGTAAACCTAGAAATGTATGCAATTCCATTCCCACCAAATTCCACTATTACTAAATCAAATACCTTCGTCGTGTTGCTCGATTTCAAGAGGGAGGTGTAAAGCTCGCTACCTTCTCTAGCTTAGTCCGCACGATCTGGTGCTTGTGTAAAGAATGAGTTACATAATCTGATAAACTGTAGTACCTTGACTAGATTCGTTTTACAGTATTTAAAACGAGGAAAGAAGATAGGTAATTACGCTTAGCGTAAGTAATTGTATAGCAAAGTCAGATGATACTCACTGATGTTTCGAAGTCAGGTAAGTTGGGGCTGGTATAAATTCTTGGTGAGTCCTTACTGCTTACTTATGTTACTTGTTCTTTTGGTGTGAGTTTTTGTGAGGAACATGTATAGCAGATTAATCCGTCAAACGGGAGAAGATTAGCGTATTATAGCTAATATTTCACCGCACGTAAGATGCTGTTGTGAAGTTCCATGTTATGACCCTAATTACTTTGTGTCCATCACAGACCAATATGTGAATACGAGATGCAGCTTTCTTCCCCGCGATGTCTCTCAGAAAGAGTTGGGGGCGGGTCGTATATGCGAAGTTTCGGATCCATACCCGATTTTGGAATTTACAATCTCAGCTGTGATCACCATCCCACCTCTGTGCATTTCTTTTCTAGCTAGTTAAAGAGTGGTATTATGTTGAATCGAATACCGCAATGGGCTCAAAAAAGGACGGGAAGATAATGTTATAATGACCTACGGATCCCATTTTAAACCTGTCCGCCTTCTTCTCATATATACAATATCGTTACCCATAACCCACCTTGTTCCCTCCGAGCTCTTGACAAACCTATCTAATCCCACTCCTTCACCTTAAAAAATGCACTTCCCACTCCTCCTCTCTGTTCTCCCCCAAGTCCTCGCATTCTACTGTCTCGATCCAACGTTCAACCAACCGAAATGCTGTGGCGCCTTTACTCTTGCTCCTAACGGCAAACTGTATGGTGGTGGTTGTAAGTCTTGATTCCTCGACCTCAAAACTTACTATCATTTCCACTTAACAATTCTTTTTTTCCTCTCGGAATTCATTATGTTTATTCCATAGTATAAACCAGCGAAGGAAAATACTGTGTTGACCCCAAACCCTAGGTATCGGTGCAGACCTCTGTCTCCGCCCCGGGAATAGGTGTTGTGATCGTTGGCCGAAATTGAAGGAGGGGTGTTGTAATAGTGTATGTTGTGATTTCTTCTGAGCACCTTCTTCTAGAGATATTTGAATGTGTGTGGGGGGATAGGTATTTGTGAGGATTATTAGGCTAATTAAAGATTTATAGAATTTCAGTCCGATGTATGGGATTGAATGTGGAGCATAGCGTGAGGACGGAATAGTCTTGGAGAAGGACGTGTATGCATATTGATAAGTGACTGACAAAATAGGGAATCTTCAAGAATGTCCTTTTTTCAAGCACGTTGCACCATGTGATCTTGAAAGGTTAACGGTGTGAGGATATTCATCGACATGCGACTTTTGAAACGAAAGAACAGGCGGCACACTATTTTCACGATTTCAGCGCCAGGATTCTCGTCGTTGTGATGCGAGATGGGTGATGTCGAATGTATATATATATATATATATATATGACAAGAAAAATGATGATCCTAATTTAACCTCGGAATAACCAAGTTTTCACAAGCAAAGCACGCCCTGCTCTTGTTCGTTGGAAATACATCAATAGTGTTACAATGCAACACTTGAATGGTCAGTTAACCTATCGCTTTAAACACTCTCTTTTGGGTTTCTTGGTTCTGGCGGTGTTGGTGTTCCTGTGGATATCCTCTACTTATTTTCAAATTGGAAGCTAGAAAATAGTTATGTTTGCCTCAATAAGTAAGGAACTCCAGCTTACCATCAGTCAAGGAAAGGATCGATGTTTACGTGCTTTTCCACGATTTTCCTTTCGCCTATCCATTTTTGACATCTCGTAAGCGACTTCACGTCTGGCACATGATACCACAGCTCAAACATCACATTTTAACACACGCATCAGTCTTGAATCACCCCATTCTCACAGCCCCCATAATATTTTATAACATGTATATATTCTATCCTCTAGATACCATATACAACACGTATGTCCATCTATACCTATGCGATATACCAACGATCTATATAAATATACAAATCAAAACGCCGATGCCGTTGCCTAACCCCCGACCAAGTCTAGACGCCTGAATCAATGCTAAATTTCACAATATGCTGCCGCCCACCTTTTCGCCGTTGTCTTTTCCTGTTCGTCGTCCCGTGTATGTATCGTGATGCATTTATACATCGTCTCGGCTGCCATATAGACCATTCCTCACGCCCCCCATCATGCATTACTCCTCAATCCTCGCCTCCGTCCGACTCCCCACCCTACTCAACGCACTCTGTCCCAACGGCGCCCTCGAACTCTGCCAACTCGCCCGCCGACTCTGTCCCGGACTAACACCACTCCAAATACTCCCACTGCCCTTCCGTCCCTCCTTCCCGAAATTAATCTCAAACCCCCGCAAGATATCCTGATGGTGTTTACTCTTATGTCTCGTCACCCTGCTGGGCGTCACCCACTCCCTGTGATCGTATTTCTCCCATTCCTCAAGCGCCTTTTCGCGTTTATCTTGTTTCGGTTTTGAGGTGCGCCAGGTGAGGGATTTTGTGAGACGCGCGGTGGTGGAGGTGGTTTTGGTGAGGGTTATGGAGGGGGTGGGTGGGCTGGTTGAGGTTGAGGTGGAGAGTTGGGAGTTGGATGTTGAGCGGGAGGAGTTGAGGGAGGTGGGAGCTGATGGGGTGCGGCCGATGGCGCGGCGGAAACGGTCTTTGAGTGGCATTTTGGAGAGGGTGGTGAAGTTAGAGGATAGTTTGTGGTGTTGAGGTTGTAGGTGTTTTGATTGTAAACGGGTCCCGCGGAGATTATATGGGGAGGGACGTAGTAGTTTCGAGCTAATAGAGGCTAATCTCGTCGTCGGAATTGTAGAGTGGGTGTTGATTGCATTCGAATTGAAATATATCCTCCTCCAAACATCAATTACAACATACAAACCAAGTATATATATAAAATCAAGTTTCGAAGTTCATAAAGCAAAACAACCCCCCTCCCTCCGCACGAGCGCCCACCGTCATTATAACTTCATCCACCCCCATCCACCCCCATCCACCCCCATCCCACCAGTGAAGACTCTTCCACCTCAGCCAAGCTTCTCCAAGGGGAAGGCCACAAGCCGGCTCGAGGGGTTGCGCCGGTGGGGAAGAATAGTGGAGGATCTGACGCAAAGGGGAGAGATTTGCACCAATCATGGTCCCTCATGCGGGGTGGCCGAGCACTATTGTATCACGTGAGGTACCCCAGACTCCGCGCGGGGGGGGGAATGGCAGCCGATACTTTCCGTGTGTAATCGGGCTGGCCGAGGCTTGGTTTGGTAGGTTTTGTTTGTGTTTGTATTGATGCTGCTACAATTATGTCAAGTGATGGATATTTCTTTGAGGATTAATTCCTCAGTTATTGTTGAGTATCTTGTCAATTGTTTAGTTGTGTAGATGTTATCCACGAACTTGCCGGCCATCGGAGCCGCGAGAGATAGACGAGCCTCGGCCGTTTCGAATAGGACCGAATTCCCGTCTGGTGTTGAGTAAACGACCATCGATACGACGTGATAGGAAGGGGAATATTAGGTATGCGAACGTACGTTAAGTCCAACAACATTTATGGTGGCTTGCCTGAAGAAGAGCAACAATTGGCATGTTGTAAAAGCGTGTAACCGGAACATTATTCGATGTTCTCTATTTACCGAACGTAATGAGACTTTCGCCTGACTCGTGACAGAAGTCAACGGCCGTTATATCGGGTCAGACTCTTTACGGCCGCCGTGTAACTTTCTTCATGAAGTCGTGCTAAGCTTGTTCGTTAAATATACAATCTCCATTTGACGCCGGTATCGTGAACACTCACTGCTGTCTCTGCGTTACCCATCCTATTTCATACCTAGAAATCTCAGAACCACTTCGAATAATCTTTGCATTCTGTTCTACTTCAGGGCACCTAGATCATTATTGGCTTTCTGTCTTCAAACGTTCAGTAGCGCAACTCGTAAACGAAGCGATTATCCGGTTAAGCTCTTGCAGGAGATGATTCCGAAGAATACAGCAATTCCGTTTATAGTACATTAAGTACAATCGCAGAATAACGAATGGAAACGGATAATACCTTTCTTCAAGATTAACCACCTTGGGAAAATGTAATCGAGAATGTAACTTTGTCTTCAAATTATGTAGCTAATTGTTTTGTTCTAATTATTAATTTAGCAAGTTAAAATCCTATAGCTCGCTTACAACCGATACTCTCTTATTTCCTATCTCTATTTGTCTCCATTTATTCAACGAATAGTATAACCGGGCTTGAATCATTCCCGACAGAATATTGATCGATCGTCTCAGAGTAAGGTCTCTAAGGCTCTTAGTACTCGATCTTCAAAATCTGGAGGATTCCAGCTAGCAAAAGAGCTTTGATAAGCCGCCGAAATGAGATTTTCTACTTTATAGTACTATTTTTGCGGACGAACAGAGATAAGAATACAGTGAGTACTACCGAGTTGAAGTGCGGCTGAGATGTAGCAATCATGTATTTCGCGACCACACATCTCGATTTAGAAACTTGACATTATGCCAAAGAACTATATATCAGGATGCCACTAGCCGGCCTCTTCAAACGCAAAGATTTGAGAAACACGCGTGTCGATTCTTCCACAAATGATGAAAGTTTCTTTTCCGCCAATCACGCGCGAACAGAAGCATCACTCGACATCCCCACCGCAGAAGAGCTCCAAACCACATCGCGCACACCTCCCAAAGAGCCAAAAGCACATGCGATATGGTGTGCCTTGCGAGCCAATCCTGCCGCGTGGTTAGCCGTAGAGCGATATTGGGATTTCATCCACCAAGTCGATCCGTGGGATCCAAACGTCGACCCTACAGTCTCGTCGCAACCGCTGGTATATCGACCGCTCAGTAACGCGGAGGCTGAGATTCGCTTGCTAACGATCTTGCCGAATGAACCGCCAGATCAGAATGGAGGGCCCATCCGATGTACCCTTAAGCGGGTGAGTCTGTTCGACGCACCGGAGTACATCGCTCTCTCTTACATGTGGGGAGATGAGAAGGAAAAGCGTGCTATTGTCGTAGATGGGCATCAATTTAGCGCAACGGTCAATCTGTATCAGGCGTTGAGAAAACTGCGTGCCGGGCGGGACCCGAAGATTTGGATCGATGCAATTTGCATCAATCAGCAAGATCATGAGGAGAAGAGCCAGCAGATACAGCGGATGAGATCCATCTATGCGCGAGCGAAGCAGGTCGTGGTGTGGCTAGGGCCGGAAACTTCGAACAGCAATCTTGCAATGTGGTTGCTGGAAAGGCTCTCGAAGCCGAGCGATGACCGTATGCTACCCGATCCAGCATACACAGAAGCAATAAGAGAACGCTCATCGAACGCTCAACCAGGTCGATTTGCAGAAGCGTGGAAAGCCTTTGACGATCTCTTTTCGCAAGAGTACTGGAAACGCGTGTGGATCATTCAGGAGATCGTTGCAAGCAAAGACGTGTTGGTCCGCTGTGGGCAAAAGTCAATCAGCTGGTCCGACATGGAAAAGGCGTTCTGGGGCAAGAAATCAGAGCTCAACATGTTTAACGAATGGGCCGATGCTGATTCGACTACTCAGGACACGCATCCTCGAGATACACATCAGCTCTTCGATTTCTGGGCGTGGAAGAAGTCCATAGCTAGTGTCGAGCCTCAACCCCTCTTGAAAGCGCTCATTGATAGTAGAAGATCGAAAGCCAAAAATCCACGGGATCATGTGTACGCTTTGTTTGGTATTTCTAGTGATTCCTCAACGCTTATTCCTGTTCCGAACTATAGATCGTCCGTCGAGCAGGTGTTTATGGATCTTACTGTCGCCATGATTCGAGCGAATGGAAACCTTACCATCACCTGTCTTCAAGGACAAACCGGGATGAAGAGGTACAATACACCATCATGGGTCCCCGACTGGTCGGCTTTGGCCGAGGTAGAAAGACCATGGCTATTCAAATCCGTTCTCGAGAACAACGTGAAGTTCAAAGATGGGTTGGCGACAGGATTCGGGGCCCTCGATGAATCTTACAAACTCCGGGTTGAAGGCAACATTCTCAGTGTCAGCGGACGTTTTTTCGGCACAGTGGACGGCTTGACCACGGGTATATCAAATACCGGCGAGACAGTTGGTGAGATGATTCAACCAACCGTAGAGACCACCGCGTACACCAACGGCCACGGTCATGCCGCCGCACTATACGATACTCTAATACTAGCCGAAAGTTCCGATGCATCACAGAAAGATGGCCCGACGGACCTCATCCATTACCTCACACATCCCAAAGGCAAAGAGGTATCCTCAGCAAAAGGACACACCCTCCTAGCCACCTGGCTCGCCGCAAACAGCACCTTCAAAATCTGCGGCGTCGAACTGTCCGTCTGGACAAGCAAGCATTTCGGGCACCACTACCAATGGAAGAACCGGCTCCTGCACCATCTTGAAAACAAAACTTCGTCCACCCAAGACATGCACACGTACATGACCGCCATCGAAACCGTCCTCCACGGCGGCTTGCGGCTCATGACCACGAGTCTAGGACATGTCGGCATGGTGCATCCGCAGGCGCGGACGGGCGACCATATCGCGCTCCTAGAGGGGATGAGCACGCCTGTGATTCTGCGTCCGTGTTCGGACGAGGAGTTAGGTGCGGATGCGGTAGCGATAAAGGGGGAGTTAGTGAGGGAGATGAAAGAGGCGAGGTATATGGCTGGGATGACGATCGAGACGGGGATCCTGAGTTATAAGCTTGTTGGTGAGGCGGTAGTGAGAATGGGAGGGATGGGGAAGGATTTTCAGAAAGTGGCGTTTCCGTTTGGGACTTTTTTGATTCATTGATGGGGTCGGTTGGTGGGGGACAGAAGTGTTCTTCGTTGACGGAGTTTGAATGTAGGTCTTGCCCACTACTAGATGGCTGTTGCACATTTTGCGATATAGTTGGTTGTCTGCAGGTCCTTTCTGGTTAGAAGTGAAAAGCGTACAGTCGAGGTGTAGCTTAATCGGATAGGATAGGTCGGTAGCTAGCTCTGTCGTGTTTTACTTATTCACCGGGGGACTAGCTAATGTCTACAGTGACTTTAAACTAAAGATAGAAGAGTCTAAACGATTTTTAATACAGTAAAGCACGTCTTTTAACTTAGTCACTATAAAACAACTAACCTTCTACTCTCTTTTTATTAAAATTTGTATAGTACATATATTACTTAAATTTAGTGATTACTTACAAAGTCTTTACTTTAGAAGTTGTAATTAGAATCTACAACATCTCGTTACCTTAAATAAAGAAACATTATTTCCACGACTACTTACTGTCTACGCCGCTCTTCCAAAATAAAACAAGCCCACTAGTCTCATTCAAGTCGGTCCTACCCCGGGACTCCCCTAGATACTTACAGAAAACAATGTAGTACCAAACTATTTCCTCTACTATAATAGTAACTCTTCCGCCAACAATTAAAGTCAGGATCAATAGGCTCAACCTAGATGCCAGTACTTATAGGGTGATAGTGAAGGAAGAAGAATGAAGAGTGTACGTCGACAGCGCTCTATCTAGCAGAGCACCTCCCAATGACCCGCCATAGAACATTTCAGGGCGTTTCATTCTTCTCATATCTTTCCCCGAACCATTTCACAAATAGCTCTGCTGGACTACAGACCCGCAGACATCCGGCACCCCATATTTGAACCCCAGTTTCACATTCCAAGTCATTCTGTCAAATGAATACCGAAGCAGTGAATAACACCATGTTCAGTCCTGCCGATAATATTCGCTCGATCTTTCTCGAGACTTTATCAGAGTTATTCGATCCATGATCAGGTGTAATGAACTAATACAACTCTACAGTACAATCCATGTTTAGTGTCAAGATAGTGAAAATCCCGTCTCAAATAGTGGCATTTTCTTCAAAAGGTCTAACTATACGCCTCTCTACTTTACCGCGACTCTACTCTTAAAAGTCCATCCAACATACGTCCTTACTTCTATAGCCAAAACGAGGCTTCCTAGTAACAAAACAAACCGTAGAATTTCCCTGTATTTCACAGCGGAGCGAACACATTACCGGCCTTACCGAGTCCCACACGTTCATTTCAATCTAGCAACATCACATTCAACGAATATCGTAAACATCGTGTATCGACTCTATTTTCCACCCGGACAATTCTTTTCAATGCTTAGTGCAGTACATTTCTTCTCGTGACCCTGACACAGAAATCATTTTCAGGCCGCTGATACGGTAGAATTTTTCGTCAATCTAATGAAACACTCTAGTGTTGTAAGTCGTGAGATCATGGTAAAATCGCCTCTTGTTCGCTGATCATCTACGAAGCGCCATGGCACATGTCTTTGTGATAAGACACATTTGCGAACGCTTGATCTAAAAGTATCGTATTATTTAATGACTTGAGACTTGTAAGGGAGTGGATAGTGATTTAATACCTCTCAGGCCAATTTCGGAGTTGACTGTCTAGCTGCACTGTACGCCATTGGATTCCGCTTCTGTTCCTTAGCACCCAACAGGAGTTATCATTGCTTTTAAGACGTCCACGGTATATATGTGCTTCAAAAGAAAGTGTGCTAAACGGTAACTCGTAAGTAGCTAAAGAACCGTACCTCCACGACTGACGTCAAAGAATGATAATTATCAACAACCATACAGCAAACTTCAAAATCTCCTACCGTTCGAGGCAAGACTTCACAAGTAACACCAACCGATTATTTACCCCCAAAACATTTTCAGCGAGAAAAGTCATGAGTCCATCACATATCCATATCATACGTGATATCACCCATCCAAAGGCATGACTCCCGCCCGAGCGTACAACGTGTCAGATCCATCCGTGACATGGGATGGCATATCAACATCCGAACAGTGCTTAAATACAGGGGCACAATTTTGGTAAGAGGTCTGAGCACGATCCGACTATCAGACGTCTATGCTTTACACCCCCAGTTAAACCGGTGTAACAAACAGACGAACTGTCACAACATCATCCCAAAGTCGCACATTTCAAGACGAAAAAGATATCAAAAAATCTAACCAGGTTCATTCAGACAAATCTACTCTATCTAGTAAATGAACCCCCACCACAAACCCCAAAAAAATACTCCCACAGAACCAGTCCAGCCTCGGATCTACCGAACGACTTTCATAGATTGTGTAAATCCCAATTTCACCCTATTTCCATCCCCATTTTCTATCCGCTTCCCAAACTATCATTATATACATTATATGCCGTAAACTAGTTGTAACCGACTATCCGCGTGAGCGAGATCGCGTCAATGAATGTGGCAGGGTCGTATCAAGCAAAGGCCGTAATCTCAAGTTCAGATGATGTTGGAAACGACGACAGTTTCAGTCTTGATGGCAATGACAGTCTGAATGTTATCATCTCTTGATCGTTGATCTTCCTGTTGGAAAGCGATGATGATCTCCTGGCTCTCAAAGGCGACTAATGCTGGGTCTGCACCTTGGTTTCCGAAGCCGAATTGGGGTTGCTCAACATCAAATGGGAGAAGGTTGATGTTTGGGTTGAAGCCGCCGAAGGATTGAGCATTTGGGTCGTAAATTCCTTCCTGGAATTGTCCAGAGATGCCGGTGGATTGTGGAGCGAAGCCGGAAGCGGTTGGGGAACCGGATATTCCCAAGTCGCCGTTGATGACGAGAACGGTTTGCTCTTGGATGATAACGACGACTTGCTCATCACGGTTGCGGTTGCTTTCAATTTGACGTGTGTAGTAACGTCTTCGGTTGTCACCTCTGCGGTTGTCATTAACTTCTTGCACGATTATAATGACAGTGTTCTGCGCGATGTTAGCTTGATTCAGTTATACTATTAAGTTATTACATACCACATTGTTGTTTCTGCTGTTGAAGTGATTTCTTCGGATGTTGTCAAAGACATAGTTTTGAGACTGGAGAAGGAAGAGCTGCTGTTGGATGAGAATAGCAAAATCTTCGTCATCCCTCCTTCTGTCATCATCCCTGTTTCGGCCTTGCTGTTCGGTGATGACAATGATAGTTTCTTGTTGGAAAGAAAAGAAATCATTGTTGGAGACGTCATCGCGACCGAAAGAGTTGTAGTTGAACAAGTTGTTGTTTCCACTTCTCTTTGATGGCTTCCAAGTAATACCACGAGAACTTAATGAATCAGTAGCCGGTGTTCTGGCTGAGACTTCTTTTCTTGAATGAAGATGTGGGGCTAGAACTGATTAGCAACGTGACTAGAAGTTATCCAGAATGTACTTACCAGCAAAAGCTACAGAGGCGAGGCCAAGTGCTGACACAGTCAATGTGGTGAACAACATGGTGATATTTGAAAAGGTGAGTTTGGAAATAAAGCAAAAGATTAAAGAGTGTTTTAAAATATGGCTACCACTAGGGCGCGCGGTGAAAAGAAGTGAGAGAGTGTGGTGGGTGGGCACTGAAAATGTGATTGAAAGCGGTGCTGATCAAAACCATTTTAGACAGGAAAATCATCAAGTTAATATACTGATTTTCTTTTCCGCAATGGCTTCATCATCCCTTGGACTCAAATCATTCGGAACCAAACTTCTCCGTTGATGAACTGGTACCCCGTACCTCGACCCATGAATTTCATCGGGTGCAAGTCTATAAAACTCCTCAAAGGCGTTCTGGGTAGGGCGTACCCCAATAGCGACGAAGGGATCTTTCCTCTAGACTCAATGCGGGATTCATGGGGTCACTTTGATGCCGAAGACCAAGGGACCCGGTGCTGGGCTGAGATGATGCCGTCGGTCAGATGGGTGTGTACCGGCAGGTAATGTTGGTGCGTCTGATGTTCGAATGCTGCACAGACCTGACAACTGCGCCAAAAGACAAGATGACAGCAACCCGCGAGTGTAACCCGCCTTCAAAGTAAACGTCCAAAAGATATCAGCCAATGAAAGTCATGGTTGAAGTATCATCAAGGTAGTGGGGGGCCAAAACAGTCTGGGCGTAGAATGTTCGCTTAGGTCGAATCCCTGGTGAGGCGGGAGACTTGACACCCACACGAAACCCTCCCGGGTTTAATCGACGGTTGTACCACTTTGTGCAACACTCTTGGTGAGAGACAATACATGAAAAATGGTGAAAGATACAAATGCATTGACCAGATTTTTAAGATGCTGAAATATTATGCAGGGAATTCTCCGAAGACGAGAGCTGGATTGGATGAGCCATCTCAAGTGTTCCGATGTGCACAGGTAATGTGCAGCGTGGGAGAAGTCAAATGATCCATATGATCTATTGGGATGAAGAATGGACGACAGTACGGAGGTACATGTCGTATCAAAAGTAGAAGGTCTTAGAATCTCGTGTAACTTGTGTTGGTCAGTGGAAGGAATGGGGGTGAGGAAACTGTCGAGTCCGGTACTCACTCTAGGAGACTGGTGCAGAAAGTGGTGAGCTTGACCGAGCAATAGCTAGACCATGCTGCGCAACAACAAAGATCTGATACTATTCAAGGGTGATACCGCACCAGTGCTGGTACCTGTCCATTCCAGTCTTCGCTCTCGGGAGAAGTTTGAAGTACTTCCGTACCGAAACCCCAACTCCGTGAAGATTTCCAACATGACATGATAAATTATCGTTTTGCCAAGAACAAGTCAACGATAAGTCGACCTTTATGGACGGTATTGAACCATTCCGGATCTCATAAGGCTAGCCAAGTGTCGGGATATCGACTGAGGAGTTAAGAATAGGTGCTCTTGTCCTCGTCATCGGAGAATATGCCAAATAATGTTTGATGGTGGCGTGCTGGGCGAAATGCCATCTGTTTCAATGAACAAGGGCTGACTGAACTTGTCACAGATGCGGCAGATCTCGAAGGTTGTCGAGACTTGCGAGGAAAGAAGTAAGGGACGCTGGCTGCAACAGTGGCTTGTCAAAAACCACAAAGTGCAAGCAATCGACCGAACCTTCGCTCCCGAACTGTGCGTGAGCAAGAAAGCAATCAAAAGCAAGACGAGACTCGAGAAACGATATGTGTAAATAACACACAAAAAAACGCAAATTAAAGTCGACAGCAACAACGCAATACAACAAGATCTTACAAGCGAGGACGGCGATAATGTTCGATTCAATGTAGGAGTTACTGACTGCATGGAAAAGGCCCTCGACGCGAAAAACACCACTGATGGTAATGACTACTGGCGGGCAAAGAATGTTGTTCTTTGCAAGTGTAAACGGTTGAAAGTTGTGGTTGAGGGCAGATGCCAAGATGCTCAAAGTATTCCACTTGTGGCGGCGACACGTGACGCGCTATCTTAGCGTGCCTCTTTCCAATTGGCGGTTGGAGCTTGGTGGTCGGTAAGAAATATTTTTTTTGCGATTCGAAAATCGAGCTTTATCGCTAGCACCACCATCACCAACAATTTCCAATCGCAATTAATACTCAATACCCGCACAAAGATGGCATACACACCTAGAGGAGGCGGAGGACGTGGAGGGGGTGATCGCGGTGGCCGCGGTGGATTTTCTCGAGGTGGTGGCGGCGATCGTGGAGGTCGCGGTGGATTTTCTCGTGGTGGAGGTCGAGGTCAGTTTTACATTCCTTCACAAGCTCCTGCGGCAATTGAAGGTTCATGAATGGATTCCATTTTTCTTTTTGAAATGTCCAGTCACATATTATGAGAACAAAAGTAGCTGACCGGAGGGTAAGGAGGTCGAGGCGATAGCAGAGGCGGAGCTCGAGGTGGCAGAGGTGCTCCAAGAGGCGGTCGCGGAGCACCAAGAGGAGGCAGAGGGGGTGGAGCTGGAGCCAGAGGAGGCGCAAAGACAATTATTGTAGGTTTGGGTGTATGGTCAACGGATGGCCAAGTATTGATTTTGCTAGGAACCCCATCGCCATGCGGGTATTTTTGTCGCGCGTGGAAAGGAAGATATGTTGGTCACCAAGAACTTCTGTCCTGGAGAATCAGTTTACGGCGAGAAACGTATCAGTGTTGAAAATTCTGGCGGCTTGAACGAGGACGGTACACCAAATGTCACAAAGACAGAATACCGAGTTTGGAATCCTTTCCGTAGTAAGTTGGCAGCTGGTGTTCTGGGTGGTCTCGACGAGATTTTCATCAAGCCCGGTTCGAAAGTCCTTTACCTCGGCGCTGCATCTGGAACATCTGTATCTCACGTCGCGGATATCGTTGGACCAACCGGAACAGTCTTCGCTGTCGAGTTCTCCCACCGGTCTGGACGTGATCTTATCAACATGGCCACTCACCGCACAAATGTTATCCCAATCATAGAAGATGCCCGTCATCCTCTTAGATACAGAATGTTGGTGTCTATGGTTGATGTTATCTTCGCCGATGTTGCCCAACCGGATCAAGCGCGTATCGTTGGATTGAATGCACATTTATTCTTGAAGATCGGTGGAGGTGTTGTCATCTCAATCAAGGCGAACTGTATCGATAGTACAGCGCCTGCCGAGCAAGTTTTTGCAAGAGAGGTTCAAAAACTCAGAGATGAGAGAATGAAGCCGTTGGAACAGTTAACTCTCGGTAAGCCATTTGCTATTTAGAGACTAATCTTGTGCAGTACGTACGGCATAAGAGCTTGACTAACCCCCATATCAGAACCTTTCGAGAGAGATCATTGCGTCGTTGTTGGTCGCTATGTACGATCCACCTAATAACTCTTTGTTCATATACCCTCTCAACCACCTCTGGATAACGATTTACGATTCATCACGAATCGCATAAAAGATATCGAATCTCGTACGCCAATTACTGCAACAGCAGATGTCGCATTTTTCTCTGTCAGGATAGGAAGGTCTGTCGATTGCTTTCAAAGGTGTACGTACAGGCTCTTGGCGTTATTGGCTCATTACATAGGTTGTCTGCAAAAGAAAGAAAATTTTACTCAACGTTCAGAATTTTGGGTGTGGTTGCTTTGTGAAATTTGTGAAGGTTTGCTATCGGTCCTGCACCTGCTACACAGTAAAATTGCCGAGTCCTGCGAGTTCAGGTATACCCCTATTCCATTCCAGGCACCAGGCTGTTGGGAGTTCTGTACCGCAGGCTCATATTTGTAGAATCTGGTAGAATCCTGCAGATCTATGTTGAATACTGAAGGCGTACATAGAAACTTTTGAGCGACGCAGACTCGGTGTAGAAATTTTCCTACCATGATCCGATTTTCAAATAGAATAAGATAGCTCAGAAAGTTTGTAGTAAACATACTCCTGTCACCATTGTAGCCTCTCCCGATATAGGCTACTTGGGATTAATTCTGTTCTTACGTATAATTACTAATAAGTAGTTAAAATGTATAATCTAAAACACTTAATTTTCTAATTATCTAGGTAGGCTAAGTTATATATTCTTATAGACCTTTAGAATAAAGGAAATACCCTTATTCTTTAGAAATATAGATATATAGAGAGGTAATATTAGAGGTTAACTCTAGAGGTATAGTACTAGCTACGCCTATACTTATATTCGATACTTATTAAGCCTCGCTAAAGCCCTAACCCTAAGTCCGCCTCTTTAGCGACGCTTATATATACTTAAATATTAGAGTCTAAGTTAACTCTTACTTTCTTCTTTATTAAACTTATTATATTCTTTAAGAAACCTTAGTATATATACTACTTTTCTATAATATTTTCTATACTCTAATATTGCTTATCTTATATTATTCTTTTAAGTAGCTCTAGATATAGTAAGAAATTCTAAAGCTTTAAAGTTTATTCTAAATAATTAGATTAATCTATATAATAAGAAGAGCTATAGCTTAGTTTATCTTTATATAGTAGTTATTATAAATCTTATAATTAAATTTAAAGATAGCTATTATAGTTATAAGATCTCTTTTTATAGACTTCTTTTCTTTCTTTTCTACTAATAATAACGTCTCTATATTATCTTCTTTACTAATTATATTTATAGTTAATTATTATATATATAGTATCTAGAAGCCTTATAACTCTAGAGTTAAGAGAACTCTAGAATATTATATCTAGAATATAATTAGATCTAGAATAAAGTCTTTAAGACCTAGCCTAACCTAGAATAAGTATTCTAGGGCAAGAGAGTTTCTAGAAGTATTCTTCTAGATACTACTAGGTTCTAGAAACTATAAGTTACTTATTTATTATATAAGTTATAGAGGTAAATAGTAAGATAGTTAGTTAACCTCTAGTTTATTAGTTAGAAAGAAAGTTATATACTATAGTTAACTAGGTTAATAGGCGACTTAAGCGATTATCGACTTAGTCGACTATTAACTAAGTCGACTAGCCTACTATAAAGACTCTATATAATAATTATAATTTTCTTAAATAAGAGCTTTATACTTAACTTACTATAGTAATAGTATATTATCTATTTAACTTACTTTTATTATAATAAATAGATCTCTAAATCTATAAGTAATACTTTATACTACTACTTACTATATACTAACCTTATAATAACTTAGTCTACTATTAAGTAAAGAACTAAATTATTATATTAATTATTTAATTTTATTAAAACTAAGAGTTCTATAGTCTCTCTTTTTTAAGATAGGTTATTTATCTTTATTATCTAGTTTATTATTATTAGTCTTTACTTTATTCTTAAGTTTTTCTTTAACTAATACTTCTCTAGTAGTTATCTCTAGATAGTACTATTTCTATAAAGGTTATTTAATAATAATAATATTACTAATAATAGTATTCTATAGTTCTTTAAATTATATAATAGTCTAGAATATTACGAGTAGCGTCGGCCTCGGCGTCGTAATACTTCTAGGACTAAAGGTCCTAGGATTAGGCGAGGTTATATAATAATTTAGTTCTACCTAGAGTAGACTAGAGTTATTATAAGGTTAGTATATTAAGAAGTAGGCGTAAGATTATTACTTATAGATTTAGAGATCTATTTATTATAATAAGAGTAAGTTAAATAGATAATATACTATTACTATAATAAGTTAAGTATAAAGCTTCTATCTAAGGAAATTACAATTATTATATAGAACTTTCTTTTCTTAAGTTCGATAGGTTCGCTAGTCGAACTCGTCGAACTTCTAGCCGGTTTAATAGGTTTATCTAGCGAACTTATTAAACTTCTATTATTACGTAATAGTACCCTAAACCGGGGCCTACCTACTAATATAAATATTACTAATATTAACTAAATTAACCTATTAGATAGCGGTCCTAGAAACTACTTGATTCCTATAACCTCGCTTAATCCTAGGACCTTTAGTTCTAAGAGTATTATAATACTAAGGCCGACGCTACTTATAATACTATCCTCTATTCGGACTAGTAGGTCTATATACTTAAGTATAACTAAGAAATACGTTAGTTAAAGGCTATAGACTTCTCTTCTTTCTAATATACTACCCGACTATATAATAAAACGTTCTAATATCGTAGCTTTTAGTAAACAAATTAACCTAACTAGAAAGAAGATAGCGCCTTACTCTCGCTACGTAAAGGCGGGAAAAGAGTATATAGTTTCTTAGGACCTAAAATATAGTTACTATAGTACCTATATATTCGCTAGAAAGTTATATAATATTAAAGAGATAAATTAAATACTCTTAGTTTATAACTAGAAGAGTATTAAGGTTTAAGAAGAGAAACTCTTTTTAGAGAATAAGTAGACTAAAGCCTAGATCTAAGAGATACTAGCTTATTATACTTATATCTACTAGTAGTAAAAGTTTCTTTAAGAATAGAAATAAAAGATAATTTCGATAGGTCTTAACTTATTAGATAAGTTAGACAAGTTAGAGAGGAAAGAGTAGTAAGAAGAAGAGAAGAAGAGAGAGAAAGAGAAGAGAAAAGTAGAAGTAGAACGACTACTAGCCTACTCTACCTCGCCCGACGACCTCTCTACTTATAATCTATTATTACTTAATCCGAACTTCGATTC